ATGATTGTAATGAAGTTGTATTGTAGACTTTCTAATGTGGATCGCTAGGCTACACATAATGTATTTATACTTCCACATGTCATGTGACCATGACAGGTCAGCTCAAGCTCCTGACCAATCATGTAATAGAGATGGAGGCGAAAAAAAGCTCTTTCCGAGGGGGCTACAGGTTGCAAGTGGGGTTCAAGAGGGCGAAAGTGTGGTACTGCATGCATCTTAGCAGCCTTAGGTACATGGGTACTTGTACTGTGGAGGGGTTAAACTTGGAAGGAGCTGTCGTCACTAACTCTTGCTCACTTCCCACCCCACTCCATCCACTTTAACAGTTTAGGTGCTCTCACTTGAGGCGGATTTCTTAAACATATTGCCCACATTGCATGCCACTAAGAAATACACATGTATGTACACATGTATAGAAGTACAACAGTACAACGATACAATACATGTAACCATCACCTACATGTACCATGTACGGATTGAATCCCAACAAGAACTAATTGGGATTAATGTACAAGTAGGTTGAGATGGTTTAGTATTCTGGGACGGATTTGTCTAACAAAAAGCAAACAGATAAGAGTTAATAGGGAGGAGGAGAAGGGGTAAGTTTTAGAAAAGGGGGATAACGTCAACGACAACAGAAACAAAGACAGAGGAAAAATGTATCCCCCCTTTCTCCCCGCCAATTCCCAGTCCAAACTAGAACTGGGGTTAGAACTGGGGATAGAATATGTGACCAAAGGGGCATAGGGGTCAGGGATCTGGACGAGTACTCCGTCTATCCATCACTCCTCTGACTATTCCAATGGATTCCAATGACAAGGGCTCTGATGGGGACAAGTCTTCGGCCTTTATGTTATTGAAGTAAACGCCGAGTAAATTCGCTTCGCTCGAAGGATATCGGCCAACAGAGTGTTTCCAACGCTCTTCCATCCGGCAATGAGTTAGAAAGCCCCTCAACTAATACGGAAAATCCACTGTGTTTTCCGTGCTGTCAAGAAGGCCGATGACGTGCTCTTAGACACGGTCGGACTAAATTCCACGTGCGCCTCTCCATCGGATAGGTCAACGACTCTCCGGAGAAAAGAGGGCAAAAGGGTGGCAGTGCAATGCCGTGCCGTGCCTTAGCAATATTTTGTGCTTCTTGCATGCAGCATAGTGTCTTTGGCTTCTCGCCACGCCTGTTGCAACAGCGTGAAATGATGCCGGTAGTTATGTAGTAGGCATGTAGGACTGCTCGTATATAGCGTCTTCAAACATGCGACAAGCAAGCCACTAGAAACTCATGCCGCGACTTATACGCACACATACGCAGACATACACCAACAAGGCGGACACAGGGCAGCTGGGGCAAGACTGCAGCTTCACCCCACTCCCGCCCATCCATCTGACCGCTCACAGATTCGGCATGCTTCGGCCTGTGAAGAACAGATGGGGAGCCATGTCGTCGCCAGGCCGCAACTTGGCTTGAACAATTGTTCTCCAGCCTTGCTTCTGTCTTTGGAAGTTGAGAGATGATCTTTTTGCGCAAGAAGTCGACACTAATACAGCCTGCTGTATCGAAAAAATAACGTTACAAGCCGACAAACTCGCAGATTTCCAACGTGACCATACAGCAAGTTATAGATTCGAGGACTGTGCTGTATGGAAGTTCCGCTTGGAGCTTTTAGGGCTTCCTTCAAACTTAACGAAATATAAATTCAACGACGACTCTTAAGAACCGTTTTCACATACCTTATAGGCGGGTTGTATAATGTAATCAAACGGCTATTCTGAATATAAGTAGAGTAAATTCGAGGTCGGATAACGTATAGCTGGATAGTTCACAATGGTGGGAGTCGAGCTCGAGTAGAACTCTCAAATTTTCTAGGTTCTTCGAGAGGCCTACAAAAGTTTAACCTGGTCCGAGCTCTCTATAAGTCTATACACTAAGTGGACCGGCTATTCTGGCCATTCTGGCATTTTGTCTAACTCTTCCGACCAATTGGATATACATATCATACCTTTTTTACTTCTGTCTTCAAACCTGAATGTTCCATAAATCACTAGGTTACCGTCTTATTATAATAAATATCTAGGTTAAGTTATAGAAAGTCAAGCGCCTCTTTGTTTAGGTGACATATGTACAAGTTAATCACGCCCTGGTCACGTGATATCTATAGTCCCGCTGACGTAAGGAGTCCGCAGTGCCGGATGTGGACCCCGTAAGTTATCAAGGTGGCCATTGCACAAGTCGGGCAGCGTTTGTCAGGGGTCCGAAGGAAGGTAAGAAAGTCGAAGTGTCAGTTTTGCCAGATGCAGTTTCCATTTAGCAACGTTTCAAAACTTAGCTAAACAAGAACAATAAAACAAGAGAAACATAATCGGCAAACTGCTCTAAATCCGTTTCCCTTACCTCGCTCTCTTATTACAATACTCACCTCCTACCTCCTACCACAACCACGATTCTCTCTCCTGGTCCCTGATCGGGACAGAAAAACTACGGCCCAAGATGGATTTCAACAGTCTGAAAGACCAGGTGACCAACCTAACGCTATACGATCTTAAGGCTGGCGTTCGCAAGGTTCAGAATGGTATGTACTCGTCTGATACATTCGATGTGCGCCTCGGTCGAAACCTGGATGCTAACTTGTCTGGGTATTATAGCTGTTATGAACTACACCGAGATGGAATCCAAGGTCGGTAACAATTCAATTGGTTCTAACCCAAGGTACTTGATGTTGCGGTTACTTACGCGCGCAACAGGTGCGAGAAGCTACTAATAACGAACCATGGGGCGCCTCGTCTACTCTTATGCAGGAAATCGCCAATGGCACCTTTAATTAGTACGTGATCATAGTCCCGTCCACGCGTTTATCTTACTGACCTTGACCGACGTTAGCCAAACCCTCAACGAAATTATGCCCATGATCTACCGTCGTTTCACCGAAAAGGCCGCCGAAGAATGGAGGCAAATATACAAGGCGCTTCAGCTTCTCGAATTCTTAATCAAGCATGGCTCGGAACGAGTCATCGACGATGCGCGCGGCCACATAACGCTATTAAAAATGCTACGGCAATTTCACTACATCGACCAGAACGGCAAGGACCAGGGCATCAACGTCCGAAATCGCGCAAAGGAACTTGCGGAACTCCTGGGCGACGTTGAACGGATCCGGGCGGAGCGGAAGAAGGCCAGAACCAACAAGGCCAAGTATACGGGAGTCGAAGGCGGTACCATGGGAGGTTTCTCCGGTAGCAGCCGTTTTGGCGGATTCGGTAGCGAGTCGGGCGGCTATGGCGGTTACTCGGGCGGTGTATACGGAGACGGTGGCGGATTCGGAGGCCAGTCTGATGACTGGAGAGATACTAGCGCCAGTCGTGCAGACAAGTTCGAAGAATATGATGAGTTCGACGAAGGATCTGCGCCGTCTAGCTCGTCTCGAGCGAAGCGGCCCGAGCGTAGCGAGAGGATGGGCGTCAAGAAGACCGTCGAACCTGCAAAGAAGAAAGAGCCCGAGGTCGACCTCTTCTCTTTTGATGACCCTGCTCCTGCGGCGACCACCTCTACAGCTACTCCTTCGAATGGTTCTTCTGGACTGGCTGCTCTGTCGACGGCCAACAACGATGACGACGACTTTGATGATTTCCAATCGGCAACGCCCGCACCTTCAAACAACGTTAGCATCCCCCCGCCCATGGTGACGTCGAACGCTCATTCTACCGCCCAATTCGCTGCGCCGAGGCCTTTGTCCGGCCCGCAGCAAGCTAACCTTAGCGACATGATGTCGTCGATCTCACCTCCCACAAGCACCACCACGACACCCGCGGCTAACTACTCATCTTTCAACATCCCGGCAGTCGCGAGTATGTCTGCCCAAGCGCCGAAGCCGACAACCAGCTATCAAGCGGCAGCTCCTAATTATTATCAGTCCGTTCAAGCCCAGCCGACGGGATCATCGATCTCTGCGGTATCGTCCGCAACTGGCGTTTCCACTTCATCCGGCCTATCAGCGCTTAACAAACCAGCAGCCCCGGCGACGGCTAAGCCTACCGCTGGTAGTGACCCGTTTGCGAATCTCTGGGGCCAAGCCGGTAACGGCCTGAAGAAAGCGAGCACGCCGACTACGGGACCGAAGATGGGTCAGCTCGCCAAGGAGAAGACCAGCGCGTCGCTCTGGGGCGCGCCCGCAGCAGGCACGCAAAAACCTGCCGGTAGTTCACAAATAGGCGGCGGATTAGCCAACGCATCAACCGGAAGCAGTGGCTTAGACGACTTATTAGGTTAGAGGACTACCCTAGCCTATAACAAGGCCTTAGCCAGGGCCGAGTCTATGCATACTTACGAAAGATGGGGGACTGTATATCACATTGACGATATTAGCAGCGTACAACGTTGTTCGGAACTTATAATTGGAAGTTGATTGACAGTGGTTTTTTTCTTGTTGTTTTTTCCTGTTATTTAGTGGACTGCCGCATGGATGGTCTTAACACGTTCGCAAAAGGGCGCCTGGGAGTAAAATGACTACGGTACAATCTAAACAGATCAAGTTACAGATCGACAGTGTTTCTATTTGATAAGATCTCTTGTGAAGACTAACAAGCCACATATAGAAAGAAAATTCATGCGATTTGCAGCAGCACCACACGATATCGTATCACCACTCGCCTGTTACGATGTTGCTAGCACGTACGATGCACTATTCTGAATATCGTATCTACCATCGCTGTTTCAGGTCAAGGTTATGTTAACAATGATAGGACTTCTAAGCTTCTGAGGCTTCTGCTTAATCTCCACCATAGTTGGATTGGCCAGTAAAGAAGCATGCGGCTCAGGAATTCCATGGCTGCATAGCAACAGAGCCGCCTTCCCAAGTCTGCGGTGTCTATCGTGCGCGGATCTGCTATTTTACAAGGGAGAAATTGGTTGGCCAACCTATTGGTTGACAATTTACGAACCTCTCAAAACAACAAACTAATACCCGTGCTCATATAATAATCCATGCCGGCGGCTACAGGCGCAAACACCAAGGCTACTAACCGCGGCCCGCGCTTAACCATCCCTGATCGACCCACCGATCTCATTTCGCCTTAGCTGAGCCGTCAGCCAACCAGAATTCCCCGACAACGATGCTAACTGCCGGGGTTAAGACGACGCTAGGCGAACGCTGTGCTATTGGTCTATCTTGACTATCGTTCACGGCGACGATATCCACGACGGCCTGGATACTTTATGCTGGGTTCCTAGTAACGACGATCATCTCTTCCCCGATTGGACACGCCCGCGCGTCGTGATTCCGCCATCCGCTTCAAGTGCCGACGTTATGTTTGCGAAAATAGCATTGTGGATGCGATGCGTAGACGCAAACAATGACGGCCAAGACGCGGCTGCTCAGAAGATCGAGTCAGGGATGTTTTGCCGCGAGAGGATGAAAATTGAAAGAATCTAGACGGACTTGGCTTATACTGTACTCGATGTGATGTGTGATGTTAGATATTTAAGGTGTAGAGACCCCCAATAATCAACAATCTTCTTTCTCATACCTCACTAACCAAACAATCTCTCAGCAATATTCTATTATTATTTTTTCCTTGAGTCTTTCTCTATTTCCTTCTTTCCCTTATCTCATTTCTGTCACTATTTTGGGAGGGTCTACTATCACGATATATTACGGACGGTCTTTAGATTTCGACGTCTCTTTCTCTCCAAGTTATACGAAACGGTTTTCCTACTTACTATCTTCTGGGTTCATATATATCGGTCTTTTCCATCGCAGTAGACCTGCTTCAGCCCAAATCCTCGCTCATCCGAGGTCAAGAAACCCATTTCCCATCTGTCAAATTCGGTCTCGAGCCGTCCCTCATTCACAATTCACTCCTCAAACCCCCAACCGTCTCTCCCATATCCGCCGCGGAGTCTCCCTCTGCGCACCATCCTCAAGCCCGACAGTCCCCGTCCGAAACTCTCGCTTATAACCGACTTCGAAACAAATATCCCGTTGAGAATGCGTTTTCAGGCACCTCAGCTCGGCGCCCTCGGCGTGACCTTCACGGCTTTCCGGGCGATGCAATTTGCTTCGCTCATCGCCATCATCGGCATAACTGCCAACTTCATCAATGAGATCGTAACCTCGGAACGCGACGCGCCGGACGTGCTGGTCGGTACCCTTGCCGTGGTACGTGTACAAATTTCCACCCCTTTCGCCGAAATTTCCTGCTAACAACTCCGAAGGCAAGTATCGCAACGCTCTACGTTTCGATTTCCTATATCCTGTACTACGACGGGCTTCTTCCTCTCCTAATTGCGGGCGGGATAGATCTAGCGCTCCTCGTCGCGGCTATCGTGGTCGCAGTCACTATCGGAAAGCCCCTATCCTTACTTAAGTGCGAGCTGCTTCCGCAGCCTACCGCACCAACCCAAACATTTACCATGTCCATCTCGGCTCGTAACTATGCCTCAGCAGCTGCCAAGTACAATAACTACCTAGCCTTGATTACAACCGACCAGCCGCACTGCTACGAGATCAAGGCAGCCTGGGGTCTGAGCATCGCGCTCTGCGTGCTCTTCGCCTTTTCTAGCGTGATCTGCGTCGGACTGTGGCGCCGCGTCAAGGCCACCGCTGCTGCTCCCAAGGACATCGAAGGTTAGGGGCGCGCGGGCACGCGTGGGGACTCCGGGGAAGCTGCTGTAACTGAGAAATCCGAGAGGGGCTTTGGTCCCCTGCAGCAGAATTCGGGACCGACCGCTCTTGGAACTCGACTCCTCGCCGCCAAGGGTTCCGACCGGTGGATTCCCCTGCCCCAACCCGCGCGTCGCCCTCCTATTTTTCGGCCTGTCGACGAAGATACCCGATCGGTTCGGCTGCCTCCAGTTGTAGTGAATGCCAACTCAGGTCCAACTATCTTCGGGGGTCAGCTTTTAGGGAGCAATATCTGCGCTCCTGCTCCAGTAATGATAGCCCCATCAGCGGCCAGGCCTTTAAGCTCGTCCAATTCATCCGAGGAAGACTATATACCTATCATGCATAACCCATCTCACCACGGTGTCAACGACAAGAAAAGGATGCCCTATCCTCCCATCGCGGTCGTCGTCCCCCCGACTCCTAGCGACGACGGTTTCACGCCCATCACGCCCACACCCGCCTCGCCTAAGCTAAAAGACTACCGGCTTAGCAGAGTGCCCCCTTTACCCAGGGATGCTTTCGGAATACCAGTGAGGAAAATGCTGGTCCGTGCGAAGAGTAGGAGGGTTCAGATACAGCACGAAGATGATGATGACGACGCTACACCTTTGAGCCCGACAGGTGGTCGAGATGTAGAAATGCAGATGGCGACTAAACCGAAACCGATGCGGAAGACCCTCTGGGGCGTGATTGAGGGATGGTGGGATTTGGGATTGCTCGAGAGGGGCAAGAGCTTAAGACGCAAGGCTTAATTAATAGGTTATGTACATGTATGTCAATGTAATGAGATGAGACGGGACGAGATGTAATGCGCAGCTAGTGGTTGGGGTTGGGTTGGAGTTGAAGGTTTGTTGTTCGGGAAAATTAATGGTATATAAATTGGATATAAATAGTGGTAATTACCTCTTAGGATAAAGCCTATTATTATAATGGTTATGAATTAGCTGATATCACTTCAGTCAGTATGGCCTTCCAAGTTCAAAGATTGAGTTGAAAAAAGATAGCTTAGAGCTGATAGGTGTTAAAGAAAAACCGAGACGAAATTATTTCTCTTATATCCGTTCCTCGCATACAGACCAAACCCTCCCGTCTGTTCAAATAGATTAATCCATAACCAGCGTCCTAAACTAACGTATCGTTAATTCGTAGCAGAGTAATCATCACCGCCTACCTAAGAGGTAGCTAATAAACTATACCCAAGATACCTAGATACACGAACACGCTTTATAACGCCTATTCCTCTCTAGCGAGTCCTTCTCCTTTTAGCATTTCGATTGCCGGCAGCCAGCGAAGCCAGAGCCCTCTTCCCCGGGCTAGGACCCGTTATCTTCTGCAGGAGAGCCGACAAGAATCCCCCGTCTGCCTTCGCTTCTCTCCTATCCATACGTTTGTCGTCTTTCAACGAATACGTACTGAACAGGCGGAAGTCATCCCAGGCCCATATTTTGACCTTTTTCCCTATGCGGCGGGCATCGACGTAATCGACAATGTTGACTAGAACCCCCTTAAGCTCTCGTCTGCACGCCGCGATGGTGTCTTGCGGGCTGACGCCGATCTCGCGGCACATGTTTTGATATATGTCAAGCTTTTCGCTCTCGTCTAACGATCTCTTGCCAAGCTCGGGTATGGTCTGCAGGCCCCCCGCAGCGTCAACGGGTTGAGACGAGTAATGGAATTTCAACTCGTCGCGAATCGCCTTGGTTCGCTGTCTCCTATACTCCTGGGACCCGGACGCCAGGCCCTGGGAGGAGGCCAGACGGCCGAATTCGTCGTCAAAAGGCGCGTTGTTATCGGGCACGAAGTTGGGAAATTGATCAAAGTAAGACTGCGATGCGGGCGGCGGCATTAGCCCTTCGGCATCTTCAGCCTTGAAGCTCATAAGATTCGTCGAGTCTGCTAAGGACACGAGAGCATTATCTTGCGATAGACGTTCGCTCTCCTCGTCATCGACTGTATGGCTGGTGTTGGAAGCCAAGGCATAGCCAACAAATTCTAGAGCGGCGTCAAGTGTGTCGAAACTCTTGAAAACGGCATTTGAGAACTTGGTGACCTGTTCTTCACATTGCTCCCAATTATCGTACACGCCAGGCTTCCTGCCGACTCGAACTGCATAGTAACTTGGCCGCTTGCGCTTGGACATCTCGTCTCTCTTTATAATAATTGTGATGTGACTTGTTGTGTCGGAACGCCAACAAACGCGTCGACGCGTCTCAATAAGTACTTTCTTCTACATGCATATTCCATATGGCGAGGGGCGCTCCGATTTGAGATATTGATTGGCTAAAGTCGTTATATTTCACAATCAAGTTGGTCCGTGTGATGCGAGGTTGTTATCTACCTCCTAAGTCATCATAAGCCATCGTAACTCCTATTTGCCGTTCCGAGTTTCAATAACATTTCCACCGTTCGAGTGATAACCTAAGACGGAAACGCTTCTTATCTCCAGTTAGAATATATCTCTAGTATACAACTAAATCATTAAGAGCAGCGGTTAAGAGACTCAAAGCCTTCAGGCTATATCGGTCAACTTGACCAGTTTAGGAGTCTAACCGATGTATCTATCAACACAATATAATACTTATCATTACTGGTACGTAGGTAGGCACGTTAGGTAGTAATCTCTTACACATAAAGTGCCTCGAAGTCGGTTGCAAATATAACATACGTTTTTAAGGATAGTTGGGAATGACCTATCATATTTCATATTTACACTTGGCCAACCTTTATACTTAGGTACCTAGCTTACCTGTTACAAGATACCCCTTATTTTCGATCTGCTACATATTAGCAACTTGACTATCTGTTCTTAACCATTTCAACCTTTCCGGCCAGATTCCCATTTTCCCGGGCGAGAGAATGCCGTTAGGGTCCAGAGATTCCTATAAATGGATTAAATATTCAGTTCCAAACCCCAGCCAGCACGAACAGAGGGGTAGAGTAGACTAACCTTCAACTTCTCGACGAAACGGCGGTAAGCATGATTGTTAAAATCAAAAAGGTCCGCATTCAAATCTGTCAAGTATTAGTAGTATTACTTATAAGTCCATCTATCTCCCGGGATGAGACTTACCCATATGGTTGATATGTGCCCGATACTTGGCGAAACCCCGCTTACTACCTTCTCTAAAGAGGTTACGAAACACTTTATCCACGCCGGTTCGTTGCTCTGGGCTGGTCTTATCGAAGCAGAGCATCGTGACAAAAATAGCATATCGATCGTGCATAAAGAAATCGCATAGGAAATCGAATCCTTGCTCCGCGCAGATGCCCTTGGCTGTCCTAGCCCATTCGAGCACTGTCTTCCCGTCTAGGGGTACGATGGGTGAGTACGCTCCGTGTGCTCCAACCGAATCATCCCGGCGGTTATAATAGTTCACCATCGGTATATTCCACATGCTTGGGACTCCGACCCTGACACCACCGTAGAGCGGGGAGACAGCAGTTGCTTCTAAAAGACCTCCGTCCTCTCCGGCGAACAGAGTTTGGCGAAGACGGCCATCAGGGGCTTTCCTTGCCACGACTCTCTCTACTTCGTTGAACTGGGCCTTGATGACCTCCGTCGGACCGTAAAGTCCAAACTTCACAGTCCAGATGCCAGCGTCTAAATCATTCTGCATTTCTTTCAGCCGCCAGTCCGGAATTGGTCCCTCGCCTTTCCACCAATCCGAATGCTTGCCAAACATAGTAGCCCATTCTGCAATGTAGAAGACGTAGACCATGTACGGTAGAGTGCCGTTACGTCGTAGTTCGCCGAAGACATCGACTATGGTCTCGATATGTTCGAACTCGGGCACGTCGAACGAGCAGGCCATGTATGCTTGTGGCTGCGGTGTTAAGTTAATGCCCATCTTAGTCACTATCCCGAGGTTGCTCTGTAGGAAGAGACCATCGATCGTAGGGCCGAATGTCAACTTTGTTGTATGCGAAGAGGCCGAGTTAGACATGGCGAACTGACCTGTTCTGACGACGTCGCCGTTTGCCAGAACAACCTCCATGCCGGCTATGTTTTCATGATGGACTCCCGTCGGGATAAATCCCAGGCCTCTATCAAGAGCCTAGTAACGTTAAAATCAAGTTGTCTCCCACTGTCTCGAGTAAGAACCCACATTGCCAATGACACTACCCCATCCTAGAGATGCCGTGCTCGGCCACACCTTGAGTTTCTTTTCCGCGCAATATTCATATAGGTCCCCGAAGGTAACCCCAGGCTCAACCACCGCGTAGCTGAATTTTTCGTTTACCTCTATGATCTTGTTTATCCGGTGCAAGTCCAGAGCGATACTTCCAGGGACACGCGGTGCAGGCCCTCCATACCTGCAAAACCATGTTAGTTAGTCCTCGCCTGTTCTCGCGCAACGATTCGGCTAGATGATACCCTAGATTCTTCCCCCTAGAGAAAGTCCACACCGGGATTTTATACTCGTTTACGATCTTCAGAACGGCCTGAATATCCGATACTGAGGATGGACTGCTCGGCAGGTTAATAGCTCGAATGGTGAGATCGAATATTTCTAAGGAGGTGGTTCCTTACCAAGCTGCGGCACTTGGCACGCTCCTTTCATGTCCGGCCTCGGGGATCTCGTAAGGGTCAACATAGTCCTTCAAGCCGTCGCCAGTAAAAACAGCGTCATTTCCCAAAGCTGCCACTATTTGCTCTAACGCTGAGGCAAAATCCTCTTGAGATACGTCTGGTGGCAGAACCGTCTCGATCTTTGCGACGAGCGGCTTCGAAAAAGCCTCCTCGTGAGCTGTCTGGTATAGGGGATCTGAGTATTTAGGCGCCATGTCGGTTGTTATCCCGTCTCAATTTTGCCTGGGAGATGTAGTCGAGCAGACGATAGAATTAAGAGTTAAACAAACATACAATTAATAGGGTTAGCTCTCTTTTATCTTCGGTCCCTACCGTACGATGTTTGAGGATCACCATGGTAGATGTGCGGAGATAGCAACGATGGCCCACTTGGACAAGGGGTAAGGGGTACTCTATATATGAGCATATCTAACTCCCCCAACTTCCTCTCGGCAGTTGTACGGTATGTCCACGATATTCCCCAGAAACTGCCAAGTGTGTAAGTTGTGTCGGATCCCTGATGGAATCTAGAACATTGAATGCATTTATTCATTTTCTTAGCGACCGAGGACTTAATCTACTTAGTTAATTGATGATCTCCTAATTGCGGATACAATATTAATACAGAAAAAGGCAAAGCAAAAATACCATTAATGAACTAAAACAATAAATAACAATACCAAACCGAACACCAAACCGTGTGCACCACCACCGCAGTCACCACCGTAATAACCATCGTCATCACTCTATCCCCGTTCTATAACCACTACCAATCACCGAGACCCACGTCTCTACGTCTCCCCGTCTCCCCATCCCTCCACTAGCTCATACGTTCTTCTATAGTACCTCAGCCTCCTTTTGCTTCAATAAATCCCTAAGTCTATCGCCAAGGGTTTCGTTGATGTGACCTCCCAAGAAGTCCCAGCCTACTCTCGAGTCGCGCGGCGGGGGCTCAGCACCCGTGTAAGTGTAGTAAGCGCCGACGAGGTATATGAACGATACCCACGTGCCAATAATAAGTCCGCCCTTCTTCCAATTTCCCTGCTCTATGTGAGGCTTGGCGAGGAAATACGTGCAGCAAGAAATCCAGAGGAGAGGGATGAGCCAGAAGTTGACGAGATATGTAATGTAGTCGAAACCCTTATACACCGAGAATATACCCCAGAGGAACCCGCCGACCACCAAAGCATGCCAGAACGCCCTTCTGGACGCGCCGAACAGGACTAAGAAGCCTGACTCAACTAGTCCGTATAGGCCGTTCGGCTGCCAGAGAAGCGTATTCAAATGCTCATCAAGAGTTATGGCCTCGACGTAGTCGTCCTCTGGGTAAATCAAGCCCTGGTAGTAAACAACCATGCAGTTTGAGATATCGATAATGCTTTGGCCTTCGATTTCATTTCGCTCATCCACCCAGGCCTCATCTGTAGGGTCATACTCGAGAGTAGCTTCAGTGGTGCCTTTGCCCTTGTTATAAGGCCTGTAGCGCGTGACCTTGGGGAACACTGCGAACTTGACCTTGGCGCCGCGAATCCTGTGGTACTCCATGACGCGGCGTTCATTTTCGTTCTGGGGTATCTGGATCGGCTGCTGAACACGCCTGTTGACGCGGGCGCCCTTCACGGCGGCGTCGACGTATTCTCTCCAGACTCTATCCTCTCCCTCGTACAGCTCCTTAGATTCGCGGTACAGCTGCATATCGGCCTGCTCCTCCTGCCCGTAGTCCATGCGGGCGCCGGGCGTGGCGGAGAGGAAATGGAAAATAGAAGGCGAGATGGCCATGCAGACTTGAATCATGCCCGCGTACGAAATTAATGTGTGCAGTTCTTGCAAGAATACCGCTTTCGAGTACCACGTGTTTACCTGTCCCGGAAGGACTTCCTTGAAAACGTTCAGGAACGGTAGGAATATATTCATGGTCTTGGCCGTCAGCTCGTCGACCGTGGGCCAGAAGTCTGCTGGGAGTAGTCCCCCTTCTACACCATACCTCGCAGTGATAGCACGAGCGGTCTTACGATCGTATCCTTCATAAGAATGTGTCAGCAAATCGTAATTTCTCTTGTTGAGTTAAGGAGAATTCCTTGGGCTTCAATAACCTACCTTCTTTTTCCATCCACTTAAAGTCGAGTCTCTCTAATTCCTCTTCGGTATCTTCGTCCGCTCCGAACAGCAGCTCGTTAAAAATCTTCTTCTCCATAACCTGGCCGAGGATGCCAACAATAAGCCATTTCCGCTGCGTCGCATCATTTAATATGATGGGCCATCCGCCGTTTCCTCGATCTTCGTGAGCAACCAGGCGGGTGTATTCAGCAAATTGCTCCGTCATATTAGCAGTCCAGATCTGGGCCGGGTGGCTGAAGTTGTCCAAGTTCACGTTGCCGTCGAACCACTTAGTCGCGAACTCTACCGTTTTGGTGTATAGGTTGGCGTAGTGCGTCTTATAGAAGTCATCATCGTAATCGCCAGGGTGGGCTATGCGACCGAGAAGCTGTTCGAAGTCGATATGTGCAGGACGACTATCGTGTCTTAGCTCTTCGGCTATTTTATATCTTTGCGAGCCTTTTCGTGAATTTTTGCCTCGCCTCCTGTGGTGGTCATCTGATTCATCGCTCGAATCATCAGGTTCCTCATTCACGATATCACGAAGCCTCCACTCATTCCAACGTCCTTCCTTCTTAGCCGCCCGGACATGCCTGGCAAACGGGCCCCATTTGTGGTCAGGGTCCCCAAATATCCCGTGAGCTACATATTCAAAGACATTCTTAGGGTACTCTCTAACATCCGTGTCTCGTGGAGTATAGAGCGCTCTGCGTCTCCCTTGCACCTTGCCCTTGCCCTTATCTCCGCCGTCTAGTTTTCCCGACATGTTAAGTCCGTACGCAGAACAATCTTCAAGTCTTATGCTATTGTTGATCTCTTCAGTATGTAATAATGTAAAAATGTATAGTGTATAATGGTATGGAGTAGAACCCCTATAAGATAAACGATGACTCAAGCAAGATTTGACTAGAGAGAGCTAGAGGTTTATGAGAGATGGTGATTAAAAAGACGCTCAAAACCAAGGGCTTGCAGAAAAGTTATCAGACGGACAAAGACAGATTCGGTATAATGGACTTAGACAACAATTGGAATCCTTGGGACGTGATTGGATGCTTCCGTATGGCTATTCCCGGTTTCGGTAATACAGGTGAAAGAAGACATTCCAGAGGTCGCAAGCAGCACTCCCGAAACCACCCGAAACCACGTTTCTTTAACAACACAAAGTACAGGAAATTTACAAAGTCAAAGTCAAAGTTACTTTTCCGTTTCGGCGTACAATTTATTAGATGCGCATTGAGAATTCCCAAAGCCTAGCCGATTCTAAATATAGAGATTTTTTTGTCTTTTCCGAGTTTTCGCTCTGCTAAACCAGCCTACCCAGCTTGTATGGAATGAGATATATGACCTGCTAGCTACCGTACAAATTCGTTCGAAAACAATTTATTCATACACCGTCACCTAGGTGTCCTATGTTACTGCGCAACGTGATACTGTTGAGCTTGAGCTTGACTAGGAACTTCGTAGATAGGCTGACCGGGGTTTCCCATCTGCTGGGGCTGGACATAAGTACTGCCGGTGGGCTGGGAGGAGAGCGGGGACGGCGACTGCGGCGGATAATACCCCTGGGGAGGCGGAGGATGTCCAGCCAGAGGGTTAGGTTCTTGATAGACTTGCGCAGGTTGAGGCTGCATCTGAAATTTCTCTCCGCCGGCCGATAGTTCAACACCGGCTCCTATACCGCCGGGAGCCCCGTGGATGGGCATAGCCTTGAGGCCAGCCTTTCGGTGCCGGTGTAGCATGACACCGTGGATCGATAGTGAGATGATGTAGAGAAGACTAAATAATATTAGGGTCGTGTAAATATACCGAGAAGCTTACATCTAATGACTTACAATTCCACTCCACCTAGACCTGCAGCAGCAGCTAAGCAACCGCCATACGTGTAGACTGCAGCATCGTACTCGCTAACGTCATAGTAGTCGTCATAGTAGTCGCTGTACGAGTGGTAATAAGCGAAAATGGAGGCGATTTGGGCAGCAAGGATGGCAAATGAAATTAGCCAGAAGATAACAAGGAATATATCCAAGCCGAGTATTGCCCAGTAGTTATAGGCCTTCGCGGGACCGAAATGGGCGACGAGACAATAGATACTAGTGATGATAGTCACAATGGACTGGTTATCTCGTCAGTTTCTTCTTAATATTGGTCCGAATTGTTGATTGTTGAGGTTCACATACGGTAAAAAGCGTCAAGGCATCTCCTGCAAAAATGAGATAGACGATACCGAAGGCACTTAACCCCAAACATATAATGCCGAAGATTAGCTGAATAATGCGTATGGCAACGAATCCCTTAGGGTAAAGGGGAATATGCTCCTTTCCAGGAACTCGCTGGTTCGAGTACTTCGACTGCGGTTGCTCCATCATGGCACACAAAGGGGTAACGATTAAAAGAGAACCACGCCGCAGAGACTTGTGAACAGCAAAACGGTCACTACGAAAAGAAAGCTAGAAAGATCAACAATTCAGGAAAAGGGAATGTCTACCCCATATGTACCCATCGGGCCCTATATGTTTCGTGTGGGCTGTGAGACGCCCGCCTACCAATAAGCCATAAGCAAAACAAATATTTCACCAACTGACAGGCGCAAGGGTACGAGCAACTGAGGGCGCCCATGACAAGTCATTTGTGCAGTAGAACACCAAACTACCTTGGCAGGCTTGAAGGACAGCTGCAATAGCGACAGCTTCGGGAGGAAGGGGACCCGCCCGAAACGCTCTGGTCCTCTTAAGACTGCATCAAATGAGATGAAGTGCTACCGCGAGACTTCGTACATAATCACGGCATATCACTATAAAATGCGATAGCGGACTTGTTTTGCGGCTGAAACTAGGGTCATGGATTGGACGATAATATACAGACCCCTGTCAGCTGAAGGGTAGAGATCAAGATGGCTATCCGTTTTTTTCTCCCCGCAGCAACACGATGTTACAATGTTAGATAACATGATCCCCCTACCCCCTGTGCCCCAGATACACTACAGGTGAAAATAGTTTATTAAGATGGCACTCGAAGACGAAGCGTCCAGCGTGTATGTACGAGTGTCGATGAGTTTTTGTTCTTTCTATTTCTTTTTGCTTTATGTACCTAACACTATGATTTTAGATGTATGTACCCCCTGGCTATACGGCTGAAGTAGTAAGCAATGTTACTAGTTTTTATAGGTGGTATAATTGACATCTAAGCTACGTGCAGCTAACGGCAACTTGACAATACCATGTAAAAACTGTATAAACCCAAAGTTGTTTTCGGACGTAGAGACAAAACTTAATTCGAGCATAGGAGCCGCAGGCATATAAAAGAAGACATCCCCGGAAGCGGCAGCAATCTGGAGTGTGGCAATACCGTATTTATACGACGTAGTATACTGTATTACTAGCCCACGACCGGTCAACCCAAGCGAGATAACCCTGCATTGGTCTATCAAAACGCCATAATTCTTGATTGAGATTAGCACTAGCATATACAACTCCACCATTGGGCAGGTTTTATAAGATGGCTTTACACTAGAGTAGCTAGCGAATCATAGCACAGCTTAGAAAGTGTCTCCATGGCTAGAGTAGCAAGAGCTGTGATTAGTATAGTTTCAGATATATACCATTGAGATGTGGCATAAGTTAGGTACTTGCCAAGCATAGCCACCAGCACTGCAACGGGCATCTTGGCTTATTGGTATTTGCCAGAGAAACCAAGGGATATATGACATGCTAGGAGGTAGCTATGGCTGTGTAGACCGTTCTACTATTACGATATTAAACCTTGAAAAATGTTAAGGCTTTATATATTAGATAACTACCTTATAAGAAGGCATTGGCAAAATCCAACTAATTACAACCTCGTAAGATACTCAGATGTGAAAAGATACCGCAGACCTACAAAGCTAAATGTTAAACGATTTATAATACCTATAGTTCTTACTGGCTTCCTGCGAAGCTGACCACCGAACTCTATGGTTATAGGTAAATATTCTCTCTATACAACTTCAATACTCCTACCTATTCAAAAAGGTTCAGGTAATTATAGCGATAGAAGCTAAAATAACTATTAGTAATTTATATAGTTGAAAACATTTTGTTACAACTGGTTTGAGTTCTCCCGAGATGCACTCTCTACTATTTCTTACAAGACATAGACTCATGCGTCCAAATAGGCTGAAGCTTTATTATCTCACGTTACGTCTAAACAAGGTAGGTTGAGTAATAATTAACCTTATGGAAAGTAAAAATGGAATGTAAACAGGTACCAAGAGAGCGATGTGACTCGTAGACTAGTTGTCAAAACCGGCATCTTATCAAAAGTATTAACGGATATATAGCTAATAACTACGGTTCAAAAATATATTCCATACAAATTCTCTATCCGCTACTTCACGTGTATCTCTGTCTACCTACCCCAATGGAAGTCAGAAAATAAGGACTAAATTTAAGCCACCCAGTTATAAAAAGGGGTTCTACCTACCATAGTTAAGAAGCTAGGGTATGTGCCTATATTTACTACCAATGCTTTATATTACTACCTTTCTAACATATTTTAGCATTCCCAATTTCCCATAGCCTTCGCGCAGTGGCCGTCATATATGGAAGACAGCACCACCATCATCGTCGCTACAAGACAAGAGCAAGATCATTCTAAGCTACACCCGGTACCATGAAGCTAACAAAGCGCCGCGCGTCGCCCTTATAGGAGCACATACAAAGCAGCCGGGAAAGGGGCACTTAGTTATGTACAATGGCCCTATAGCTATTGTACGTGGAACTTATGCATATATAGACTCCTCACGCGAAAAAATTGCTTGACGATCGGTCCCATCGACATATATGAAAGTTAACACTCAGTACTACTACTCTAAATCATATCAAACGCACCCACCAATAAACGGTACACTCGCATACCGGGTATGCTCTGGTCAGGTCAGCACCACGCCAAGGTTATGCCCAGATCAAAGGCAAACCTTAAGAACGAGGACCACCAATTCTCTAACGCATCTTACCGCAACAGATATGCATGTAGGGACCAAACATTTAGAGCTTAAGCTTTTGCAAAAGTTAGATCTCGGGGTCAAATCCTGATCTGTTCGTTTGGGAAAAAAAAAAAAAAAGAAAAGAAAGCTTGCTCTTTTTTTCCCCCTTGACATCATCACGTTTACGTCCCTTTTCCCACGCAAAGTGAAACAGCGGGAAGGCTTTGACAAGAACTGTTAAGTGTTGTGTTTGAGTGTAAAAAGAGCGCCCCTGGAAGAAGTGACCCGGTAGTCTATCTATCTATATTTCCATCGAGATTCATTTATCGGTTCACCTACCTACCTACCTAGGTACCTACCTATTCCTCCCAAACGAAGGGAAATGTCTGCAAAACTGCCCAAAGAGGCATCGCCGGGACCAGAGCACAACCCACAGCAGCCATCATCTCGCTGGTCCGAGATCGAAGATAGGATTTTGAAGCAAGCGGTAGCACGATATGGCGTGAGCCGTTGGGACGACGTCGCAAAGATGGTATGGACGAGGAAGAGCGCCGAGGAGTGCCGGGCGCGTTGGGCGGAGCTTGTTCCGATACTATACGAAGGCTTAGCACGGCGGGAGTCCGCGTTAGAGCAGCGCCGTACGAGGAGCGTCACAGTATCAACAGTTGCGTCAAGCGCGTCGATATCACGACGAGGGGATGACGAAAGCTTTCAGACTCCGCCTCTCCCCATCCAAGGGCGGTTGGGACTAAAGGGGGAGCTACCACTAACCCGAGTGGAGGGTAGCGCTAAACTCTGTACCGAACCATCTTCACCCTATTCACCCTCTTCGCCCACCCCTTTAACCCCCACAATGGAATCCCCATCGCCACCTCTCTCGTCAGCGTCGGCGCGAAATCGACGGAATACCGAACCAGGAGAGCGACCCCTTCGGGCTGAGTCGATATCTCGCGGGAGGAGAGAAGAACGACGGGAGTGGCTTGCACCACATCCGCTTATGCCGGGACGTCCCCGCAGAACGCCGACATCCTCGAGGGATACTTCGGCATTTAAGAGAAAGGACGATACGACTAGTAAACCTAGAGAGTAGAAGGTAGCTAGGTAGTATTAGGTTATGGCCCAAGATAACAATGTTCAACGTTGATATAGAAAATGACTAAATATTATGGAAGAGGATATGATTATTTTAATGTCTACATGACAAAGACTGGTCTTTTAAGATGATGAGATGAAGCCTACCTCCTAGGTACCTATGTTTGAAATAGACCTGTTCATCAATACCTTAAAGCCATTTTAGACTATACAATACATTCTTATCCTTCATTCACACTAATTCGTATTTTTATCAAAAGCGAAATAAAATTTCCGTAGTCAATTGACTCGGTATCCCATCGAGTTCCTCTAATACTGCTCGATATCTATGCTACAATATGCCAGCTTTGTTCTCGTCCGTAATCGTCATCTTTTCGCATGACTACCACCCACCACCACCCCCATGATGGCCCAGCCCCGCGCGAGAGAAGCCACTTCAGACTCATCAGTAAAAAGACTCGTAAAGTCATCTTGTACGCGGGGATCGCCCACTACATCTTGCCTCCCCGCCAGTACACTGTTCCCCGTCCATTTGCCACATAAACGAGAATGACAACATAGTTGTAAAGTGAAAAATGAAAAAGAGGACACAATTTCCATCCAATTCTAGCTTACTTGCTCCGCTTTGGCGGATCCGCATTGCCGATGAAGAGCCAGGCGTTAATGGGAATCGATTAAAGTTACGTGTATTTAGGGGAAATGCGCCGTCGTATCGACTCAATCCACCCGTTTCCAAGGTTCCATAAGTATAAATAAAATTGAGCTGAATCTAGACAGCTCTATACGATCCGTCAAAGCAGGAACAGCTCATGGGGTATCTCATCGAGGCCTGGTGAGAACAAAAAAAAAAGAATGGAAAAAAAGCTCGAATAATCAATGAAGACTCCCAAGGTCAACGAAATAGACGTAACGATGATGGCGCTAAACTCCTTTGTTTCGGGCGCTTCTACGAGAAATCATCCGCCGTCGGGGACATGACTAGACGGTCAATTTGCTGGACCAACTCCTTCGTTTCGCGTACAATCTCAAAAGCGATAGGTGGTAACGTCTGAGTCCACATGCGCCAGTCCCGGTCATTTAGTCCAAGGCCACGAGCTGCGAGATCCTTGCCTCGGTCGCCGGCTTCGAGCAGCCGTTGGCGACAGGCGGCTAATCGGTCGGTCATATCGCCACCGTTGCCGCTTGCTTCGGTCTCGGCGACTACCTTGCCAACGACATCGGTAATCGACGTAATCTCCTCGGATATCTGCTCGATAGGCGCATCGCCACGGATGGAACCAACTAGACCTTGAATTGTCTGGACCATAATCTCCCTCTGATCTTCGAGATATATCTTCAACTCTTCATTCGTATTGTTTCGTTGGCCGTTGGGAGGCGAAGATAGCTTATTTAGTCCCATGTACGCCATGCCATTGACACCGCCGTTCCTAGAACCGTATTGATCGCCGGATTCTCGCGGCGAACTGATAGGGCTGTAAGCCGAAGAGTTGGCGCTATCACGCATTCCGGTACGGAGACCTTGAAACGGCGGGGGCGGCACGAGAGGTGATTCTTGCGATTTCAAGAACGCATCTTGCTGTGTTGTGGTGGTGCGGTTCGAGAAGAACCCGATCGACTCTACTGGCGTAACCGTGCCGTCATCGTCGTCTTCTAACTCGCCGGCGGGCGTGGCACGTATCTTGGCTGTCCGCAGCAGTTCGACGAGAGCAGCAACAAGATGGGAGGCGGCCGCGTCTAGCAGAGAGACGGGCGAAATTCCTGCTCCGGATGCAAAGTTCTTGGAAGCGGTGATCAAATTGTTGGCCGTGGCGGATACTCGGCTCTTGAGCTTCTGCTGCTGCTGAGCAACTTCTCCATCGCTCGGCCGTGACCCGTCGATGTCTTTCGTGATACGTCGGACGCCGACAATAACCGCCTTCATAGAATCGATTACCTTGTCCGGGCTATCCGTTCTCGCTCTTTGCAATAATTCATCAATAGCGATTTGGAATTTAGTGACGTGCACATCCTTGACGAGGCCATTTTCTTCCGTGAAGCCCTTTTCTCGCACGTACTTGGCGGCATCTTGCTCGATCGTCAGCCCTATCGACGAGGCACGCATGCTCCTGAGCTGCGTCTTTGTGCGCGCGTAGCGGTTCCGCCACTCTCTGACTTCCTGTTCCAGTTGTTCAACAATCTTCTCTAGCTCGGCCTGCCTCTCCCAGGAGGGGCTGTGCTGCTGCGAGAGAACCTTCATTTCGTCGAGGAACTGCCGGGCCTCGCGTCGGACATTCTCTGTTACTTGTTGCTGCTCTTCGAGAGCCATGCGCAATTCTTCGTTTTCTCTCGTGACATCGGAATCTCCTCCAGTACTTCTGCTGTTCTTCCGAGCGTCTTCAATCTCCTCCCTTAGCTTTCGTGTCTCCGTGACGTGGTCATCCCTCATCCTCTCAAGTTCGTCCTGTAACGAGTCGTTGAGTGTTTGTGCTTCGGCGAGCTTGCTCTCGAGGTCTGTCCGCATATCTTCCCACTCCTTTTTTTCCAAGTTCGAAGCCGATGTACGGGATCGTTCACCATCCATGAATTGAGCCAGGTCGTCGTCTTTCTTCTTGAGTTGGTCTTCCATGCTATCTATCTTGTCCCGAAGCTCTCGTACTTGGTTTTGATAGTCATCTATCAACCTTTTGTCGACCTATGAAACACGAGTTAGCAGCCGTGGCACTCCGAGCCTGAACTTTCAACACTTGCCTCAGATGCGCCGCCATTTGTGCCGATGCTCCTTTTACTGTCTCGATTTTGCGACCTGAAAGCATCAACTTCTTCGTCATTCGACCCGACCATGTCATCGTCTTCCTCAACCATCGTACTCTTATTGGGTACAATTGTATTGCTTTGAAATTGCTTTGGGAGAGGTCGATCAAAGCTACCGTTCGATAGACCGGGAGACGACGGCACAGGGTATTCGCCATTGATCCTAGGGGCGGCGGAGCGAATGGAACTCGCGTCTGATGGTCTCCGCATACCGTTTGGCCCCCTAGGGCCCATGCCGCTTATGGGAGTGCCAGCTCGACTCAACGGTACTCCGGGATTGCTCATCCGGGGGACATTGCCTGCGATAAATCGGGGAATTCGCCTTTCCAATTCGCAGAAGACATCTGTCGCGAGATCCCTAAATCTCGGCGGACCTAGGGTCGATAACTTCTGACGTGCTTGGTTGCGCTTGGGATGGAACATGTTTTCGGGTAATAAGTAAGATGGAGGACCAACATTGGGAGGCGCGTTGGGAGGTCTTCGACTATAGGCTTGTCGTCGCATTAACTCGTCGAAGACATCGGTAGATAGCTCGAGAAACTGAACAGACGATAGGCGCAATAACTTGTCGCGTGCCTTGTTAGGGGGTGGACCTGCTCTGCCATCCTTAGAGGTCGAGGACAGGTACCTCTGGAGGGCGATGTAGTGTTCTCCTAAGACTGCCTCAGTGTTTTCTTCGCGGATACTCCTCCCACTTTCGCTCCTAGCATAGGTACTAGAGCGTCCGACCGAAGGCGGCGGCGAAGGACCGCCGACGCTCCTAGGGCCGGGAGGGAAGCCATTCATATTCCCGTTGGAGCTATTGGAGTCCGGGGGGGAGACAGGACCTCGATTGCCAGGATAAGGACCGTCGCCGTCGTTATTCGGGTATTTAGAAATACCGGACCATTCGCTTCCAGCGCCTACAGAGACAGGTGAAAGCGGCGCATTTCGGGTATTCATGGTGAGTGTAATTTTGGTATGCGGAATTGGCGGCCACTGTTGCAACGATCAAGGGCGGAAGGAAGAGAATGCGCGCGCCACGCGAAAAAAGGAGGAATTGAGGCGGCGGCAGATGTCTCAAGTCCAGCCCAGTCTAGGTAGTCAGATCCGATCCAATCTAGCTAGCTTCCCCCTTGATTCCTTGATTCTCAGCTTTCGGCTTTCGACCCAATCGAATACCAGTCTCGAGTTTGGGGATTTGCTGTACTACGGCAATTCAACTTTTCAGTAATTCTCTATCCCTTTCCCGTTCCGAGATCAAGGACGGGATCTTGGAAATGCAGGGAAATAATTGAGAAAAGATAAAAAGAATAAAAAGAGGGACAGCGTTGTAATGAATATGACAAAGACCGACACCCCGACACCCCGACAATTTCTTGTCTCACGGTGGGGATGAGACGTAACCCAGGCTTAGTTTAACTGAGCAGTTGATCTAAAGCGGAAGGCAATCTTAGGTGCGACAAGCAACGAGGCGCAATTAGACTGTGAGTCTCTTTTGGTCGGTGTTTGTGGTAGAACCTGGGCTAGCTATAGCTTCATTCCACGTGCTAATGCATAGGCCCTATGAGAATGGAAAAGAAATTGATTGAAGCAAGGGAGAAGAGCCTCTCGATACGAGCGAACGGGTTTGCAAGAAAGCAAAAAGAAAAAGTGAAAGGTAACCCCGTCTATCAACCAGGACAAGAGAACGAACGTATGTTAATAGTGGCTCAAGGCGTCTCAAATTCTCTACGCGGAAAAAAGATTATGTTCCAGGGAGGACTCCTGCAGGTACAGCGAATACGACTCAACGAGTACCTGGATATTCGTGTGAAGGAGGGAAGTGAATTGGTGAATGGTGAATGGTGAATGGTAAATGGCAATACACTTCCAAAAAAAATTGGTGGTAGCAATTGAGTGAAACCTCGAAAAGTGCCCAGGTGGTTGAAGCAGATGGGGAAGGACAAGGGGTGACAGGGGGGCCTGACCAATCGAGAAAGGGGGCGGGGACGTATTTGGGACGATTAAGGTATTTGGCCGGGGTGGTTCCTAACTAGACGGTGGTTAGATGGCTACCTGCAACGCATGCAGAACGGGGTCTACCTAGCAGTTGCTCTACGTGGCTGTTCTGTGGAAAGTTTACAAAGTACCTTACCTAGGTACATTCATGGATCTACGTACGCGCGATGCTTGTATGTACACTAAAACTGTACATATAAAATGTGGCCTAAGGTGTATCTCGTCTCATTCACCACACCCAGGTGAACTGACTTTATACATGTAACAAAATCACGAATAATCTGTATTGAATGGGTAGGCATGTAAGTAGATATACGTAAATGCATCGTATAATATCTTTATGTTGTACGTATGCTGAATTAAGCTTTTTTCGATCTTAGGTCCATGTACATTACATTGATATTCCTGTTAATAATGCAGCAGTGTGTGTGTACATAACTCATACATAAATGTATTCTCCTGTACGTTTTCAGGGGTTGTATACTCAGGGATACATCGTCCATATGTACCTAACATACAAGTTTCTAAGATGAGAATAATGCTGCGCCGTCCACTTTAAATTCTTCACTCCAGCCTCTTTTGATCCTAGATGCTAAGGATTGTTATTCGCATTCTAGAAGTCCGTCCGCTTTCCCCTTTCGTCTTATGAGAAAAATGAAAAGAGATCGTTGGGAACGGCCTTGCGAGTCTCGACTGCAGTCAGCAAGATGGGAAGATCGAGACCAGGAAGATCGACGGTTCGCCTTCCCCAATGACGATACGCCTCTTCGTGGGGTTCTTGACAATTTTAGATTTCCCCATCGGCCGGGAAGAAAAAAGACGGGATTCACAAAATTATGGGTTTCTCTTTATTCCGTATTTTATTAGTATAACTGGTCTAAATTTACGGAATATTATGCAGCATCTTTAAGCCAGCCCTGAACATATATACAGGTGATTGATCAGTTTTTTATTTACCGGCGGTTGATCGTGCTAGGTTTGAATGGCTCGGGTCATCTCCCGTCGCGCGCGCTTCGTTGGCACCTAGCCGTACTCAAATTCCTCTATAGCGAATAAAAGCGACCATTAGAAAATTCGATTGGTTTAATTACCGAAACAAGGCATACAGCTCGACAACTCAAGAACAGGATATTTCATATTGTTATTACATAGACTACATAGAGGCCGTTTGCTCATCTCATACACAATGTTCTCTATGTAGATTCATCTTCCTATTAGTCTCTCCGTCTGTCACCGCTTCAAATCATGATGAGGCCTTAACTGTAAACTGATTTATCAGTTACTTCAATTTCAATAGGTCGGGGCTATGTCATCTACAGGTGACTTTTTAGCATCGTATGCATAGATCGTTGTGGAGAGGTGCTTGGTGCTTGTAAGCTGGCTATTGGTCGCATCAGCGCCTTCGTCATAATAAAAAATTGTGCAGAGTAATGTAGCGGTCTGTTTCCTGGCCTTGGATAATGCGAACCGAAAAAAACATACATAATAAGATATTTCGGAAAAAGGAACTATGTTTACTTTCTACATCTGAAATTAGATGCTATTCCGGCAAAGAATACAATGTCGCTCCTTAATGTCTTGGTCCCGGTGGGAACCTTGACAAGCCTCGTAGAGGACATCTGTAAACAAATCGATGTCGGTCGTCTTGAAGTCACGGATGTCCCATCTAAAAAGAGACCAACGTCCGAGTTAAATCAGCTCGTTGCTCTTCTCGGGCAGAAGTTAAACGTATGCGCGCCATCCCTCAATATAACTAATACCCGTTACTTAACTAATAAGATTGTATCAAGAGGAGCTTCAAATCCCACACACTAATCATGATGGACTCTCTTGAAGACTTCTACTTGGACGAAGTAGAGGGCGAAAAGTGTATCTTCTGCATAAGAAAAAATCAATCTGGACCGGCAATTTGGACAGATATGGTTAGGGAGTGTCGCATCGAAGAAAACACCGTCTCTCTCATCGAGGAGGGCTATCTCCACGCCGAAGGTGACGATGGTGGCATTTATCTTATATTGTGGCCTCTGAAGGGGCCAGAGGAAAGCCTCACGGCGCAGGGGCCTCCAGAGCGACGAGATAATAGACAATTGGTAGCTCCACAAGCACAGTACGACGTTGCGGATAAAGCTATAGAGATCGACAGGGCACGAGAAACAATTACATTAGAAGATTGTAGGAAACAGTTAGCTTTATGGGAGAAGCTAGATAAGGAGATCAGGAGTCAGCGGAAAAGAGGTAGGGACTTAATGGCGGACTCGGCCCCTGAGGATGCTATTAGGGTCTACGGCGAAGCCGAAGAAACCCACGAAGATATGACACGGGAGGGGATCGCGGAACTTGAAAGACGAGTGAGATTTTTAGTTCAAGGAGCGTCAAAGAAGACTGGATTGGCAGCACGAAATTCTATTAACGGGCCTACCGGTGTCTATGGGAATCGGGAAAAAGACATACGGTCAGATGGCATCACCGAGGTGATACCTATAGAGCATCAGAGCAACAAGAGACGGAAAATAAGAAGTACTATGTGAAGAGGAAAGTGTATATATTACTAAACTTCGGGCTATTATTATGTATATCGGTGTAAATTTGAGGTATAATCTTCCTGTCTATCGTTCATGTATGAAAGCCTACTTGCTACCATCTAAAAACTATGAGAATATTAGCACGAGACTCGTCATCATTCAATAACATAGAACTAGAAGAGCACATAATTAGAAGAGATGATAACCTCTGGCCACAACTGTGAGATATTATTTATTCATTAGTCCATTAATATGTGCCATTTCCGTGTCCCTCCGCAGACATTTAAAAGCAACCAGATATCTATCTCTATGGTTACGGCTGTTCGCACAAAATGAAATCATCCGATTCCGGGGTATCATTGCAAAAAAAAAAAAAAATTTCAAGCCTCGCATCCTAAAACCAAGCCAACGTCCACGTCGCAGGTAAATTTGGCCACCTCTCCTGCCACTCCCCGATGATCTCTGGTACTCGTTCATCGAAAGAGGCTCTACTAGCTGCACTCGCCATATCGAACGCGGCAGGTCCTATAGACTCGCGTTCCTCCTTCGCAGCATTATTTAACGAGTCGGCAAGGTCGAGAATGCCTCGCCCACCGATAGAAGCCTCCTCATGGTTATCCTTGATATCAACGTTGATAACATGAACGGGTCTGTTTAGAGGGGACCCTCTATTCAGAAGGTCGTCAATGACGGCATCCCAACATCTCTCTTCGCAGGTGATTACCACATCTACCACACCACCTTCTGTCCCTTCGCTTCCTCGGTCCGAGGTGTGCTCGGTTCTGGGAATACCTATCTGCCAATCTTGCCATCGTTCCGGACCCCACTTTACTTGTCTATTTCTACCGAGCATGTTGAGCAGGCCGTTGGCGGTATACAACCGGGGATCTTTCTCGTGGAGTTCCTTATACATAGCGTCGTATGACACCTTGTTGAATTGATAGACATTGGGCTGTGTTATTGAAGGTCCGGGTAGCCGAACCAGAGATCCTGTACCAAAGGAGATGACTGGGTAGTGAGCCTGTGACAACCGAAGATGCGCTTCCATTGATCTTTATTGTGTTAGCACTTTTGATATGATTGTAATCGAGAGGGGCATCATACCTGTTCTGGTTGCTGGCGCAAACTGTGCAGAACTTCAGCTTGAATCCCCCCGGGTCCTCCCGCTCACCGTTAGCCGGGGCAGCGGGTGCGGGTGCTCCATTTGCTGCCTCCATCTTGTTTCGCCCAAGGTCGCGTTCAGCTCAATTCCACGAGCTAAGCCGATAACAATGGCATTCGCATGCCCGTCGAGAATCGTAGATCAAGCCGCACCAAGTCTATGATTGTGTCAATTCCAATATTATTCCCATAATTATAAAATAAGGTTGAGGGAATATTTCTCAATTAGATCAGAAAATGTTGCGTAAGGTAATAATTGAGTGTCACCATAGAAAAATCAGACAGCTCCAATATCAAATTTCATCATAACGAGAGATGTACTATACGTGTAACAAAGGAATGATCTAGATGATTTACTTACTGTTAATGTGGAGGTTTACGCGTCTTGCTGAAGGATACGACTCTCTTGTTGAGTTGGCTGTGTTAAAAGGCTGGCGATCAAAAGTAGTTATTGGTTTGATGTTTAATTTTGATGTTCAATCAAGAAAATGCTAGTGACATCAAATAGTGCATTGTGAAAACAAAGTGGCCCGGATGCGCTTGCCCGGTGCATAAATCATTCGGAATATTCATTAATCCGTACCGGATAGTACAACCGGCCCGAGCAGTCCAGATGGCGCCGATCTGATGGCTGGTCAACCGCTTTATGTAACCATACTTAACCATACATGTGTACATACTTAACCACGTGCATTGAACCAATACCATGACCTACATAAGTACTTTTTATACACGTACTTGGAAGTAATTATTTATTTTGCTATTGACAATTTGAGGGCTTAATTAAAACTTCTTTATATCAGGCAACCTAGATGTTAACTGCCATGTTGTGAGTGTATCTGCTTACTTCCGTCTTAAGAGTTTTATTCTATAGGCACATACATATGTAGGACTGCGACTACGTGTACCTTGTATACAACCCTCGCAGTTGGCGTCTCTTGGGGTTGGACAACGCAGACGCAGAAAACATGAAACAAACGACAGAATGACCTTTAACGACTACGGTGGAGAAGCTATTGTCCAATAATATGATCGTATTATATGCAAGTTTCGACTCCACTTCTGTAGGGTCGGCGCCCGACATACCTAGCAGTTCAGCAAGTCGAACAAGTTGGAAGGGATGTTACCAGAAATAGAAACACCATCTCCAATTCTCCCTCCCGTTCGATGCAACATCCGATCCAACCAGGAGCAAGTCCGGATCGGCTTATACGCACAGCGCTGGGTAAGATTTCAAACACGCCGTTTGGAAGACTTGGAATCTATCTGTTTGTCTTGTTGTTTTACTAGTACCTAACTAACTAACTACCTAGGTAACATGTAACTAACTAACTAGGTCTTGTTAATTATGTAAATCTTATACGTTCTGTAGCCTACTCTGCTCTTCGTGAGGAAGTATACTTTTACATACTAATACATATACTACTTATCTACGCTTGAGGCTAGTGGTATGTAACGTCCTTTTGTTTGCTGGGATATGCGTGTAACCTGGTTCACAAGCTCCTAACAAATCCCTACCGCGTTCGTTTTTCTTCTGACTTACATTGCATCGTGCCCCTCGACGAAACAGGAATTCAATTCATCGCGGGCGTTCTCATCATAATTCCTAACATCAGACCGCTTTTTCGCAGGCTAAAAGTTCTATATGCACGTTGCGAGTACAGACCTATATACCCAAGCAGTACATAGTAGGCAACAACGGATTGAGGCATCGGTTAAGGGTCACGTGTGCGGCACGAATCAACCATGCCGCCTTTGTTTCACCATTGACTAAATGCATGGTTCTTCGGGCTGTCCATCGCATTCGACACTCATGTCCGCAGGATTAGATGCGGTGTTGCTGCAAGGCGTGAGCGCTAAAGAAGCACAACGAAGCAGCCTATATACGAGTTTAGCAGTGTAGCTGTAAAATCTTCTAATAGATAGCTCTATAAGTTTGCATTATAGCGCTCCTAAAACATTACACTACCACAATAGGGGGGAGAGTATTTTAGTATATATTGAGCTACGAGCTAACGATAGGTTCAACTAGTGTACGCCATATTAGGGGGCAGTCTCTGGGGGTAGTATCTGGGTCGCAGAACCGTGCCCAAAGTATGTAGATGAAAGTGTTATTGGGCTGCAAGAGGCCACAGCGAATGCAACTTGATTGCAGTCGAACGGAGTTGATGTTACGCCCTTATGCGGAACATTACAGCCAGCAACGTTACGGGACGCAATAGACTATACTGCTTTTTCTTTTTTGTTAGTATAGGAATAGAAGGTAAGCTACTTGCATATGGATATATTCTGTTGTAGTCTGTTTATGAAGCTAATTATTAGTATATAAACCTACATGTAAGCAAGCATTTGAAACGACTATAAGCAATTCTAAAAACATGCTTAACGTTAAACAGTTTACACTTTTGTGGCGGTATAAAGTGTGAACAGAGCCTTGTTAGGTCGTTTGCTATTAGGTATTATTGGTGTACCTGTATATCTTGGGAATAAATGCGTTACCGCTTGCTTGGTAGGACCATTATGGTTCTTACCTTGCGCATACGTGTATAGGGATAACACCGGTTGAGTACCTAATATTACTCGTCTGCTCATAACTGTCTGAAGTAAAAACAGACAAGAACAAAGTAAAGCAAATAGAATTGAAAAAAAAAATGAAAAAAAGGAAAAGCAACCGTTAACAAGATTAAATACAGCTACACGTATTTCTCGAATTATAAATCTTGATTCGTTCTGTTTTGTTTTCCTCTTGATTCATTCCACTATCTCTATAGAGGTACATGGGCGACTCGGTCACTCGGGTTCAATGTTACTCGGCCGGCAAGCAACCGCCGGCGCTATTTCAGGCATGCGCCGCTCATTCACTAAACCCCGCTGAGTGGTTACCAAGGGCAAAGAGCCGCTAAAGTACAGGGTCCAGCCAGTAGGATCTCTGTACCACGCGCTTAATTGCGACCAATTCCGGTCATTTTTGGGATCAAAGCTCCTCTAAGAAAAAAGCACTACGCTGTGACTGTAGTGCGTAGGTGAGTTTGCGCAAAAATTTATGCTTGCACCTTTGCTGTGCTCTATTATTTTATTTTTATTTTTGCTTGCATAGTCCTGTTGTATTGAATGCTTTGTTGGGTTTGTCTCCATTCTAAGGGAGGTACGAAATACTTAACTGACATAACGATGTACGGTACGGTACTTCGTACAGTCAGTACAGTACTTCCGCTAAGCAGGCAGCCAGTCCTAGGCTATTCCACTAGAATTATTTCACACTGAGGTCCTGCCCTGTTAGTTCGCTCAATTGAACCTTGAACTCCTTAAACTTTAAACCTTGGACCTGAACCTTGGACCCTCCCGCTGCTGCGGTACACTACCTCTCTTTTGCATCTCCACTCCCATACCTTTTTTTACACCCTTCACCCTTCACCAAATGCACCAAATCACCAAATCTCCACAGTCCGTCCCTACAATACCCTCCCCATACCTTGAACCTTACCTTATTACGAATAATTTCCTACCCTTTCAGTTTCTACCCTCCTGTCGACCCTAGTCATCTTCGCAGGGCTCCTAGGGCTACAACCTTGAATTCGAATTCGAGACCGCGAGTCTTCTTTCTAACACAACTTCGCTTGCGCCAGCGCCCTCGATTTTCTTCGCGATACGCTCTTTTTTCTTCACCACCTCGCTCTCTTTCTGCAGACATTGACCCTACGAAACCCACTTAATTCGACGACGAGACGTGATATAATATTACGCTAAGCTGCCAATATCAGTCACCTCCCTGTTCCTCGCATCCTAGTCCCTATTTGGACTCATGATAGGTCCAACTAGCCTCTTTGAAGACCCAGCCGAAAACTCGCACGCCTTTGTTGTCGCCCCGTCGTGAAGAAGTTGTTTCGGATTGGGATATCGTATAAGGCCTGGACATTGCTAATACTACCGTTCTTCCCGACTTATCTGATTCCTCCCATCGAAGATCGTACAAGATCGCGGAACAACTTGCGGGTCGAGTTTGTTGGGCGGCATTCACACCGTGTGTGGATGTATATGCCTGTGTAGTCTGGTTGCTGTGCAGTCCAGCTGTTCAAGAGACGGCACACATTGCAAACGTTGTCACACGTATCGCGTGATACTTCGACATAAGATATCTTCTCTTCTGGGTACGCATATGAAGACTACCTCGGTCTCCCTTCCTCGATGACCGCAATCATGTCCTCATCGTACTCATCCCAAGCCGTTTCGCCTCCAGCAGTTCCGCCGCAACAGCATACTACGAATCCGAACCACCCAGCCTTGACGCCACTAATAACCTCCCCACCCGCGCGCCGATCAGCCGTACCGCGACCGATGTCCCACGCTTCTAAAAACCGACTGTCGCAGTACTCGACGGGCTCCGTCCCGTCGCGGTCTCGGCCAGGTTCCTTCCTCTTCCCTGTCTTCCACTCCAGTCTATCATATACCACCGTTCGAGACTTCGCCTACGCGCCCACACATCCGATGCACTATGGCCCCCCGCCGGAGCCTTCGAGACCGCCCTCCGGCATGACCACCCCCGCTAGCGAGACGAGACGACTTTCGGACCCACCCGCCTCCTGGGAAAGCAAGATCGGTTGGGATTGGACGTCAGACGGTGGACTCGGGAAGGGTGGCGAGCTTGCCCCGATCCATTTCGGCGACGGCCCCCCCTGGAGCGAGGACGAAGACCTGCAGAGCCCTGTCGTTAGCTCGCGGCATCGAAAGAACAAGTCTACCTCTGCTGTCACGGGGCACCATAAGAGCCGGGGCTCGAGGGATGGCGGCGCGTCTTCCTCGATACTTAGTGCGGGGAGCCTAGACTCTAATAGAGGTTACTACGTCGGAACGAGTGGCAACGGGGGCGAAAGGTACTACGTAAGCCAGGGCAGCGAGGCCAACGGTCCGGGCGGAGAATATGTCACGTATCCGCCGGATCAAGGCCGGCATTCTATTAATGCGTACCAACCGTCGTCAGATCAGCAGCCACGAAATTATGCAGAGAACGATACCGGATATAGGTCCGAGTCGGACGCCTCGAGCACCGGCTCGTCTCCGGGTTATCATCCATACGACGAGTCTAGGTATTCGAGAGATTATCAATTCACCATCACCTCACCAGACGAGGAAATGCACGGCAAGGCCGTCGCGTTATTCGATTTCGAAAGGGAGAACGAGAACGAGCTGCCTCTGGTCGAAGGCCAAATTATATGGGTGTCGTATAGGCACGGCCAAGGCTGGCTCGTTGCGGAGGACCCCAAGACCCAGGAAAGCGGACTGGTACCGGAAGAGTACGTTCGACTCCTTCGCGATATCGAAGGCGGCATGACGAGCCTGACTGGGCAGCTCGACACCGGCCTGGGAACCCCTAACGACGCTGACACCCCGACGCAAGCCGAACCCAGCGGGCAAGCATCCTTACCCCAGACTACACATGCCACGCAACCGGGGCCTGCTCCAACGGGGAATAATCCAACGAACGGTTATCACCAACCGATCGTCTCGACCTTCTCGACCTCTAGCAAGGATCTAGATCCCTATCCCCAGCATCTATTGGGCCAGCACGGGCAGCCCCCTCCGCAGGTCGTACACTACCACGGCCAACGCGGGGGCAGTCAAGCCAACACGCCTACGGCTCAGAACTCCTTCGGTGATACTCCACTGGGCCGCACTAGTCAAGATGCCAAACGCAATAGTTCAAATTCTAGAAAGTCGCAGACGCTCGATGTTCTACCCCACTCAAAAATGAAGTCTCCAGATCACGAGTCGGACTCGGAGGATGAGAACCAATAGAAGCCCGAAAAGCAGTAATAGAGACGCTTCGAACATGGGTCAAAAATGAGATCTATGCCGAGATATCAAACACATTGAATCGAAAATCGATTCGCCTAGAGAAACTTGATTCTCTATATAGTCGCAACCGCATCTAGTTTCACTGCGATAGTTACCGTCGCGACCGTCCTCGGCGAAAATGGCGGTTCCCGCATAACTCAGGTCGCTTGTACGGAGCTACAGATTGTGACGACCACACCCGTCGTTTGCGATCACCTATTGACTTTTCGAGGTCGATGCGCTGGAGCTGCATACGAATGGATATTGGCAGGATTCTATCGAGCCTGCATTGGTGTATTTACTCGCGTGACGGCGTATGCCGCATCGTGAGAATGCAAAGATACAGAATAAGAGACACGTGATCACATGATGATCCGATCAAGAAGATAGCTGAATGAGAAAAAAAACAACGATCAAAGTAAGCGCTTAGGTATTTGACCGTGACTAATAAGGGGAAATGTTTTAGACTTGGCGATGCTTGATCTAGTGTAATCTCATGTCGTCTATATTAATTAGAAGTGCCTCGTTGTTTTGTTTATATTAGTACCTTGAGTCTCTGCTCAAACCAATCAGACGTTTAGACGGGTATCAATTTACCAGGTTTACCAAGTCTTCTGAATATTATAATTTATCGCGACTATATTTCCGACTTGAAACATATTAATCTGTATATCTGTATATGCAACAATCAAGACCTTATATCTACCTATACTTGGACATATGCGGCCACAAAGCACATGCTATGCTCCTGGAGTAAGCGTCCAGTAAGACTGATTAACTATTTTGCATTGATGACGAAATAAGAAATCATCTATAATAATAAAAATCCGTAAGATTACAAGGCCAATCAATACTCCCCTTTTCCTTTTCCTTTTCCCAAACTACCTAACCTATGCATTCTACTGCAACCCAGCAACGTAATAGTTGTAATTGCAGAATCCATTCGTAGCATCATTCGATACATCCACAGCGCCGCTCGCCGACGCAATAACCTGCCCGCCACCGTCGATAAGCTCGATCTTCTGCGCGCCCGTCGTCATGCCTACGACCGAGTTGTAGTTCAGCCCGCCGCGCACCGCTTGCGTAGCCAGGACCTGTCCGCCGCTCGACACGCGCACGCTGAGGCCGTTGCTGTCCGCCGGAAGGACCACGGCGTAGTTCACGGCGTCGACGGCCGCGCCGGACCCCCGCGGCTTGTCCCCGTTGCAGGTGCTCAGCACGCCCCGGTACCACAGGGCGCCTGCGAAGGCCCCGCTGCGCGGCTTCATGGCGCCGACGTCTGTGGCCCCGGCTTTGAAGGCGTCGACGAAGGAGGCGATTAGCGGTTGCCATCCGTCGTGCGGCGTCGTGTCTGAGTTGCCGTACTGTAGGATTTCTTCGGTTAGGCCCTCGGCCCAGCATGGGCCGATGTAGTGGCTCTCGCCGGCGTCGTTCTGTAGACGGTATGGGTTAGTTGGGTTGATCCGATATAGGTAGGTAGGTAGATAGGTAGGATTCGGAAGATGGATGTGCTGCTTACCCAAGTGATGACCTCGGTGAATTCGGGAGAGACGGAAAGGATCTGCTCCATGCGCTCGGGCAAGTTGGTCTCGCCACCTCGGTACCAGGAATCGCCGCAGCAGTGTTTATATTGCAGCGAAGATAGACCTGTCTTTTGTTAATACTATCCTATCCCGGTATAACTCTGTCTGGAGGGGCCTTACCCATCACATAAGCCTTGCCGGCGGCATCTGCGGCCGACTTGACCGCCTCATCCCTCACCGAAGACACATTCGCGGGCGTTTCCGAAGTCTCGGGCCAGGCCGTCTCCCAGCTGAACACGCCGTCGATAGCATCGCCCCAGCTCTGAAAGAAAGCTGCGGGGTTGTTGTAGTAGTTCCCGTCGGCCTCCGGGTTGGGGATGAGATAGACGTTGTTGGTGTTCTTGAAATTCCTCCAGGTGTCGGGGCCAATGCTGCCTCCGCTGTAAGAGGAGACGACGGGTAGGTCGTTGGGCCCGTACTTGAGGTGGGCGGGATGGTCCTTGAATTGGCTGAACAGAGTCTGGTGCTGGTTGATGTCGCCGTTGCCGTAGAAGTCGAAGCTGAAGAAGAGCTTGAACGACTTGTCCCCTGCGTAGTCGAATAGCTGCTGCACGGTGTTCTTTGCCCAGTCCGCCCCGGGGTTTCCCACATTCAGGGCGAAGGCATCGAAGCCGACGTTGATAGCACCGTCGATATCCTGCTGCGCGTGGGTGGTTTGCGAGTCCACAGACCCAACCTACACACACAGTCAGAACTTGGTTAGGAAACGCATTGTAGGTACTGCAAGAGCGTTTTTACCATATAGTGAGCAAATACGAGCTTGCTCTCTACGACGGACCGTGTTATGAAGGCGGATCCGGCAAGCAGTAGCCCCAGCGCCGAGTTAAATTTTCCGTACATGGTGACCGACACAAAAGATTGTTAAAGGGTAGAACGAAGGGAAGTCAGAACTTGGGATGAGTCAAGTTCTGAGGAGTCCAAGAAGAGGCGCTCCTAGTGACTTATATATACATATCTAACCTAGAGAATTACATATGTCCTAGTCTTAGGTATCATTCCGAAAAGCAACCATGATGAAACCCCAGTTCGGGATATCTCACTTGTCGTGGGTATGCGATATATTGCTAGAGGCGCGGCATCACTAAGCGGCCCAGCCCCGTAAGGCGGTTTCTACGCGGTAGACAGGGCTCCAAGCTGATGGCTATTCCTGTACTATGTACCATAGATGGATGCCGTTCGGGCCTTTCCCGCGTACAGGCATGTTTCGCGATAGGGGATGGGCCAAACGGCCACCAGGATGCGATTAGGTATCATCGCGTGTAACAACTTGGATCATCCTTTAGCCCCCACCCTCCTTCTTGGCGACATGACTCGCATCTAGTGTAGGTATGGGAAAATATGAGAGATGCAATCGATTCGAGCTAGAGCTTAATTTTAGATTTATTATAAGGCTGGATCCTTTTCGGTTCTCGGGATGGTCGTCACGAGGTTTGGAGAGGTGAGATGTTATTAAAGGAATAGTTAAATCTAATCTTTCATACTTGAATATTTCATGCTTGATAGACTGTGGAGAGGGTGGTCCTTTGGCAATTGGGACTTCTCCCTATTTGGCAGGACAATATCAAAAATGGTAGCGCTTCGGTACGCTATTATTTCGAAAGAGAGAAGACTGAGGTCGCACGACGGTATTTCAACGATAGAGATAGGAAGTTGATGTTTCTTGGGAACCGGGATCGATTGTCATTTTATAAATCCCACACCATGAAAGGAATTAATATCTCCACCACTCTCATCCAGTTCGTATAGACTATTTCATCTTCATCTTTAAACTTCTGGCGTAAGTTATTATCAGTAGATGCTATGTATACCCCACAACTTGACAATAAGCCCTTACATTAGTCGTTTTTGAGGTGAGGTATAGTGAGATCGAGGCTCAGGCCAAGCATCGCAGCAATTACACCGAGCACCTTATCTGCCTACCTAAGGTAGCTAACGTAACGTGCCATCACACGTTTCTCATACGGAAACACTAAGTTTATTTTATTGGAAATTCTTCAAAGAATGAATATTATTATATAGGTAACTATCTGGATTATATTTTTTTAGTTGTTGACTTCACAGAGGCTAGAGTACCTCATGCTGTCGTTTCGATCGTATGGTGGCTCTTAGGCGAGACTTTTCGGACAAGAGCAACCAGCAAGTTTTAGTTATTGTGCTTGAATTGATCATTCGTAACATGAAAATTGTGTTCAAGGCATCAAGTGTTACTTTAAATATTTACTTTAGATATTCTTACTAGTATGTTCACTCTATTGTTTATAGTCAATTTACTACGGTTGCCATTATAGTTTACCCCCGTAGTAAACTCATCAAATAGACCTCTTATATGCTTGTATGTAGTAAGTAGGATAACTCAGTCTCGTTTACAGGTAGCATCATAATTTGATCGTACTACTGGGATAGAAACGACTTATCGTTGCTTCCTAAATAATCATAGGTTATTTCTAACCCGTACGGCAACGCTTGAGTAAAGGAACTATCACGAGGCTGAAACTAAAAGGTGTCATTGATTGAAGATGATGAGATCTTTGCAACAGGCTGCAAGACCTTGTTTGTATATACAAAGAGATGAAGTCCCTGACTCAGGTACTGACCCATGATGTGATCTGGCGGTCCGCCAGACAACATCATGAGTCCTGTATCAACCGTAGCAACGCGCCTGTCGCCTTCTTACCACATGCACTGTGCCTAACACATCACGCATCGATGACTTATACTTGTGTCAACTTTATCGCCTCTACCTCTTTACCTCAACTCTTTCCAACAACAATCCCATCTTCTGCTTCTGCTTCTGCAGCTTTCGTTCCAATCAGATGACTAATTTCACGATGGCGTCGAACAAAAAGCCCTTTTCGTTCCAGGAGGCCATCGAGGTCATAGAGAAGAAGGCCAGTCGCAAAGGACTAGAGCAACACTTATGCAGTCAACTCCATGCTGTAACTATGGCGTTAGCACAGCGGCCAAAGTCTTTCTACTTAGCAAACTTCCATTGCTTACTCTGCCGCATGATCTGGACAAACTGTTTTGGTAAGTAAAGTATATCTAATGTGAATTCATATAAAGGGCATTGACTTACCAAATCATACAGCCGATGAGAAATATCCATGGTCAGAGGACTCTCTCGTCAACTTCATAGCCACTAGCAACCTTCGTGAGCGAGTAGACCCAAAAGCAATGCGTGCAGCGGCAGACGCAGCCAGGATCGATCAGAACTTGAAGCTAGCCTTGGAGATAATCCGCACCAACAAAGTACCCCAGTCGGTAAACCCAAAGCTCGTGCTTGGGGAAGGGTCCAAGAGGGCCCACGAGAAGTTCACAAAGCCACCAACCAAGTCTCCGACCAACAAGAACAATCTAAGATCCGAGATCCGAAGCCTTGTGGTCGACGTTCACGGAGTACGAGCCACTCCGGTATCACAACCCGCCCAAATTGAAGGCATCTTATCTCGACTTACCGCTATCGAGCAGCGCCTAGGTATGGGTTCAGGGTCCCTCAAATCATTATAGCGGATCTCTTTAGGGTGGTGCTGCGCAGTCGAGTCTCCATGCTACGGCTATATGGCTGGCTGATGCAAGGAGATTGCCCAATGCTTAATGCTTGATACTACGGAGTCGATTATACTCAAGCTATAGATGACAAGTAGTACTTCGATAGTATAGCGTTCTGAGAACTGCTTAATATTATACAAGCACATTCTATAAATTCACACCTACGAGTATACGCCACGAATGAATGCTCTATAAACCTATCTTAAAATCAATAGGCGTTGCAATTGCGTAATCGTTATAAAAAAACCCATTCTACAAATATCTCCAAGGGTATCTTAGAAAAATCAAACTCTCGTAAACATCTTGCTACCTACGTTAAAACATCCCAGCATCCTTATTCGCTGCCATCTTCTTTAATAAACATCTCGCCACGCCACCCATACGTTCTAGCAAGTCTTCTGCCGTATATCCTCGCCATAAGAGACGTTATATTCGCGCCGGGGCCCGGCGCGTGGAACTGGATGGCGCGCGTATATCCTTGGCCTCGATCTAGTAATGTAGGTCCGGGGGTGAAGTGCCAGTTCGATCTGCCAAGCTCATTGATCTCAAAACCGACGTGATGCATGGCGTAGAGGAAGTCTTCCCATGAAATTTCCCCCCGTGATGAGGGCCTGCTGGTGGATGGCACGTGGAAAAGCGTAGCGAAGACTTTTCTTGCGCGCTCGTCAACTTCTAACGGGGGCTTCTGCTGCTGCTGCTCCTTTACTTTTGGCGAATAGGGGTCATCGACTTTACCGGTCGTATCTTCTCCAATATTGTCAGACGGATTGATCCACGGACGTGTCCGCTCAGGCTCTTTGCTAAGTACATCCCTTACGCGTCCAGTCCAGAGCCCGGCCTGTCGGAGTTGGTTTATTATCTCATCCCAGAAGGTATCTAGAATTTTCTCAGCCGCTCGCATAGCCTCGACATTACTCTTGTTAAGAGGTTCATCTACGGGATATCTCATTCTAGTCAGCACAGCGCCGAGCTTTCCCGCACTACTAGGCAATTCGAGCTTATATAAGGGACCCAGGGCCTTAGCAGTATGCATGAACTCGTCAGATATTTGCCTCCGCGCGCCCTTATCTTTTATTTGAGTCTCGAACGTTGCTGCCCACGGTTGAAAGAGCGCTATCTGGCGTATACTTTCGGCCATGACGAAGATATCAGAAAACTGTTCTGCTACAAAGGGCGTAAACAACTTCCGGCCTTCCGGATCGTGGGCGATACGCTCTACCTCTTGGACGCACGAGGTGACTCCAATGTTTTTCAGGTTGGTCGGATCGGCCATCATGTGCAGCAGCCAAAGATAAACAGCTTCTATTGGGTTCGGCTCGGTGCTACCAGTTGTGATGCTCAGCTTTGCGTCCGGGCTTTCGGGAACGTTCAATCGGTATAGGGGCTGGATGGGTGGTGACCAGCGCGCCCACCTATTGACTGCGGGAAGAAGCTTTTTTAGAAAATGGTCTAAATGGTGCCGCAACGAGCGGAATGCCACTTCTAAGTCAAGTGGTAGGTCATCTTCCAGCCGCGTATCGGCTTCGATGCGATCGAAAAGCTCTTCTTTTAATAAGACGAGGCGGTTGACTAGTTCGTACACGTGGCCCCAAATCTCGACAACGGGCAAGTAGTAACTTAGCATAGAGCGAACGGTAGAGACTAGCACTTCTTCGCAGCCATCCTCAGTCGCTACAGACGGGTAGATATTGCCATTGACGTCAAGGATATGCTCAGGGCGGTGTTGGTACAGCCCCAAGAGGCTAGAGGCAAAAAAACCAGGATCTTCGCGCAATGCCCATAGGGTATCTTCAACTTGAGATAGCTTGGCGCCGATTAGACTCTGAAGCCGTCTAATATCAAACTTTGCGGGTACGTGGTAAATAGACTCATATTGAGAGAATATGAGAGAGGTAGCAATATCGCCTTTATACTTGGCGATCGAGACAGGGGGCTTCGGCTCGGCTTGACTCTGCTTGTCTTCCAGGTCCAAGTCGTGGAGGATTATCTTGCATGTATCGAGCAAGAATTGGTACAGGCGGTCCTGTATCTCGAGGATCCAGAGTCCTTCGCCGGGGCTTACATCACGACGGCGATGTAGCTGCTGACGTGCATCAGGGTCGTCTTCCCAAGAGACCAGCTCTCCGTAAGTATCAGGACTATCTCTACCCGTAAATCTCATATTCCATCCGTTCAGAAATGGAGGTACACGCAAAGAACCGGACTTAATACCAAATACGAGCGGTTCAAGCTCGGCGAAGGCAAAGGTCGACGGCGGATTCCTACCGCGAGCGTTAAGCAAGAGTAAGAATGGTTCTGTCTTGCTGAGATCTTCGAGGTTGATATTGGGCCACAAGAAATGGGGCCGCTTCGAGACATTAGTGTTATTGCCCTCATTACATACGAGCCCGATGCATTGGTGTTTTAGGTGCGTCAAGTCAGGTCGATGCTCACGAGCCATCGGCGGTGATAAACCCCAAGCTTGGTTCAATACATCCCGTCTCTCAGCCTCGGATTTATTTTCCCATTTCCCCTGAATGGATGCTTCGTAGCGTTCGACAATACTTTGCAGCTCATAGAAGTTCTTCCAGATACGAGCGATCATGGGCTCCGCGAACTTCCGCACTTCATCCACGCTAATTTTCCGAGGCGTCTGATAGGCGATCATCGGTTCGTGAAACATGCCGTGGGAATAGGTCTGTTCGTGTATGAGGCCTTGGTCTTGCTTATTTTGTATCTCTTGCGATATTAACTCATAAGCTAGAGTGGTGTTGTCGCCAACCATTTGCACGATACGCTGCATTTCATTGTTCATCCCGTCGTAAAGCTCAGAGTCGATATTACCCTCAAGCTCATCCTCCCATTCGGGAGAATAATCATATCGAGCCATCTCGGGTTCCCCGCCCAGACGACAGTCTCCTAGAGTATACAGCGAACCTATCTGTAGTAGTCCCCATGAGTTCCTGGTGTATCGCTGGAAGAGTGATGGAGAGAAGATGATACCTATGAGAATAAACGAATACAATAAGCGGTGCGGATTAGTGTCCATGTAATACAGCTTGAAAATTTTGATAAAGGTAGCAACAATTTCTCATTTATGAAATATACTCTGATCATCTGAGTGGCTTCACTGTCGATTATGGTTCCCTAAAAACCATTTTGGTATTAAACAGTCACGTGATACGTAGAATTGAGTGATCGTACATTGATAATATAGACTCTTCTTCGTATATTTAGATTTAAGAATCTTGAAATGAAGAGGAGTAGGAATTATAAGATATATAGGATTTAGGCCTGTCATGTTCATTGCTCAGGCCATTTCTAGGCAGCAACCGGGTTATTTCACGACCAACATTATTCAGGGGCTTGTATTTCAGCGGGGACAGCTTCTAGGGTCGACAAGTCTAGAGTCAAGGGGCTAAATAGAGATAATATATAAGATTATTTATCAACAGCAAGAACCGTTTATTAAAGAATTATATTACTTGATTGCCCTGTAGATACTTCACGATACCTGGAGTCCTCCTAGTGCCGCATTTCTCAACGTCCCGAAATAAGCCACCTTTAGCGTCACCCTATCCTTGAGATACGACAGGTCAACTTTGTCTATCGGGGAGGAGTCCTTGGCTAAGAACTGTCGAATGCGGTTCGCAGTCCAGACGGGGTTCTCGTCGGCTATATTGATCATCAGTTGACTATTCTCTATGTACATAACTCATGCTGTCATAGCTAGATAGGGAATATGAAAGGTGTAAACTTACCAACCCAGTGTCCCGCCTTCGGAATGACATCGACCTCCAGGTCGCTCGCGACAGGCCCGAAAGACTGTCGCAATATCGACTCCAGGCCAAAACTTGCCTCTCCGCCCGTCGCGAGCACCGGCATACTCAGCGGGGATTTCCCCACCGTCCTATTAAAGAACTCCGCGTCCGCCGATACAGACGCCGTCGCGAATGGGCCATACATGGCTCTCAAGAACCCAGGCTTCTGGATACTGCTGGCGTAACGTGTCACCGTGTCTTCCGAGAAGGCCGTCGGTCCCGAGTAGCTGCCGTGGTAGAAGTACCAGAGCAGGAACTGGCGTTCGCGACCGCTCATCAGAAACTCGGCAAAGTCCGGGATCTGGAAAAAGGCCAGCTGCGGGTTCTGGTACAGATCCCAAAAGGGCGCAGGCGTCGAGGCGCCCTCGTATCCGAATCCTGGGAGGATGTACTCTGATAGGCCGAGCATCTTCACCAAGCCCGGGTACTGTGCGGCGAGCGCGACGGCCATCCCGACGCCCTTATCGTGTGAGAAGACGTACGTGGAGCTGATGTTTAAGAAATCGAGGATGCCCTTAAGGTCGGCAGCCGAGGCTGCAGCGCTGTAGTTGCCGTCAGGCGGAATACTAGAGTCACCGGCGCCGCGGTTGTCCGGGGCGATGACAGTGTAATTCTGTGCGAGTATTGGCCCAATAAACTGCCATGTTAGACTGAACTGCGGGTTCCCGTGGACAAGTAGTAATGGCGGCCCGGAGCCAGCATAACGGAAGTGAATGCTGACATCTTCTAGGGCAACTCGACCGTGCTCCCAATCATCCCACTTAACCAGATCGGCTGCCGCCTGGGAAGCGGCAGCCACAAGGGGAAGGACTAATCTCGAAAGAAGCATGATGTGTAGGTAGTTCCGAGTTTAACGATATTGCTGTGCTAAGGCTCTTCGGGGATGCGAGCAAGCGGGAAACCAACTATGAGGCTATCTGAGACTGGATCACTGATATTCTTCATCATCCGTCGCGGAAGGGACTAAACATTTTATAAGTCATAGCATGCGCCCAGCTTAGCATTGCTAATTACTTGAATAATGCGAGTGTCCGAGACCAAGAACTTGCTTACTGATGCGTCGTCGACCTTATTCCGTAGATCTTAGTCGGCATATTATTTTGTGGTTAGCCTACCAGGTTAGAGACTTGATTAATAAGATAGTAAAGCAGTCAGATAGTTTCCCCGTAAGCCTCCACACAACCCTTGCAGCGCCGAGCTGGCGATGTTGTTTGCTATAGCGTTAGCATACACCCTTACGCTAGAAAATATTTGACTACTTCGAATATGTATTGGTAATCTAAACCCCAAATATGTAAAGGGTATGTGATTAGACATGTTTTAGGTAAGACGCGAATAAGACGGCACATTTCCATGTAGGTAGTGCTAGGCGAGAAAGAGTTCGGGGAATTTCTTTTTTTCTTCATATTTCGGCTCATTTAATCAAGTAAGCAGTAACTCCAATGACGATCATCCGCCGTTCGGTGTCCGGCCCTCGGTATCCGGTAGACGGGTAAGAACCGGGGTACGTGACTCAGGGGTTCTCTTCCAATGCGGACATTTTGGCCGTATGCCGTAGGTAATCTGATTATCAGATACTCTCCTTTCCCTTTGCTCTTCGGCGTTAAATAAATATTCAAACGCCTCATTCGTAGATATGAGGAATGCTTAGCATAGTTAGGTGTCTATCAGCCTTCCGAGTTCGCGCTTCTCTTCATCGTCTCGCTAGGTATATCCATTTTCTCTATCACGTTCCCAAAACCATGACGCCTCTCCTACGACAATATGTATGCTAGAAGGACCTCGCCCCTCTATTCACAGTCCTCTTCACGTAGCAATAAAGGCTCTCATAGCTAAGACTGCGTCGCCGTCGTGCGCCTTAAGCAACTCGGTAGCCTTTGCTTTAGTCAGATCGAGCTCATCGACCTATAATCGCACCCCAACATATTAGTACTGCGCCTATGTTACACTCCTGGCCTGATAAACGGGAACGTACCAGCAACAAAACGTCAGCAGGGTCGACCTTGACCTTCTTGACTTCCTTCGCAGCACCGGTGGAGGGGCCACTCCCAAGGCTCTGCATGGCTTTGCTTACAGCCTCCTGATCAACAGCGTTCAACGAACTAGCATCGTCTCCGCGGGTGTCGAGGCTCGCCATAGCGGCGGCAGCCTTCCGATCCTCGGCTGACTTGGCGGTGGTCTGGACCTCATCTTCGACGTCTCCGGATGCGCCCTCGTGTACGTTTTTCGGTTGAGGCTCTGCCATTTTGATTTGCTTCTTTCGTGTTATAGTGTAGTGTTTGAGGGATACTTGGTGCTTTTATATTTTTTTTTATGTTGCATTGATCTTTACATAATTTTGTAACGGAGGCTCAGTAAAATGCGGGGGAGCTTTGAGCTCTTACCAAGTACCTACCTATATACCTACCTATGCAATATGTAAATGGGCAATATAGACGCTACATCTGCTATGGTAAGCAGGAACAAGCTACTGCAGGTGCATGTGCAGGGATCCCTTGCCTTCTATGTATTAAAATTCTTCCTAATAAAGTAATAATTGTTTAGTGGCTTCTTGTTGTCTTTTTAGTCCCTTGACCCTTGACTCATTCATCTTCAATTCCTCATAGTAACAAACAATTCTTCTCAATTGCCTTCGTGAGTTATCTTTGCCTTCTTAAGATTATAGAATTAGTACCTAAGTTAATTCAATTCGTAAGGAGACAGACAAGCATGGCTCCTCCTTCAGAATGGACTCCCTCCTCGTGGCGGTCCAAGCCAATCAAGCAGCAGGCCGTGTACCCCGACCCGGCGGCCGTGCGCCGCGCAACCTCCGAGCTGAGCCGGCTCCCGCCCGTGGTTCATCCGCAAGAGATCGCCCGGCTCAAGGCCAGCTTACGCGATGTTGCGCGCGGTGAGGCTTTCTTGCTGCAAGGCGGTGATTGCGCCGAGCTGTTTGACTACTGCCGCGCCGACGCTATTGAGTCTAAGATCAAACTCCTGCTACAGATGAGTCTCGTGCTCATATGGGGTGCCGACAAGCGTGTCGTCCGTATAGGTCGTATGGCCGGCCAGTACGCCAAGCCCCGGTCAAGCCCGACTGAGAAGGTCGTCGACGAGAACGGCGAAACCAAAGAAGTCCCCTCGTTTCGCGGGGATATCCTAAATGGCTACCACCTCGAAGAGCGTGATTTAGATCCCCAGAGGCTTGTTAAGTATAGCTTATGCCCTTACCCCTTTCCACAAAGCACTTAGCTTACATCAACACTCTTTCCCTCCCTTCAGAGCTTACCACCACTCGGCTGCAACGCTCAACTACGTGCGAGCCGCCATCGCGGCGGGCATCGCAGACTTACACCGTCCTCTGAACTGGACTCTAGGCCACGTTAAGGACCCACAGCTCAAGGCCAAGTATACCGAAGCCGTACGCTTCCTGCAGGACATGCTGCGCTTCATGCACACCATCGGCGCCGACCGCAGCCCCAAGCTCGACACCGTCGATTTGTACTCCAGCCACGAGGGTCTGCTACTCGAGTACGAGGAGAGCCTTACCCGGCTAATGGAAAAGCCCATACTCCCCGGCGACGAAGAGGCGACCCCCGAATCAACAACGGGAGAACCGCAGATGGAGTACTACGATACCTCAGCGCACTTCCTCTGGATAGGCGACCGAACGCGGCAGATCGACGGCGCACACGTCGAGTTTTTCCGAGGCATCGCAAATCCCATCGGGATCAAAGTGGGTCCCACGACACCGACGTCGGACCTGCTCGCCCTACTACGAACGCTTAATCCGTCGTGCGAGGTGGGCAAGGTAACCCTAATCACGCGGTACGGCGCAGAAAAGGTGCGCGAGCTGCTACCAGGCCACATCCGTGCGGTCGAGGGGTCCGAGTACCGAGGGGCATGTATCTGGCAGTGCGACCCGATGCACGGCAACACGCGGTCGACAGCGTCGGGCATCAAGACGCGGCGGTTCGGGGATATCTTCGACGAGCTGCGCGAGACGCTAAGCGTTCATCGTGAGGAGGGCAGCTACCTCGGCGGCGTGCACCTGGAACTAACCGGCGATGCCGTAACCGAGTGTGTTGGCGGCAGCGAGGGCCTCGACGAGGACGATCTGTCTACCAACTACACCAGTTTCTGCGATCCCCGCCTCAACGAGAAACAAGCTCTCGAGCTCGCCTTCCTGGTGGCGGATTCCTTCCGCCAAGGGAGGAAAGACCTTCTTCACCATTAGAGGTACATAGTGGAGATGAAATAGCTCTCTTGCTAAGTAAAAGGTGAGGGTAGGAATTTCGTGTCAGCTAGGTTGCTAGGTAGTTAGCCGTCATTCGTATGTAGACGAGGATACGGAAGAAGGGAATCTAAATAAAAAGATGAAGAGGTTAAAAGATATAAGCAAGGCATCATATGGCATAGCATAGGAAAATGAACCTTGGTGGACCATGGGGAATGATAGGATGTTATTTACGAAGGGAAGAGCTAGAAAATCTAGCCGCTTACTTGTTGTGTCAAGCGAGGAATACGAATATAGAAAAGTCCATCATTTTGTTAAAATACCCCATGGATAGCTACATTCCTACCTGCCTCTGGTGAGCAAGATGCTCTTGTATGTAAATGACCGATTGTTTTTTACTTATTTTTAAAATCAACGAGTTCATACCTATTATATTAGTTGATATAGCTTACCACAACAATCCCTAATAATATAGCAGAATAATATCTATTGCGAAGCGAAGCTATCGTGAATTACTAGGTACTATATACTCTAAGAGGCGCGTGGAGGCAGCAAAAGTGCCATGCCATACCACACCACACACCATCAATAACTAACACGGTACCCCTTATATGCGCAAATAGCACAGGTACCTCAGGTAAGTAAGTTACTAGCTACATGTAGACATTAAGCTAGGTAGATCGTTCAACCCCAATGCATAAAAGCCCGTTGAAGCAACCGACATGCACGCCTTTTTGCCCACAGTAGATCCGTCCCATCCACCAACGCCTACCCAAGCCGGTGAGCTTATCCCCGCCCGAAGCGAAATGCGTCGTTACCGCCCCGTGCCGACACCCATTCTTAGCCTATCCAACCCGGTCCCGTTCCTCTTTTAACGCCGGCCGCAGAAAATATACCGGGGAGCGCGCAGAACCGTGTATCAATTAGCTCCCTAGAGAAACCAGATCATCTCGAATTAGAGGCTTTCGGCCCTAACCTAAAACCCAAGCCCTCATCGTATATGTGAGTGGAAATGTAGCAAAATCGACCTGTTTATTTCATTACGGTCACGTCGGTGTCTCTTCAAAATCGTATATTTCCCTGACGGGTGAGCTTCTCGCGCCCACCTTCTCAAGTTTCTGTACGTTCTCTTCCGTCAATGAGTCGCCCTCGGGGAATGAGTGGGATATGGGCGGCTGTCCTGCCGTGTTCTTGCCGTTGCTATCATCTGCGGCATCGATGAGCTTATCATCTCGCAGCTGCATAGCCAACTCGTCACTGTTAAGTTGCCTAGATGGCTTAGAGATCCCAAAGGGGAACGTATTTGTCTCGTGCGAGCCCGTCCGCGCGTTGATCGGTCTCGGTGTTAGTAGATTTGTGCGGTCGTCTTCCTCGGCGCCATCTAGATCGCCATGCTCTGGATGCTCCTCCGGCGTTTTGGGATTCTGACTGGAGAAGCCATACGTGGCTGGTGTAGGTATGTCGGCGCTGATACATCCGCCCGCAGAGTCCGAACAGTCCGAAGTAGACAGGTCAGCTGAGGAAGATGACATCGACTCTACCTTGCGGCGGGATTTACTCCACCTCACCAGCATCCTTTCAAGTATATTGCTCTTCACGGGCTTAGACAGGTAGTCATCCATACCGGCTTTCGTGCACTTTTCTCTGTCTCCTTGTATCGCCGAGGCAGTCATGGCCACAATGGGCACATCATTAGTGTAGCTCTTGTATGGTGCGTGGTGCCGCAGTATGTGCGTACACTTATACCCGTCGATCACGGGCATCTGTACGTCCATTAGAATGATATCTGGCTTAGCGAACCTTCCCTCCCTGCACGCCTCGAGATGATCAAGCGCCTCCTTGCCATTCCAGGCCGCACAAACGTTGAAGCCAAGCTTCTTGATAGTCTTGGTTGCGATCTGTTGGTTGACCGCGCTAGATAACACCGTATTAGAAAAAAAAAATGAACTTGTCAGCTAATCTCAAACGTTGGAACTCACTTGTCCTCGACAACAAGGATTTGCACCTTGGCACGTTCGGATCTGGGGAGGTCGTCGCTTTCGAAAGCGAACGGCGCCATCAAATTACCAGGTCTCTTTCGATGCCGTCTGGGCTTATCTAGCGTGCCCTGCAATAGGTCTGCCGGCGTCGTTCCTAAGAAATGCTCATGTTCCGAACTATTACACGAAACGCTCATCTCAGACTGTAGTCGCTCGGGTAGGCAACCAATATCGACAAGCGCATCCCTCTGCGGAGTCTGCGGTTTGTTAAATGGTATCCAGAATGTCGCGGTGGTGCCATTGCCGATCGTAGATTCTAGCGTGATCCTTCCACGCATTAGATCGACCAGATTCTTCGAGATCGTCAATCCCAACCCTGTCCCTCCAAATTTCCTAGCCGTAGAGGGGTCTCCTTGGCTAAATGGCTGGAATAGACGTTTCAGGACATCTTCTTCGATTCCGATACCAGTGTCCTCAATAACGAATTTTATCTCAATTGTGTCGTTTGTTTCTTTTTCTTTCCATACTGAGAATTTAACGTAACCACCGTTGGTGAACTTGATGCTGTTAGTAAGTAGATTCGTAATGATCTGCCGGACGCGGCCTGGATCACCAAGAACAACGAGGTCGTTCTCGATATCGCTTGATATATCAGAGCGAAAATCCAGATTCTTCCTCCCGGCTGCGAAACTCAGCATCTTGGAGACGTCTTGCACTATCACGGAGAGGGAGAACTGGACTTCTTCGATGTCAAGGCGGCCAGACTCGACTTTGGAGAAATCTAAAATATCGTTGATGACGGTTAATAAGGCATTCGCGGATCGGCTTAGGTTCTCTGCGTATTCCCGCTGTTCTTCGTTCAGAGGTGAGTCTAGAAGAAGCTCGGCCATCCCTATCACGCCGGTAATCGGTGTTCGAATCTCGTGAGACATCTAATCGCACATCAACACTTCGGAGATCAGCGAAAACATAAGACACCACATACATTTGCTAAGAATTGGCTCTTTAGACGGCTTGCTTCTTTGGCTGCTGCTTCGTTGGCTTTGAGTTGTCTCTTCTCTTTGACCTGCTCTTCGAGATCTTGCTCTCGCTTTTTTAGTTCGGTAACGTCCATAATGACGCCAATAGCGCCCTTAATATCTGTTTTGCTAATCCGACCATCCTGCGAAGTTCTCTCGACGCGAGGCAGAAACCTAGTGCGGTAAAACCGATCATCTGAACGCTTATTAGCAAACTCATATACTGATCGTACATAAGATACCTACCTAGCTTGTGTTCGTGTACGGTCTCTGTTGTCAGCTCACCGGACAATATACGTCTTACGGGTTCGAGAAATGCAGAAAACTCGCTCGGAAGTAGGCGCGGGTTTAGGTTAATAAACACCTCTTCGATATTTTTTCCAACATATGTCGGCGGATCAAGCTGGTCAGCATCATTGTTTGCCGTATCGTCCTTTCCAGAGATCCAAGACACCGCGCCTTCTAACATTGTCAACTTGAGGTTGAGATCTACAGAGAAGATCGTTGTCTGCGCATGCGTAAGAACGCTAAGAAGCTGCGCTCTAGTTTGCTTCGCGGCCATCTTCGCTTCAAGGGCCTCGTGAACGTCAGTACAAGTTCCAAACCATCTTTCGATCTGACCTGTGCGCTTATTTCTCAGCGGTAACGCACGTCCTAGCATCCACCTCCACTCACCATCCTTGCTACGGCATCGGTATTCGGTATCATAAGCTTCCCCCGTAACTAGGCTACGCTCCCATCGTTTCCATGTGGTAGGCAGATCGTCGGGGTGGAACGGATTCTTCCAGCCGCGACCTATAGAGTCTTCAACCGACAGACCCGTATAATCGTACCAGCGGCTGTTGAAGAAATCATGTACTCCATTAGATGTAGCTGTCCAGACCATCTGAGGCATGGTGTCGCATATTAGTTTGAACCTTTCCTCGTCCGCGACCTTTATATCCGTGATCTCCTGGGCTAGATGAGTTACGTCTCGGCAAGTTATAATACCAGCAATAACTTCTCCAGTCTCGTCGCTAGTAATCAGTTCGCCCAGCACATCATATATAATTTTAGTTTCTTTCGTCCTGTCGTGCATGCCGATTCTCCACGCAGAAAATGGTTTTCGATCTCGTAAAAGTACTGCAATTGGAAACTCGGACGGGGCATACTTTCTTGTAAAGTCTCCGTCCCAAACCTCCCACCGAGACAGCAGATCGTATCCATCGTTACACTCTTCTCCGGTGGTGGTCACGAAGAGTTCTCGGGCTGCTCTATTCATGACTGGGGCACTACCATCCACCCACATAGCAAGTATCGGTGTTTCGGTCTTATCGAGAAGCGCATCCTTAATAACAGTCATCTTCTGGAGAAACGACGGAGTGCTTGACGGAGGCAGGCGGGATGGGGGCCCCATGGGTGGAAACAGGCTTGCCGAGACCGAGACTGAGCTAGGACTATTGGTGAATGAAGGAGAGCTAGAAGAGTGACCGGAGCCGAGAGAAGGGGGGTTAGAATTTAGGATGGATTTACGCTCCGCGGCCTCGAGTGTAGAATGTCGGGCGACACGAACTCGTCTACTCGGGATGGACGAGGGTCCCGAGCCAGTATTGGTGAAGGTCAGAGTATAGTAGGTCTGGTGGTTCTCAATCTCCCATATCGTAATTATCATCTTGGCGTATGTCTGAAGCTCAGCCCGCTTCGATTTTGACATTTCAGATATGTTTAAATTCTTGGGGAGCACCACAACATCAACAACAGAATCTGTTGCCGGCTTGCCCGGAATGCCACCGGATGACTCTACCCTCGCACCGTCTACCGTACCCGCGGCCTCTCCATTGGCATGATTAGTACGCGATGCCGGGCCTCCTGTTGCCTGCCTCGCGCCCATCTCGAGTACTAATTCATCCAAGAAATACTCCCACGAAACCCAAACCGGTCTACCATCCTGGACCATATCGATTCCGATCTGCGAGAGGGTCTGTCCGCGGAGGGACTCGGAAATTACGGCCGGGTCGTCCATCGGCGGAGGCGAGTCGCCCACCATGCCTAACATCTTTCCCATAGCTTCGTTTGCTAGGACGACGGTCTTCAGGTTGTTTAGGACCAGCAGAGGCACGGGTAAAAATTGCATAGCGGAGAAGGCGAGCTGGCCAGGGGTTATGAAGGGCATCGTCAGTCTCAGAGGACTAGCTGAGGCGGATCGCTTTTCCTTTATCGGCGACATGTTGGAGGTATCTCGCAACACATGATTGGCACTAACGGAGAGAGGGTCGCCATCCCAAGAGAAATAGGGCTGCTCGATTGAGCAGTCGGGCGGTTGGTAGTTGTCGTCCGGGGTCCCATTCGGCAGCGGGAGGATCTCTGGAGGAGAGGAAGATTCCGGGATCATAGATATGGGCATGGAACTCGAGGTGCTCAAGGCATCTAGAGGCGTCATATCGCCGAAGCAGAGGGCACGGGTAGAAGAAGGCCCATGAGCTACAATACACGGTCGATCGGTCGTCAAGGATTAGAGGGGATGAACCCGGCGGGTGAGTTATTAAGGTTTACTAGTCGGTGGCCATGAATCGAGCTGCAACATTCGCGAAGTCCTTACGCAAGGGGCGAAGTAAAATAGGTACTCTTAGGAGCACTGGTCTGGTTTTTTTCCTTTCTTTCTTTCCTTTTTTCCCCTTCCTTTTCCTTTTGGAAGCAGTGGACGCCGGCGAGCACACCAGCACACCAACAAGAAGGACTATGAGAAGGGGTCTATAGCAGAGGGCCTCGAACGTTGGTAACACTAAGGAAGAGTTATAAACTTCCACACGCTGTATTTGGATGTATTTGGACTTTGGAGATTTGGAGATATAAAGTGTAAGCGAGGAAGCGAGCAAGTAAGTGAGGCTGCACCGTGGTCCGTCTAAGTTAGGTTAGGGCAGCCCGAATTAGAGAGAGGGGGGGTTATCATATTGGTGTAGAGGAGAGATATTCGGGTCAGAATGCAGAATGGTAGAATGTGTGAAATTCAATTAGGTTAAGTTTGCTGGAGTCTGGATGTGAAAAAAAAGATGGGCCATTGTCGGTGTGTGACATTGGACGATACATTTTTTAGACGGACGCATGCGCCTCGGATCACAAGGTTCCCGGGTACATCCGTAGGTTAGGTAAGATACCTCATTAACATAGAAGTATCTACCTACCTACCTAAAATACAGTAGCTACCTACCCTAAGATAACAGATAAATTGTTCAAATTGTCCACTATAACTGCCACATTGTCCACGGAAATAACGGGGAATGCTCGTTCGTTATCAGTTCACCTAGATAGAACTTTTTAAGCCTTCTGCCGTACAAGAGCAGCCCTAATTTTTAGAGGGGATTACTGAATGCGATCTCGGTACCCAAAAATGTTATAAGTGGGAGATACATATGTAACCTAGATAGATCTCGAGGTGTAAGGTCTACTTACCTACCTATACCTAATTCAAAGCTTCTAAAACACAACAGACCTAATTCACTATCAAATGTCAATCAATTAGGGGTTCTTGCCTTAGCTGGTCAAATAGTCAGATGATCATTACGGTAATTAGGAATTCGGAGTGGAATCCGGCAAGGGTCCTGTGGCAAGGCACTGCAATACACTAACTATATCCAGTACGATATCGAGTACCAATTATAACACGCAATCGGGCAGTAGGATAATGTACCTAATATATGTACATGCTATATTTCGTATACCCGTTGCGTTTCGCACTGTGATTGGATAACCGATAATGGTACCTACCTAGGTATGTTGTGATACACTTCCAAGAGGTTAGCCGTCACCAATGATATGAGCTTATATAGTCGGGTATCTCCATTCTCTTGCAAGGGATACCGTCCAGTACCTAGTCTCGAAGGAATCAAATCTCGGTAGCTTCAATCTTAGCCACTTACCTAGGTATTACACAACAGCAAGATAATTGCTGTTACATCGAAATCGGCCATCATAGATTTCTATAGGGATCGTGCAGGGTTTACAATTTTTCATGGTTATTCTTCTTAAACCTACCTTGGGTACTTACCTAGGTACTTGGCTTGGCGTTAGATCGATCAGCAATTGCAACGGCGGGCAGGGCGGCCAACGCGGGAACGCGACCCCAGAATGACGTCGTAGGACGATAATCTTCCGAAAAGTGCTTCACACCATAGAAGGTACCGATGGCATGCGGCTGTTGGGGTCGTCCAGCCTTATGTGGGATCAGCGGTTTGCCTTGTTCTGAAACCTTATGTAAATATGTAATAGTAAGCAAGGTAGTATTTACACTGCATCGTGTATCCGTCATGTCTCGAGCTGTTAGGTTAGGTCCATGTTGCGTCGTTGTGGCTTATAAGCCACCTTAGAAGGTACCTATCAATCAGTACTTGACATAAACTAAAAGTCGAGTCCAGTGTAATGATATCATAGCTTCACATATCGTAATCAATGACCGCAAGCGTAAAAGATTCTTCTCCACTTCTATATCCAATCGACTAACTACATTAAGTTTATTAGATGAAGATGAATATTCTAAACTTCGTGAGGCTACAGATTAATTAACTCCATCCGATCGAGGCTGTGCAACATGTGAAAATACAAGATTAATCAAGCTCATGATGTCATTCTTCAGAATAACTACGGTCTCCCTCCTAAAGCAACGTAACTAGACTAAACTAGGCTCTTCCTTATCATAGAGCAAACACGTCTTTCCAAGCCAAATAGCCAAATAGTATCAGAAATTCTATGAAGGTCATAATCTCTTGTCGGGTGCTCTATCACAGCTCTATCACGATGTTCGCTTGATACTTCCACACATGTCGCAAGACCACCACTGCCGTTCTCTAACTCGCCCACAGAATGGACATGTCCAAGTCGCCGGTTTTGCAGGAATCGTAAATTGGGACGGCGGCATAACCGTTCTCGCGGTTGGCCTTGAACTCGAACCTGAACCTGGTCTAAAGGGATGTGTTTGTGTATTCCGATTTCTTGGTGGCGGGGACTCGGTAAGGTCAATAACCGTTCGTTGTTGATTCGTCGATCTTTGTGCGAGACTCTGGGTAATCTTCTCGTCCCGTTCAGTACCACAGGCATCGCAACACAAGAAACTAGCTTGGTTCTCAAGGGTACAAATATCACACGTCCAGGTAAGCCTTTCAGCTCTTTTGTCCACGTTGCGATCAGCTTCGCGAGGAGGAACTCTTGGTGCCTCGGAAGCGCCGCCATTGGTCCAAGTTTGTCTACTAGAACTAGGTGGAATGTAGCTGTCGCCTTGCTGTGCCCTTTCCTCCTCGTCTACAAGCTCCCACAATGCTTGGGCTATCGCCGCCTCGTTTGCCGCATCCTCTTCAGCCTGCGTCCTGAACCCATTTCTAGTAGCCGTGTCAGCGATCCTCCGAATCTCGTCTCGAGTTTGGTTGTCGTTCGCGCAGCCTTGAAGCGTGTTATTACGACGTTCGATCGCATCGACAATAACTCCCCTGATATCCTGCCCCGGTCGAGGACCAACTCCGCCCAGCTTTTGTCCCGATGCAGCGTTGACAGTACGGCGATTTGCAGCAGCTACTCGAGCCAGTCTACGAGCTTCCTCTGGAGGTATCCTCCTTCCGCCGAGTCGTTGACCTGCCGATAAAAATCCCTCGCCGCTATATCCTTTCATTACGAGCGCCTCGTGCTCGTCCCGTAGCTGGTTCCATAATGCATGGAATTGGGCGTTATGCGGACCATGAACGTTATGTGCAAGCTCGTGAAGCATTGTATCAACCACTTGCTCGATAGGGAGAAACTGGTTGCGATCGTTGGCATATCGAAGTCGAAGACAAACCTTTCGTCCACCATCTACATTTAAGCCTGCCAGTTACAATATTAGTATTTTTGGGATATAGCGGTAGTCCTGCTCCAACCTACCCAGGAGGTTGTGTTCATCTGGGTAGAACTCGGTCAGTTGGCCAACCGTCCATCCCCTCGCTCTCATGATAGGCTTCACCAAGGATGCTACTTTCTTCAGAGTATGCAAAGCATCCTTCTCACGAGGAAAATCCCTTAAATGGGAATATGAGTGAACTAGAGGATCAATCTCGTCCATTTTGTATAATGAAATCCGTTGAAAGTATGCGGAAGAGTCGGGAAGATGGAATCGAAAACTCGATATGATTTAGAAGGTTAAGAATTAAAAACCGAGAGGCCTCAATAGCTCAACCATCTCCGAGACTGTAAGGTAAGGAGGCCATAACGTAAGCTATTTAAATAAGCTTCTAGAAATCACGGTCTGTGTTGTAGCTGACGAAACGCGCCACTGCATCGCTAATCGCGAAGTTGAGATGTTGCCTGACAAAAGGTGAGTCGCCATTGCCCCGCAGTTATATATCATTACATGCATATTTCATATTTACCGTAGAGAATTTATGAATGAAACAAAAACTATTGTCATTACGAGTCTTTACATAGTATTCCCCTGCACGTAACAACGAATCAAGCCTCGATAACTATAAATACTGTGTTTTAGTCGACATAGCAAAAGAACAAGTCATCGTCAAGCCAAGATAAGACGACTAGATTACTTTGTCACAAGAATATTTTATTGGTGGTCACATAGGCCACGTCAACACGGAATATAAGATTAGAATTGTCTGTGAAAACACAACTTTGTTGAAGCACCAAGAATTAAGGTAGTTATTGATATAGCTAAAACTCTTGTCCTAAATGTATATGTCTGAGCAACCTAGAAAAGCACAGCAAGACCACCGGGTTACTTCTAACTATGATCGTTTTTCTACCCAACAAGTTCAACGTTAATAATGAAAGAAGAAAACAGCTAATAAATCGATATCAAATTTATCTCTGAGGAGGCGTCTAGACGAGATATCCATTCATAAGAGCATGGAATTCGGTAGCGGTTAGCAATAGCAATAGCAAGTGTCTAACAACCAAATTACCACTAAAGTAGAACCTCATCCGTAGAATGAGAATTGTCTACCTTTTTTTCCTCTCACGATAATTATGTAAAGTAACTACGAAAGCCGCATACCTTTCTAAAAAACCTCGACAGTAAATATCAATTATCATCCCAATCCCTCCCCCCCCCCCTTCAAACCAATATTAAAAAAACGAGACCTCTGAAGAGATTAGAAACTTGGAAGCCTTCGCAATGAATATCTCAATCTATGAGGGAAATATAAATCCGACCCGCGAGGACGCCGACACCATGGACCGTATTATTATTACAAGTTACAAGTTTATACTATTTATCCTTAAGTGCTCAACTTACTCTTACTTTTTCTCTCTTCGGTATCACAATTTCATCTCTTTCGATTTCCACTTATCTCGCGTCTACATCACACATTCTTCCTCTACAGTATACCATGAAGCATTGAAATCAAACGTCACGTCACGTCACTTAGACACATTGCGCAACGTGCTAGACAGGAACCGTCTGATTCAGATGCTAATAGATGAAAAAAAATACTCTGCAGCTTTGCTGCTGCGAGTGTACGGACGACTGCGAAGAAGCGCGCTCAACATAAAAACCGGGAGAGCCCCCCCCATCTACATACATAAGGTACGCACGCCGTCCAACTCCCAGCCCATGATTATGATTTGTGTGTGGTTGTGTATGCATGTGTGCGTGTGTGTTTGCTTGCTTGCTCTTGCCGAGTAGAGAGGAGTGGGAATGTGTGGTATAGTAAGGCTCCGAATCGTCAAATATCAGTCCCTCGCGGCGTCATCTGTCTTCCAAATTTGTGAGGCTGGCTGCCAACTACACCTGAGGGGGGCCACTCGTAGGCTCCTCCTCCGTCTTTCCTAGCGGTCCGCGATCTATGTCATGTCTCGACGGATAGAATATTAAGATTGGTTTCTGAAAAAGCTTTGCGTCTCTCGTATTACAAGGTTAGGTAGGTAACGTAGGATATAGGCATTGGCGAAAAACAAGGTATCGTTAGCATTCCAAAAGATTCCAGAAGCAATTTTGATGTCGTCTAGGCGCACCAGCGCACTTCCAAAGTCCTCTGTTCGAGTCGACAATAGACTTCTCTTAGTGACTAGGCGCGTCCTATTTGAAAATGCCCGAAGACTCTTTAAGGTTCGCCTCCTCGTGCTCGGCCCCTCCTCCTGAAAAAGTCCATCACTCTCTTCGCCGCGCCGCTACTGCCAGCATGGTCGTGAGGTCTTCCGTACTCTTCGCCGTCGTAGGCGTCTACAAATCTCCTATTCTTCTGCAAGACGCCTCTTCCACTTCCACGCGCACCCTGGCGCCCATCATATTGGTCGGGGTCGTAGCCGACCTGGTAGGGCGAGGGGTGCTGTGGCTTTCGCTGTGGTTGTTCAATTGACGATTCGGACTCTGAGTTTAGGACCGCACCCTGTTGTAAATAGGAAGGAATTGCCGTAGGTCTCGTATTAGACGGGAATCGCGATACAACAGGGCTGGCATTCGGGTCTCCTCGAACCGACTCTAACCGCGGTGACTGTACAGGTTCATATGTTCCATCTCCGTACCGTTGTCCCGCGTTAGCGTAGCTGTGCTGCGGATCAACATATTGGTTATATTCGTCAACCTCCGGAGGCTCCTGAATCGGTAAATCTTGCTGCGAAGCCTCAGGGGGCGGCGTTGAAGGTTCCTTGCTTAAGCCTATCGCCCTCATTAGGGAGAAACGGCGGTTCTGCGGTTTCTCGAGTGACGCTTGAGATCCGGAGATGCTACCACTTCGCTTCCTACCGAGTCCCAAAGAAAAGGATCTCCGAGAAGCACGAGATTCCATAGAAGTCCTCGAGTCGCCAGGCACCGCGTTCGACATACTGATCGGGGGATACTTCCTGGATGGTTTGTCCCCTTGATCCGGACGCTTCTTGCGACCTCCAAAGATCGATCCACTACGACCGAAGATCTTACCTCCGATTTCGCCGATAGTGTTAGATCTGCGGTGGCCTTTGACTTCGCCCGACTGCTGCTGTCCTTGAGTAAAGCCCGAAACTTGGGCGAATTTCGAAGGCACGCTGATGCTGGGTCGACCAAAATCCATATCGGGCGCCTCTTGAGGGATCGGGTTCGAGATAACGTAGTTCTTGGAACCTTTAGGTTGTTGTATGCTTCCATGAGCGTTAGTACCGGCAACGGCTGGGGGTAGTGGTTGACCGTACGATCCTCGTGTAGATGAGGCTAGTCTGGAGGCTGTCGATTGCATCGAGCCTCCAGTAGTAGGCCTCGTAGCCGATGTGCCGGCGGCAGCAGTGCTCATGTAAGCATGATCGGACGCGGTAAGGGGTATGTTCGTTCTCGGGGGTGGTGCGTCTCGCCGGTGCGTGCTCGCAGGTTTTCGAGAGTCTCGAGACGGTGTAGCATAGTCGTCCCTCGAGACCGGTGGATCTCTTGGTAGGGGCTTATCGGTAGGCGGAGAATGTACCTCGACTGGACCTTGGCTGGAAGAACGAGCCCGAGTCTTTCCGCGCGGTGACGCATGGATATCGGACTGTTCACCCCCTCTCTGTGTCTGAGTTATAGGAGCCACATACTCTACTTGTACGGTTCGTCGCTTATTATCCTTCTGCTTGCCGTACGCTTGCTCTTCTGCATCGGCTTTACCCTGCTTCCGCGCCGGATCACTTGAAGCTGCATTAGATGGTTTAGTTTTCGTCGCTTCTCTAACAGATGCGCTCCTTGCCAAATTCCCAACATCCTCATCCTCGGTCGGCACAGTCGTGTTCTGAATCTCGCTGCTTGTAGTTGTACTACTGGTAATGAATTCAACAACGTGCGCATATTCACTCAGCCAACTATGCCGAGCCACCTCAAATAGGTCCGCGCGCTTCCGCGGGCTTGGAACAAGTATGCGGCGTAACAGGTCTCGCGCGTGAGGAGTAACATATTCCGGGAAGGTGAGCGGAGTATTTACGATATACTTATAGAGAAGATTGATGTTGTCACCCTCGGGATTGGCGGGATCGTCATCAAATGGTAGATATCCTGCGAGCATAGCATACTAAACATGGTAAGCAAATAAAGAGACACCAGTAAGCCGCATGTGAAATAGCTTCAACTTACCAAGATAACTCCGCAGCTCCATACGTCGACTTTCCGGCCCGTATAGAGCGAGTCGCTGACAACTAGTTCGGGTGCTGCGTAACAGGGACTTCCGCAACTTGTTTGCATCAGATCGCCTCTACGCATTCCGTTCGATTTTGTCTTATCTAGACCAATGCGCTTAACAAAATCACGGTCGGATAGATTCAACTCTTCATCTTCTGTCAGTTCATCCGCCGGGTCGAAAGTATTGGCGAATCCGAAGTCGGTGATGATAATATTACGGTTTCGGTCAAGAAGTAGATTCTCTAGCTTCAAATCTCGATGGACGATTCCTTTCTTGTGAAGATATCCGACTCCTGATATAAGTTGGGCGAATAGCCTTCGAGCAGGGCCGTCCTTTAAAAATCTGTGGTTGAGGATATAGTCGAAAAGCTCGCCACCAGAAGCGTACTCGAGGACTATTCCGATATGACGCTCCGTCTCGGACATCTCATGTAATCTAACGATATTAGGATGCGAGATTCCGCGTAAAATGGCCACTTCTCGATATATCTTCGCCAGCCGGGACGGGTTGTTTCCCACGCTATCTCGCCGTATGAGTTTAATAGCGACCTAAGAATAGTTATAAGTTTGTACTCTGCAGAGAAGAATGAAAACTCGACTCACTTGAACGCCTCCATCTTGCTTCCAGCCTAGTTTCACTTTGCCAAATTCACCTTCTCCGATTACGTTCCCTAGATAATAATCTCCAAACTTCGATCCTTTTTCGCGCTTGGAATGGTCATGGCGACTTCGACCGCCGCGGCGGGTCTCTTCGGGTGCATCATTTGCGGCCACAATAGCTTGGCTATCATCATCATCATCGGCAACTCGGCGTCCGGACTGGGCCTCACTTAGGCGCTCTTGTTCTCTCTCAATATCATCCTCGGGCTGAGACACGATAACACGATTAAGTACTTCACTGGCTTCCCGAGATGGTTGCTTCGAGGAAGCGTTCGTGGCAGATCTGACAGGCATCGTAGTCGTCACAGTCTGTCTGTGATCCCTATTGCTACTCGGTCTCTGAACAGGTTCCTGCATAAGATGTTGAGATGCCGCTTTTCGACTTCGGGAGTTTGGGTCGTCATATCCTGCTCGTGCCGAGTCCGACTGTCCGCTTACGCCCGTTCTGCTGCCCTCTCCTGTTCGTCTTGGGGAGTTTGCAGCTCGCTCTTCAGCACGGGCCGCTCTTCGGGGGTTTGCTGCGGCAGATGATCCTTGTTGCGTAGATGATGTTCGCGGAGGAGCAACTGGGGGTTCATTTCTTCGTCGATTCGAAGATGACCTTTCATACTCGACCGGAGTACCTGCTACGGGTACCGGCGAGGCCAGCGCAGATCTCGATGTCATCGGGGATGATTGTGCTTGGTCTTGATAGGTCGGGATTGGGCTCGTCGCGCTCGCGCCGTTTCCGCTCGGTTGTCGGGATGGGCGTCTTGAAGATGCAGGAGAGACGTTCGCGTTTTCGCGGCTAGCATATCGACCGTCACGGCTAGGAGACTGGCGGTTGGATGAGGCGGCAGCTGGCGACGGCGTATTTAGAGTAGGTATAGCGGCGGGCTGATGAGCTGACTGCAATGCAGCAGAAGACATCTTCTACGCGACAACGCGTAGGTCAGTTGTCAGCTGCTGGGTTGCAGTCTTGGATGGATAGTACCTAAAACGAAGAATTGAAAATAAGTAAACTGCAGTTCTCTTTTATTTCGGATGGGTTCGAGTGTCGGTGAAGGTATTGCTAATAAAGGGGGGGAGGGGGAAGAAAAAGAGGCTATGGGGGAATATAGAAACACCTGCACGCGCTTGGAAATTTTTAGAAAAAAAATCCAGAGGGCTGCTGGTTCGTTTGGTGCTCCAATGAGCCAGTTCAGATTGACATTGTGCGTTACAGTGAGGTGCTATCTCGTTTGAATAACGTTCCGCGTGGATAAAGCAGCTGATCGGCGATTCGGATTTCCCTTACCAGTTTCTTATCAAACAAGCAGGTCAGGTTGTAAAGCTGCAGTGCTGTAGAGGGTATCGGGCCAACGATGTGTAGGATGCCACGATTTGAGTGTGTCGTAAGGTAATCTCAGCTGAGAGATAGCTTGTGAGCCTTGTCAACGCTACTATTATTCGTTCGAATGCTAAAGGTAGGTATTGTGTGGTGGTAATTCTTTTGTTCTGTACTTGCACCGGCCAATTTAAAGAGGAGGCTTAGATGCACATGCAGATGCGGGTTGCAGCTTTGAGCACCAGTAATCTTCAGCTTCTTTTCTCCCTTTTTCGAGTACTCGACGTTACTAGGGAGGGTTAATAATTGCGCGACGTTCCACTCTAAGAGTCGATATTGTTGATATTGAACCAGAGGTAAATAAAAGATGGATTTGCGCTAGGTATCCTCTGATAGAATTTCCTCCAAAGAAATTTAGTTTCAAGCTCGGTTTATTCTTGAAAAATAAACAGCTGGTTCTAGATCCGATAAAATCGAGGCCGGAACTAAAACAGATGTACGGATGTTTCGCTTTGGTGTATCAATTCGACAATGGTAGGTTTTAATTAAAGTAGAGGTTAATCCTCGCAATCCACAGAGGCAAGGTAGGCGAGGTTAAGCCTATGTCTTCTTCGCCGGCGCTGAACCGAGTTTAATCGCTAGGCCTGCTTGTCAATTGAGTTGTAGGACTGTTGGCTAATGCACCGCCTAACGGGAATGGGTGGACGCGTGCGATTTAGGGGGTTTAACGACCGGAGGACAAGACAAGACGAAATAAAATAATAAAATAAAAATAAAAAAGGATCAGAGGGCAATGAAAATTGGGGGTTTGTTTAAAGGAGAGAAAGGTTGCAGAGAGCTTGAGGTGCGCTTATTCGATAACACCGTCTCCCAATTGCTTTGCATTCACTTAGAATTGCGCGATGAATTTGAAAAACCTCGCCTGGATAAAGGCAGGCCAAATGGACGACGTGATGGGCGACGTGAAAGAGAGGGAAGAGAAGCAAACCAACCTTGGCCACAACCAAACCATAACTTTTCAAGAGAGACGAACATCAAATTGGGGGCTTGCTAGGGACTTGCTAGGGACTGCAAGTAGGGATGTCCTTGACAACCCTTGACAACCCTTGAGAGGGAAATTAAAAGATGGTCGGATGGAGACACCAGCAAGGGGGGGGGAGGGGAGGGTCCTGTCACACACGACGGTACCGTACCATACATATTACCTCAGGTGCTGCATAGTACTGCATAGCACTAACTACAGCGCTAACTGGTCCCCAACTGGGGGGACGCGTTCTGTTTTTGGGCGTGTTTCTACCCGGCCAAGGAAACAACCTGCTCTATTAGGATGGTACGCTAGTCCTGAAATGGGGGTAAGTGGGTGAGTTACCAGTGCGATACGGGAACGTGGTGGTACAAACATATAGGGGACTAGCCATATCAGGCAACGAACACGACGGGGTAGGTAAGTAGATAGGTACATAGATAGCCACCTCTTGGAAGTCTCTGATGCTTGACAACTAAATGTAATGACGATAATTCACCATTTTCATGCAGGTACAATACAGTTTACAATTATGGGACCTTACAGTAGTGTACCTATCCAGGGCTGCCAGGTATGTATCTTATCATGTAACGAGCCATTAGTTACGGCTACATTCACCGAAAAGCTAAGGCAAGCCAGTAATTTTGAAGAGACTTTATTTTAGACATCCAATATATGAACAGCAAGAAGCAGTATACTATTAGTAATGCTAGTAAGTAGGTATTTAACATTGATTAGCCATACAACTTATAGTTAAACATTTATACATGTCTTTCATCAATGCTATACACTAGTATACCGCATACAACCATCGCTTCTTCAAGTTCCGACTTCTGAAATTCGGTACGCATCTCACCTAATGCACGTAAAAGGATCGAGAAGATTAATACGTGGTTGATCTCCATTATGTAAGTAACGGCGCATAGAAACAACTCCCTACCAACATACGAATCATGCAAGACATAGCGCTTCAAGACAAAGAAAGTGGCTTACCCTCGAATTTGTTTATCGATTCTAACAACGTCTTCCGAATCCCGGCTAGAAACGTAGAAACGTAGAAACGCGACGGGCAATCTGAAACGACAAGACGACAAGGATACCGGGGTCTAAAATAAGAAAATAGCTCCATTCTGTACCTTAAAGCCGTAAAGCTGTAAAGCTGTAAAGCTGTAAGCTATCGTTTCTTTCATCCTATCCGACCTCGAAAGACAAAGGTTGCTCATCACATCATGGAATACAAAATACAGCCTTTCTACCTAGGTAGGTAGCTTCTTCTCATCTTCTTTGCCCTTAGCTTTAACCGCGAGGCTCAACTTTGTATGCCAATCGTTGTATTTGGTAGTAGTACTTCGTACTAATTTCGGACCAGTATCAGTCATTATGCATTGCGATAATCTTTTCTGCTTAATATTCTCTTTGCAGTTAGCTGCGTATTATCTGGCTCGTTGATGCTTGCGATGCGGTCGCGATTATGGCTAGGTAGCTTTAGTTTGAACAACTCATTGTTTGTTGTGGTCGTGAATGTCACGGCCATAACAAACGAGACTTCTTGACGATCGTACGCTCGGGAGCCGAAAGAGCTGCCTCTTTTAATCTAGCCCCAGTAAGGCTGAGACGTTAATCCAATAGTATGAAAGAAAGAAAGACGGTTCAACATATCATCAAATAACCATCTTCTCCAATTTCCCATATATCACGTCCAGATGAATACCTGCATACAAAAGTTATTCCCCTCCAGCTTTCAACTACATACGGCAGATGACAGGCTCCACTGCGCTAACAGGCTGAGAAGATCAGATCTTCTTGCATTAACGTCGGAGATGACCTTTCATGGATGTGAGCAGGGGTCGAGGAATAATTGAGGGTTTATTAACTTTCAGAACATGGTCTACCAGGCGGTTAGCCGAGAAAAGGGTCGGTTGGTCCGGGTCTCAAAGAGCTCGGACTTCGCGCTCGAGGATCGTCGTCATCGGCCCAGACTCATTCGATTCTACTGTCGTTCAATACGGTCAGTGAAGCCATTCCAATATGTATTTACCGAGGCAGTCCTCCAATGCATGAGACATTCCAGGAACACAAAGCCTTGGTGCTTCGTGCGACCACAAAGCAGAATGGCCCAACTTGAACCACATAGAAACTTGTTTTCGAATCGAAATGGTCAAAAGGAAATATATCCTTATAATTACAAATTTCGACCAATGAAAAAAAGAGAATACTAAAAAAACACATTCCTGCAAGCGTCGATCTTCAGTACCTTATTTAAGTCTCAATATATACGTGCATATTCCGGAAAATCCAACCGAACCGATACAGTATAACCCGGAATTGAGGTTTCGGGTTCCATCGAATGAAAGTCGAGGGCAAACCATTAACTACCTAACCTACCTACTATGTAACCCAGCATGTAGCGAAATTCGGGAACCTGTTTCTTAAAACACTAAATAGCGGAAGCATTCAAAATATAAATTGGCGGGGAATACTTGACCCAAATGTGTCTATATGTAGCTACACGATCATCCGGGACCGTGGATCACTTTGGGGGTCAATCTAATACACAGATGGATATCATCATCGCTGCACCCAAACGCGACGATCACCCGTGATCTGATCTCGTCTTTGCCTCTTCCCAACTGCCACTATCTAGACAATCAATGTATAGCAGAACCGATGGGAATATGCAGATAATCCGACGGCGGAAGCAAATTCGTTGCGAAGACAACGCTTTGTGACACCACTAACACAACACTCTAGCCTATTAGACATTTGCCATTGTAAACGGATGGATTGCCTCTCTAAGATATAAAGCAATTCGCCTAACAAATAATCAGGGAGAATCATATTATTATCACCTAAAAAGTACTATAATTGAGAAGTGTAGTGTGATTACATCGACTTGATAACGTTGGCGGGTGATGCGTCTCGAACACAACTGTGCCCAAAATGACACATAGCCTACTTCGCTACCTAGGCGCCTGAATATACTTTCGACTTTCGACTATTATGTCGTATTGTTTAACCATGTTTAATTATATCTACCAACCTATATATGGGTTCTAAGCATTATATCTAAAAGCCAAGCTACTAGTATCCAACATATATACCCGCATCTCTTTAGCGATTCAAGTTTGAGTTGAATAGATACCTATAGACATACACAAGAGACTCAAATAGCACTTAAGCATATTAAGTAGATGTATAACTCCAACCAGGTATCAAATTACGTAGTTACTATCGTCCTAACTACCTAATGTAGTGCATCAAGTGTTCTCTAAGAACCAAGATAGAAAAGAGAAAATTAGCAAAGACTTACTCTTCACGGCCATACATAAGTCTATACACCCCACGAAGCTTTTGAAAGGCGAGAAGGTACAACAGCACCACCCGACTTAGCGACATTTTATTCTGAGCCTTTAAGCTTTCATGAGATCGAGGCGAGGTGTGAGTAGGTAGACATCTACGTACGGTAGCTAAATGCTGAACCCGGGGTCTTTTAATATGACACCAGATGACTCCTTGACAATAGGTCTCTTATGGGAACGAAATGACCTCTTTGTAGTTCTTTCATCTGCAGAACGAGAACTGGGTTTGTTTTACTTTATGCCCCTTTATATATATCCAAGGTGAGCGCCTATCTCTTACCATACAAAAAAAGAAATTAACACAATGGCATGAGAACTGTGTTGTCCCAGGTTATCGGGATGATGTCAGTGAATAGAAAAGTTTAGAATCTGGGTCCATTATCTGTCTATACTCATAGCTTAATAGAGATATTCCAAGCATCTAACGTAACCGCAAGTGTCGTAAGAACCGCGGCATATCCTACCAATATGCCCATAGCGACACTCGGTCCAACATCCAAAGTAGGTACCGTCATGTTTACCAGTCCTGTGAGTAGATTCGCGGCCAAGAAGATTGCTAGCCCATTCCTATTAAATGCTCGCACCACCCTGCTCGTAGCCGTCTCGTACTCCTCCTTCTCTGTCTTCGCGTCTGTAGCATTGTAGAATGACGGAAAGAACACACTCTCGATAACGCAACATGCTAGTAACTGGAACGAGTTAAATGCAGCGATCCATAGGACATAGGGCAGATTTGCCAATCGCCGGGACACATCTAATCCCGCGCCATAGCTGTAGTTCGTCGTGAAGAAGTACATAATAGTCCAGATAGACGTCCACACGGCCATAGTTAGGATCAGAGTAGTCCGCTGGGTGCTGCTACTGGTTCCGCTGCGCGGGTTGATACTCCTGGGTAGTACGTACATACCGGTATCTTGACCGGCTAAGAAGATGGCAAGATATCCAAAGAAGCTACAGATACCTTCTTTATTCATAGAGATGATGTCTGTCCGTGGCGCGATAAGGATGAACGCTTTCAGACTTGTAGTCTCCAGCACAGCCTGATAAATAACACCTAGTAAAATGGCAAGGGCCGCATAGGACGGGATTATCTTTAACGCCGACTGAAAAAGCGCGACGAACGGAGGAAGAAAGCCTAAGGTGAAGAAGAAATTCCAGTGCACACCGTACTCAGTTACGTGCTCGGCATAGTCGAGACCTTTGACGCTTATAAGGCGAATGACACCGAGAACCAGTAAAGGCAATGAATGCCTCATCGCGTATAGAAGCCTTTGAAGCACCGGCGTCGTCCTACCCTCCGCTCTCTCCTTAAGAACCGGACGCGCGGCAACAATACCCGCCGAGAAGACAAAGGAGCCTACGCCCACGTCCATCAACGAGGTGCCCCACGTCTCAACCTTTGCGAATCTTCGGGGGAATATCCTGAAGTCCACTGCCAGAATCGCTAAGCAGGTAGTAATCATCATAATTCCCCGGTAGGTCGTCAAGAACGGCTTGGTAGGCAGGACGCTCAATGCGCCCGGCGACTTCTGAGCTTGCGCATTAGGAGGGAGTTTATGCTTCTTTCTCGACACGGCAGGGTTCGGGGGCAGGGCGTAGACGAATATGGCGGGGACGAGGAGCAGGCCGGCGAGAAGCAATGGCTTGTCCGCGTAGAGTGTTATCGCAAGTAAAGTGGCCACTACGTTTAGGAGGAAATCGACTACAAAGCTCAGGGGCTTGTACGGCTTGAAGAAAGACTGGCGAGACTGTAGAATGGACCATAGGACAAAGGCGATCTAGTTAGAAAGCTCGGGTTAGCTATAGGACTTCTCGGACAGGAAGTTCATTGTCTGTCAGTCAGTTGCATACGTACAGGTCCTATCGCAGTTACATAATTGATTTCAGAGACTGAGCCACCTGATAGGCCGGACACGAAGTCCTCCTTCATCTGCTTATAGCTGGTCGCATTGGAACTCATATTGTCTTCCCTCGAGTGAATTACGGTAGTATATACGGTTTAATAAAATTTATTAAGGAGTTCTATCGAGAGTTGACTAGCATCGTAGCGATAGAAAATAGATTGTGGCCTTTTTGAACAGATGTCAACTCGAATGTTCTAACGGTTATGTTGTTCTTTAGAATAGGTAGCTTCAAGGTTGAGTTGCGAAGATGGGAAATGGACAAATTAGAATTCAATTAAGTAGAGTGGGTCATTAGCGGCTTGTGCTATGAGATCACAGCTCTGGTTTAGCTTTGGTTTACCTAGCTCTGCAGCTCTGCAGCTCAGGTTTAGATCTTATGTAATCAACCAGTAAGTTGAATATTATTTAAACGATGTACTTATGTGCGTATATTCATATATGAAATGCATATATTCCTTTCAACTCCTATGTACATCGTCGACAGATCAATAAATCAACAACATTTGATAGACTTATTGTAAACAGCTTTGCCAGAATACAAACACCAAATACAAAAACTCGTAATCATGTGAAGTGTGACAACATGAATCTCTTTGTCGTAAGGCTCGGTCAGCAGAAGACTGCCAAAACCTCTTCTTCTCCCCGCCGGACTGTTATACCCGATTCTTCATGTTAAAAACCCCCCAAGCAGATGACAACAGCCTCCGGGTTTCCTTTATTCTTTTACGGTTCGTACCCTTATTACGACTCACTTGCCCTCTCAGCCCGATAGCGTTTCTTTCTCCTTTGCTACAAGATTAGAAATCCCTTCGGGAAGCTGTATTGTTCTACGGCTTGGCGCAACACAATGACAATTACTATATAAGCTTCTTCCTTTGATATCTCTGTTTGTCCCCTACCCCCCTATCATGTAGAAAGAAGAGCTTACAAAAGAGCCTTTGTTCTTTATCTATTCATAGAAATATATTTCTTAACTTCGATCCTTGCGATGAGATCTTAATTATATCCCTACCTACCCTACCTATACATCTTGCTTTTTCCAATCTCGAGTAAGTCTTCCAAAGAGACGCTCTAGCTAATTGAGCTGTTACCTGAACTTCATTCTGCGCTCGGTATCCAATGACAAGCGATGTGAATATCTCGAGACGTCCGGGTCTCGAGCCTGTATGGACTAATACCTACCACAACATTAACGACATGCCTAAGACTATCCTTCGGCCAACTCCCATCAGTGTGGGCCTGCCTCAGTCGCCAATATCTCCCAAGAGCCTCCCAATCCTTCCAAGCCCTAATCCAGTCCATCCCGCCTCTTATGATGGATCGATGAGAAGGCAAGATCGGGCGCTGGTCAACAGCCTTGACCATAGAGCGGTGCCGTCCCTAAGCTCGGCACCTCTGACTCCCATCGACGAGTACTCGCCGTCACCATTGGTCGCAAGGCTCGAAAAGATCAGCATCCTACCGCCGATGAGCATTGCCAATGGCACACTTACACCACCTTCGTCAGATGCCTCGTCTCGGAGAGAAAGTCTGCTGTCTCTAGATGGGTCGACATCAGTAACCATGCATGATGCTCCCTCGGGACATCAAGTTAGAAGTCCTAGCTACTATAATACGGATTATCCCACGTCACCGGGTTCTCTGAAAAGAGATGCAGCATTAAGGCTCCGGGACCAACTTCGGGCTTGGGGCCCCGTCTATTTTAGCAACTCAAAGATGGCCGATGCCTTTATTATCGCTAGATCTCTGCGCCAACATAACTGTAACTCCCCGACGAGCCCGGCATTTGTAAAATTACCGGCGTGTGCACCACCAAATAAGCGACTGACAGTTCGCGCTATAGTCCGGCCTCAGTCTCAAGATAGGTCAGCATTCCTAATTCAGCGCAACTTCGATATCGATGAGCTCCGGGCTACTATCCCCGATCCACCTCCACATATACAAGTAAACAGCGGCCCGGACGGACAACGGTCTCCGAGTCAGAGCAGTGCCTCGGTTCCCATACAGTCCAGCCGTAGACGATCAAGTACCGTGCGGTCGGGCATTCTGCTGCGCTCCGACGCAAACACCTTGGATCTGGAGAGCTTGATAAGAGACGCGAGGGCTATACCAATGCGTAAGTAGATGCGCTAGAGACGTATCTAAGTATAGACTAATACTGATAAATAAATCTTAGACCTACCATATGCTCGAGCATACTTACCTGTCGTGGCGGCGCTACTAACCTCCGGCCACGTCCGCGAGGGCGATGTTGTATATCTGCCCATGCCTCATGCCGAAGCGTGGGCTCAGACAGTACGATATGTGTATACAGGGCAGGGCGAGCTGACGGAGGCAGTCCGGGAGAATATATTGTATTTAGCTGGGAAGGTATGATTATGCTAATATTTGTTTTATCTGAACGGGTAACTGGTAGCTTTAGCTTCGGCTCCGAGGGGGTAATCGTGGCAAGCAGATAGCACCCGTATGTAGATATGTGTTGGGTTGGATGGTTTGGTAGATAAAATGGATGGGAATAATGAGGATATGAATAGACGGGGTATTTGGAAAATGGGTGGTATAGTCTATCTCTAGCAAGCGGAATTTCTCCTAAGCGTCATATCTTAATACCCAAAATTTAATTAATACACGGCTGGCAGACAGTTATCTACTATTACCAAGCTCGGAGCCTATGTCTTTAACTTATGGGACATATTTCGGTTAGCAAAGGGTCATGTTAGGCACATATACCTACCAGTCAAGTCCAAATTACGCAGGCTTTAATACGTGCCTTAATACTAGACTTAACCACCACCGACACTAGATATTATTGTGGACTTAGAATTGGTGAGAAATAGGTCTCTTTTCCGTGCTATTATCTTCCTCCTAACTACCAAAAAAACAGCCCTAGAGCTTTAGAATCGAGCAACCGTACCTTCGCAACGCAAATGTGATTCGACTAACTGGCCATAACCCTTCAGAAAGGGGTCAACGGTAGAAAGGCAACCTCTCAGACAAGAAGGAAAACCAGAGAACCGTGATTTTTCTTCGGAAAGAAAGAATCATTATTAAAGTGTGAGAGCGTATGCCGATCGATGTCAGAGTCGAGTGTCGTGAATACATGCCCCCTTCCGTCTCGCCCTGTTGCCAGCTAGCCAGCCGTCGTATTAAATCAACGAACCATACCCTTGCGGTATTGGGGAAAACAAAGCAGAAAGACTCAACGCCTGGGCAATGATTTGCCTTCCTAATAGGAGGCTACAAACGCATCCCGATGCCTATTCTTTGCCCTCCTCAACGAGGCCCAGTAACAGCATCACAAACCCCCCATCTTCACTCCTGATCCTTGATCTTCGCCAGCTTCTCATTCACCTGCTTTCCCATCGCATCAACATCCACCTCAACTCCATCATTCGGGGTGCACTGGCCAGCCTTAAAGTCGTCCGTCGGAGCGCCAATCTCAAGGTCGGCGTCATCATCAAGATCGAAGTCGCTCACGTCGTTGGTATTCTCCTGAGCGCCTTCGAGATCTCCGGTGTTGTTGCGGCGGCAGCGGCCGAAGATGATAGTCGACCAGGAACCCTAGTACTTGTCGACGTAGTGGAGGCAGAGGATGGGCACGGCGAAGATGCCGACGATGATGCAGCCCAATCTAATGGCGAACATGCGAAGGCCCTTCAGCAGGAACGCGTGGGCGGTGGTCTCTCTGCCGCGAAAGTATGCCGCGACCACGATGAAGAGAACGGGGAGCAGGCAAAGAACAGTGAAGGCTAGGGTATAGGAAGGGACGTCTGCGCCGCCATCGCCCTTGCCCTCGCAAGCAGTGGGAATGGTCGTTGCGACGCCACCAGAGCCAACAGATGAATCCATTGTCTTAGTGGATTGGTTCTATTAGAATATCAACATTAGTTATCGAGCTTCTTATCTGTGAACTCTTTCTTTATACATACCGAGCAGTAAGTGAAGACTCGTGAAGAAATGTACGAAGAGTAACGCGTATCGAGATGGCGTGGACGAAAGAGGGATGGATGGTTATTAGGTAGGTATTGCAGTCCTTTTGTTGGATGTGCAACGAAACTAGAACCGGATCCGAATAATAAATAGACGTGGCGGTTAAAATGTAATCAGAATAATTAGGGCTTTACGGTACGACCCTAGAACTCCTGCTGCTAGGGAAAACAACTTATCGCGGGCAAGCGACGCGTGCTATGTATGTTAGGTACCTTTGTGACTTGCTCCTCAGGCAACGCGGTGAGCCCTCAAATTTTGTTGTGCAGCTACCAACAGCGGGCAGGTCAGAAGCCGGAGAGACGAGTTCGATTACCTAGTCGAGTGTGTTTGTGTGTGTATGTGCGTTGATTATTCGTATATAAGTACCTAACCTAACCTACGCAGCACGGCACAAGCAGTGTAGGATAGATAGGAACGTACCCCTAAAGTAGTAAATAGCCTCTTATCCCCTCTCTAATCGAAACTTCCATCCCCTACCCTAAGTCACGCCCTATGATTACGACCAATAGAATGCACCCAATTATGCAACGGTACCTATGCAATTCCCCTTTTCAATGAACAAACTGTCCCCCGTGATGTGTATGTATACCTTGATTTGCCCCCCTGAGTCTCATGTTCGATGATATGGTTTCCTCTTAGACTAATTATACCCAGCCTTATGAGATCCTAAGCCCGTTTCTGTCTGCTTGCACGACCTTTCCATCCGAAGACAATCGCGCCTAATGGACAAACTGTCCAGGCACAGGACCATAAAGACTAGACGACCTTGTGATAACCCCTTAGAGACCATAATCGGCTTCATAGACATACAAACCTCCTCTCCTCCTGAGCTATCCTTTCCACACAGCATACTCGGACATGATGCTCTGTGTCTGCCTTCGATTCGTTCACGGTTTCCTCTAAACTTCGGCACCACTCCAACTTTGCTCTGGCATCCCAATCAGCGACGGAGAGTTCGACTTCCAGGCGTTGGAGTCTTTTTAAAAGCTTCAAGCCAGTCTCTATCCATCCTGCAGCGCGTCCATCCGAATCCCGTATCCTTACAGTCGGAGCCCCTTTCTGTGGTGGGCCAGCTACGACCCACGACATCCCTCCTGTTGCTGATGTTCCCCCTCCTCCTCCACCACTTAGAATCTTTAGTCTCAGCCCCTTTAGTCCAGGGGCCCAAGCCCCGCACAGGTCTCTCCAATCTTCTAAAGACCGCCCCATGAGGTCACGCGATAGAAGCTCTAGACGAGCGTACCGCATCGTTAGTTGCCACGGCTGCAGCCCCTTCATAAACGACCGCGCTGCCCACAGCCCCGACGTGAACCAGTTGACAAATACAAATTCGTTCTCTAGGAACGGCAAATGCCTACTCTCATGGTAAATTTGCCGGTTCGCTATCAGTATCGAGGTTGGCATGCAGCAATTCGGCCGGTAAGGCGAGAGTAGCTGTGGTCGCTCTGCTATCTGCTTTTGGTTTCCAGCGAGGTCCTTAGGCACGCCGAAGTTATGCCGTGGCGAATCTGTTTCTGTGTCCAACGCTACGGCTTTGACATGATAAGCATGATAAACCGGGTTGGGGTACCACGGCGCGAACTGCGTCAGCTGGATGGGAGTCATGAGGTGCACCCAGCGGTAAATCTGCAACCTAATCTCCAGGGGCAATTCCATAAGCGGGAAGAAGCCTTCATCTTCGGAGCTGGTGGCCGAATCTATCTCATCCTCCGAACATCCGTCGTTCGAGATCTCCCCCAGCATGAGGGCTTCGAAATCGGAGAGAGTTTCTTTATTGAGATTTTCCAACTTGAGGGACCTGAATTCGGAATTATCGACAGACGCCGTCGCAATCTCTCTTTGTTCAGAATAATGGTCCAGTCCCCACGCAGTAACGTTTCCTCCGACCCAGTCACAATCGTCAAATTGTTCTAAAAGCATATCCGGAATGGATGCCGACACGCCGGTTCCCAGCTGTTATATGTGGTTGACGAGTGAAAACTGTCCCAGTTAACATAGCGTATAACTAAAAGGCGAAAGGAACAGGAGGATTCGACCAGGTGTCCCCGAGACGTGGCAGGAAGCAGGACGACAGGATATTTATAAAATCGCAGCAGAAGCAGCTACATCACTTGGCTGCTTCTGAGGCGGTAGTTTATACGATGGATATATACTGAGCGATTTGATACGAACAGGGCTGTCGTGTCCTTCGCCCTGAGTTGTACCCAATCTAATCGTGTCTAAGCCGTATTATAATCAGCTAGCCACTGACCGCCAATCAAAAGAGTACCAGGGGCCAATCAAAGACCAGCCTGTCAGCGACGATATTGGACCGGCTATAGGAACAAAGAAACTGGCTAGGTGGGAAACCCGCTGGATATAACATCAGCTTACAGGGAGGCCTAGTCACACTTTTGGAGAGCCGCTCTAGGCGTCAGCTTCCCGTCATCATCCAGGTCGCGGCAATACGACGGCGGGCCGCTTGGAAAGGTGCAAATCTGCGAGTCAGCACCAAAATGATTAACGTAACGAATAACACGGTTCGTATGTATCCTAGCACATTTATTCCGATTGGGCTCCCTTATTCTCGATCTCCCTTTTGGAGATTCAACACGTATTAACTTGCGCCGCTTGGGTATTACTGCATATATAGGATTCGAAGTCGCAGGTTTGATTAAATAATGTGAACTCCCTAGGTTAGATTCGTTCTACCCGACTTCGTGCGATATTCGCTGTTATTCCTCTTTCACCCCGCGCTCGTCTTATCCATCGGGCCGCCTCGGTATTTCCAAAACCAAGATGCTGCAGCTCAACGAACGTGCGCATAAGCAGTCAGATCTTGTTGCGCTTACGTATAGCCAGGATTAAAGTCATCTCTGGCCTCTCATAGGGCTGAACGGGTCACACCAAATGCGTCCGTGACCGGTCAACGAGACTCGGTGATAATCATGCGCAGGACGGTCTTACTAAAAGCCAATCTCGACACTATATTGCGGCTTATGTGCATATTGAAATGAGGCTCAAGAACGGGGACCCGAGCACGTTTTCGTCGCTTATTGATGCAATTAGTCTTATGCAATAAATATTTGAAATCAGTGATGAAATTGGTTGGCTCAATACCTGTTAATTGCTCATTTTGTAATTGGTGACCGAGGCCGCCTACTTGGCGGGCAACGTCGGATAGTAGCCTTAACAAAAACCAACCGCTGCGATAGAAACTTCGGAGATTACTGTCCCAAGAATTATTCTCAGCTCCTGTAGCACTTATGTCCGATTTACTACCAGATCGTCGTTATCGGACTGTCATCGGAGGTGCAGGAAGACTCGGATGAAGTCGCCCACCTCTCATAACCATACTATCCCATACAACTTTTCTCGACTTAGTGATGGCCATACCGTAAACAGAGCAAGGTTGGGCATATTTTATCGTAAGCTTGTACGGCCCCTAGCGGGTAATAAACTCTCCTCTCGCTGCGAAACGCATAATGTTCTCCAGCGCCGCGCCCTCAACTTCCTGGGTCACGACTGCGGGTGCTGGAGGTGGAGGCGGACGATCGATGATCATAACGTCGTCCTGGTCATTCGTCCCTCCCCCTTCCTCGTCATCCTCATCTTCGTCCTCCTCTTCATCCTCGAGCGATCTTTTAAGTCCCGTCCGTACATTCTCGACACCCCGCTCGCGCTCCTCTTCCGTGAACATGTCATCACCTTCGTTTATCACGTAATCTCTCATGCGCTCCTCGCAGAAGTCGCGCACAGAGTTCCATATATTTTCCAGCTCCTCTTCTGGACCCTTTTCAACGCCTGTACCCGCGCCTACAAGACCTTGAGAAGCTGGTGGCGGAGCAAAGGCCGCAACCATGTTTCTTCCCTCATCCATTGACGTCGCGATGTCCGGCTCTGGCTTTTTGCGTAGCAGTCTTTGGAGTATCATCTCCTGGGTACGGCCCGGGAAGTTAGTTGAGGGATGCACGGCAATGCGGCTAAAAATCTCGGCGGCAGGCGACGTGACACTGAGGAGGCTCTGTATCATGCTTTGTAGAACCTCCGTGTGGGTCTGGAGTGATTCTCTACGGTGGACATTGATAAGTAGCCAGGTAAGTAAGTAAGGTGATAGTAGAAAATACGCACAGATTAGGTAACGGGTTGTTGATGAAGACGTCGGATTTAAGGCTGGCGATGCTACTGGATATCTGCGAAAGCCGCTGCCGCGTCTGCTCGATAGCCCTGAACTCATCTTGGGTAAGGTTAAGCGACGCCATGGTCTATCAACGACAGGCCGAACGTAATAAGCAGTGATATGACGTTTGGGATGTATATTATGTAGTATAGTGCAAGGTCTATACGGTTTAAAGAATGTGGCGTTAGGTAGCTTGGGTTTGGATGAGTTCTCCCAAATGCGACGCGATGTTGAAGATCGACTTAAACTGACAGCTTCTCCAATTGCCAATTGACAAATGACAAATGATAATCACATTTGTATGTACAGTGCTGTTTTCAGTATGTACACTATGTACATATATACGGATCCTTCCACCGTGGCTGCAGGTTCTAGAAGTTACACAGAGCAAGCACGGACGGGACCCTCCCGCCATTTATCAAGTGTACACCCTCTGTTCAATAATTGGAACCCCCGAGTTCCGATAGCCGAATGTAACATACAAGGGGACGTGCTCCTTATCAATCCACGATTTTCAGGGTCCACTGCACGACGTCGCATTTAGATATTTGATGCTGCATGTGATAGCACGGGCAGATAGAAAAAAAAAATCAGTAGAGTCTCAATTGCCTATCGACTTCTTAATTAACGCATTTATTTTCAAAGATAGGTATCTAGCGCATTATTATTGTTTTTTTTTCTTCCAATCCCATAAAATCACTCATCCGTAACTCGTCGCTAAATCCTAATCAATAACCACCGTGGTTTTCGGACTAAAGTAGTCCTTAAAATGTGCTTAGGCGCCGTAGATGCATCACCACCTAACTACCTAGGCTTTCATTAATCCCCAACCAAAACCATGTCACGTTTCACGCCATAAAGGGAGCCATAGAAGCTGACCGCTACTCGCCATGTGAGCCGGCCTGATCTATAATAACTCTTCCGGTCTCCCGACCGTACTTGTCGACAGGGGGGTATCTAGCACGACGCTCCAGGTCATCGAGGGGCAGGAAAGACCGAATATATCTGAATCTAGCTGTTAGTCTCAAGAATATAAATATAAGTTGGAGGGATCTCTCTTACTTTGAAGTGCCATTGTCGCCGGGGTTATAATCCCATGCCTCGAATTTGCCCTTGTTCAAAGCACCCCACACAAGTCTTCGTGTCCGTTGTGATAGTAGTACTTGTTTCGTGATGGCATCGAAGTCCCACCGAGCCTTGGCCTCAAGTTCGAACTTCTCGAACTTCTCTTTCGCTTCCTCTTCCTCGGGAGCAAGCGCCTCCTTCTTGTTAACGAGCTGTGCTAGGTTAACAAGCTCGAGAGGGTCACGCTCGAGGTTGTAGAGTTGCGGCGGGTCTGTTGGACACGTAATGTACTTCCAAGGACCACGTCGAATCATCATGTATGGGCTAATAGTTCCTTCGCCTGTATACTCGGCAATCACGGTGTCGTGACCCTCTCTACCCTCCAAGTGGGGGAGAAGCGAAAGACCATCCATGGGTAAACCGGGAATAGGCTTGGTACCGACGAGGTCGCACAACGTCGGGAGAATGTCCAGAGTTGACACATTCTGCTTCACGCGATGAGGGGTGAAGCGCCGAGGGTCGGAGATCAAGAGGGGTACTCGTACTGACGACTCGAAGTAGCTCATCTTGTACCTATATAATATAATAGTTTAGCAATCAACTTTTCAACTTGAGTGTATACTTCTTCTAACTTACCACAACCCACGTTCTCCAAGCATGTCACCGTGATCCCCGCTGAAAACGACGATAGTGTTCTCATCAAGTCGGCAGTTTTTGAGCACGCGAAGAATACGCCCGATGCAGTCGTCAACGTAGCTAACCGCACCGTAGTATGCTCTTCGAGCTCGCTTAATTTGATCATCTGTGAAATTCTCATCCCAGAGGTCGCACACCTTCAACAGCCGCTTGCTGTGGGCATCCTGTTCCTCCTTGGGAATCTTGACTTTAGGCAACTCAATGTCTACGTCTTCGTAGAGATCCCAGTACTTTTCCTCAATGGTGTACGGGTCGTGAGGGTGGGTAAGAGAGACTGTCAAGCAGAACGGCCTCGAGTCTGGCCCTTCGCGGACCTGGTCGTAAAGGAACTGAGTTGATCTGTACATAACCTCCTCATCATAGTCTAATTGGTTGCTTCGCACACAAGTGCCCGCTTGGAGGATAGAGCTCGCGTTGTGATACCACTCCAACCGCCTATCAGGTTCATCCCAGTTGACAGCCCAGCCAAAGTCGCCAGGGTAAATATCACTGGTGAGACGAGTTTCATAACCGTGGAGCTGGTCTCCCACGAAATGCATCTTGCCGGCTAAAGCAGTGTGATAGCCCTTCAGGCGCAGATAGTGAGCATAAGTAGGCACATCGCTTCCGATCTGCGAGGCATTGTCGTACGCCCCAATTTTCATGGGTAGTTGACCAGAGATCAAGCTCATACGAGAGGGAGCGCAGAGGGGAGAAGGGCAGTATGCAGAGTCGAACTGAACAGACTTGGCTGCTAGGGCGTCAAGATTGGGAGTCTTGATCTGAGATTCCGAGTTGTATATCTTGAGTAACGGAGCAGCTAACTGATCCGCCATAAGGAAGAGAATATTAGGAGGATTCTCGGAAGAGCCATTGGTACCGTTGATGCCATTGGCCACCGGCGGAGCTGTTTGGCCGGGGCCATCTAGACTAGGTTCTGACCGTGGCAGAGAATTAATATCAGGAGCCATTGTGACGGTATTACAAGGCTGAGAGATTACGTTAAGGGAAGAAGAACTTGAACAAGACTGAACACAGTTGGTTTAAAAGAGACTGGCTCAGTTTGGTATGTAATGTCTATGATAGTAGAGGAGGTTATAGAGAATAGAGAATATGGAAAATAAGAGAAGAAGAAGAGGTGTGGGAACAGATCTGTTTATAAAGATAGCTAGTCTAAGGGAGTTGACTAGGTACCCAACAGAACTATCAATGTGCCTAGACACTATCGGAGATGAAGATCGTGGAGCTGGCTAAAGGTGCAGGACTTACAAGGGAGCCAGTCAGAGCTATGGGTTGACTACGGAGGAGAAAGTTGGAAACGGTGCTATGAGAAGGACTATTTAAAAGGCCAAGAACCGACAAGTGAGCACCTAAAGTACTACAATGCAATGAAGCAAGCAAGTAAGTATCGTTCGAAAGGGATCTGTAAAATTATTGTTGGAAGAAAGATGGTTACGAAGTAGTGGGACAGATAAATCGGATCGTTTGACTGGCGTAATCACAGCTAACGATGGCGAAAAGTACGCTAAGTGACACCGCTGTTTTTCCCCGTGGAGCAGATTATTGATAAGAATACCCCACCGCCATACCTAGATGAGAAGTGGCTCAGGGGGTTTATATCCGTTAACCAATCAAAAGGAATTATTCCACCCACCTTTTCCACATTCGGAACTTCATCGTGTGCATGATTCGCCCAGCAATGCAAGGGGTAAACATTTACAAACATCACCCCTCGGAGTATATGTATAAATCATCCTCGTGCCCCCCTTGTCGCACAATTTTTATTGCTCCTTAACGCCTGAATAATGGATAAGCTATTCAGACTAAAATGGATCCTGGGAAACCTGGGGATTCAAATACCGCAGTCATTATCATGATGTCGCATACATAGTATTAATAGCACCAAGACGGACTGGACGGACTAACATATTGTTATCTGATCCCGTAGTAATCCGTAGTATTTCCAGAGTACCGAGTACATCCGAATATCCTTAACAGGTAGTCACTAATAAGAATGAATTACATCAGCCCCAATCACGTCAGAGTCCACACAGCTTGCGCGAGACCGTCCATGCAGCTGCTTTTGGCTTTGAAACTCAACACCTTTCTTCTCATAACCTGGCAACAAAGAATATCGAGTCCAACCAAGCGGGCACCTATCGAGAATCGAAAACAGCGGGAACAAACGGCAAACGTGGCGATGCAGCAAGCATCTAACTAGTTCAACCACATCTCGGGCAGTTTATCAGTAAATCCATGACCATCCATAATCATCTATGACCAACGGCAAGGTCTAATGTGACTCCCAAGTCCGATCTGCGTCGGCTATCGGTCTCGAATCCTTCTCATACCACGAGCTTGCCGTCTTCCCCATGACTGATCCATTTCCCGAATAGATCCGGAAGCGGAGTCGAGAGACATTTTTCGCTTGCATATTATATAGATATGTAGATACATATTATCACGCTGCTCATGGCGCTTAACCATGCAGATTTCCCTGTCAGGTTTTTCTTTTCCCCCAGCTGATAAACAACGGTAGATGGCAAGCCAAGCTCGGGCACGGGGATTAGTAGCACATGACATGTCAAAGTCTGTTTTGATAAGGGTTACATTGCTACCACGAGCGGTAGAGCATGTAAGAAGCCGTGGTATAACATACGTGTATTACAATAGTTGCTGTCTAAAAATCATTCCTACTCAATAAAGTCGGCTCGGGACGTAACAAGAATTCAGCCCCTGCGTCGTGTCGACGGCCCCTTACTTTTAGGAGTAGCTGTAGAGGCGCCGGAACTCTGAGCGGCAGCTGGGACCGGAGCAGTCTCCTTCATCTTCCCTCTAACCTTAGCTGACGGCGCATTCCAGTAGTAGATCATCTGCGCAGCCAAGACCAAGTTCAGCGCAAAGCCTGCCACGAAACCGTATAAGATCAACTTGTCGTCCACCTCTTGCAACGTCGTGAAGATTCGAGAGAGCGAGCCGGCAAGATAATTGAAGACCTACATGCCACGTTAGCTTAACCTAATCTAGGGATTCAGGTATAAAACATAGAGGGGACTTACCGTAAAGGCGCTGAGCTGACCCGTTCCACCTGCCTGGTAGATAGCAGCAATTTGAGGCACCTTGCTAGCCACGCCAAGCACTCCCGCGCCAGCCTGCAAATAGCCCAGGGTCTGCATATCGAGTATTCTATCGTTGAACAGCGTGACAACGCTCGTAGCCAAGGCAGCAACAAAGAGCGCTGCCATGCTAGCTCTACCGCTATAGTTCAAAACGAGGACGGTGATGATAACATTCTGGCCGAGGATCAAGGCGGTCTCGCCATAGGTGCTAAAGGGAAATCCGTGGCGGTAGTTGTAGGCGAGCGAGATGAGGTAGGACGAAGTCTCGAGCAGATACGATAGAAAGCTGACACCGGACGAGGATTGCGATTGGACGAGCTTGAGGATTTGAGGAACCTTGACAATAGACGATGCGCCGATGATACCGATACCCAAACCCTTGGAGATGGCTAGCTTAAGGCATTCCGAATCTGTAGGGTCAAGATCGAGGATCAACGTCTTGTAGCAGGTCTCGCCGATGATGGACACGCCTAAGTCGCGAATGGGAGCCGGTAAGTTGTTCGTAATGGGCTGCAAGGGTTGCAGCGCAGTTTTCAGTGCCTCCATCGCGATTTCTTCTATTTCCTAACTAGATGCAGGGATGTAGTTTGTCTAGACTCTGTAAGTAGTCAAGCTGTCTGTAATACTTGTGTCGGTAATCAGGCCAGATATACAGACTGATAGAAAAGGGGATTTGATGAGGCTGAGATAAAATAAAATTTCCAATAAGGCTTAACACAAACGTCCTGGCGCGATAAAAATAACACGCCACGGTACGTAATAATCGGTCAGGAAGTGTCTAAGCTGGCAGCTTGTGACCCTGTCAGCTGGGTTCAACGGGGAGGGACTAAGCCCAATCGACCCTAGCTTCAAAGCCTAAAGGCTGAAAGGTCAGTAGGTACTTAGGTACATGTACATATACTCAGATACGTACGTACATACTTGTGGCTGGTGTGCTGAACTGCAACATCACAGTGATGGACTACTTCGTATATGTCCAAATCAGCATTTTTAACAACGTATAAGTTTATACCACCAATAGAAATACTAAACACCTTATCACTCTATTATTATTAAACGTTGTTTTCAAAACTTATATTCAATCCTAAGTGAGCCATCAACAAGAAGTTCAGAATAGCCATCGGTATTACCAATTATTTACTCTCGCTCTAACAAGACCTGTTAATCAGTCGATCAAATAGAATGAACACAGATATTCCTCGTAGAACCAGATTTCCAAGTGCATACCTTAGGTAAGTTTTAACGAAGCAGGCTTCCCTGTAAACTCGCACTAGTGACTATTGTGTAACCCACAACGTCTTTATCCCCCCTTGAAAAAGACCGATCTGCTTACAATCTACCGATGCCGGCATAAGAGGCAGTTGAATAAACATTCTTAATTATGTTCGTTTACATAGCCTGATCATATAAGCTACCATTTACAGAAGGAATTCTAATACTCGACTCGGCATTTAGTTTATAGTACCCAAGAGCCTTGAGAATATACCTAACTCTCAAAGTTAACCCCCCAGAACATGCTAATTATACAAACGAAATCAGAAACTATCAATACTCGGTAAATTTGTTAGGTTCGTACACTTGTTAGAGAAATAGAAACCACGGTCATCTCAAGGCACTCGTCTAAATCACAATAGTAAGTAGCCTATGTTTGGGCTTTGGTAGGAAACAGGGAGGCGGCAGTCGAAAAAGACAAAGAATCAACATTACCAGATGAATACTTCATTCAAATAGGTAATGTCAATGACAACACGTACGTACATATAAAAGTAACCTAGCAATTTTAAGATAATATGCTAAACTGTAGAGGAAAGGAAAAAATTATTCATATTTTGCTCTCAGGCTTACGGCCTATCAACTATCGAAGGCAAATGCGAAAAGAGCATCGCAATTATTCACTGCCCCTTAGCAGCCATATCGTACAGAAGAAAATGACAAATAGCTGGAGGAGCACAGGAAGCCTAAGCTCCTTGAAAATATTAAGCGCGAACCTGTTCTTCCAAGAAAGCCACTAGCAAATTCCGTCTCATCCAACGCCTAGATTCAGCCATTTCAAACTATTACGTTCGCAAGGCGCTCCGTTTGAATCGTAGGCATTACATTTAGATCGTGGACGTTCCATCTGAATAAAAAAGCCCCTAGCCCTGCTCCAGATTACTTCTTGCGAGCAAGCGTTGCGTTGAACTGGGCAACTTTGCGGCGACAATGGTCTAGGTTTCCCTCGGGCTCCCAGGTGTTCTCATCATCAGAGAAACCAGCCCATTTAACGAGGTATTCGGTCCCTCGAGTCTTGTTCTTTCGGGTGCCCACAATCTTATCGACCTGCCACTCCTTCTTAGCAGCTTCAGCCTTGGCCTTAGCACCTGAGGTCCGGCCACGGCGGGAGACGCCCTCGGACTTTGGCTTCAGGACAGCAGGTTTTGCGGAAGTGGCCTTAGATTTCTTGCTCTGTCACCTATTAGCACTTTGTGTATACATATATGGGAATATGGGACTACTTACACTCGTCTCCGCAATACGGGAAATAGCGGCGGCTGCAGCAACCCGGGTAGATCGTCGAGGACCTTGCGAATACTCCTTCTTAGCCTTGGGTGCAATTCCAAGGACGACGGAGAGTTTTCTGGTGATCTTACGAACAGGTTTAGTGCCGTCTCTCGCCACGTTCAAGACTGCCTTTCCCTGGATGCGCGAAGACTTGCGAGCAAGCTGGTTGACGGGTCCAGTTTCCTCGTGAGTGCTGCCAGGTTTGATCTTGGTATTGTCCTTTACAAGTTTGCGCTGTGATTTCTGGCAAGGAGATTCTTCTAAATTGTGATTGCCGTTATTATCATCATCCTCATCATCATCATCGGTATTGTCCCAGTCGGTCTCCTCTTTAACGGGTCTCAGGTAGACAACGGTAGAGGGACGCGCGGGACGTTGGGGCTGGGCAACAACAACGTCAACGTTCCTGTCTATGGAACTAGAGCGAGGGAGACGATGAGGCTTCTTGCCAATGGTGGATGCGCCCTGGACGCGTGAAGGTGCCATTGCGGTTGTTACAGAACTAGGTATTATACCCATGAGAATTGAGATGTATAAAGTATTTTATAGGTGTCGTAATTTATCGGCCAGGTAGGTAGATATTCAGGAAGTTTTGGGTGCTTGAGGGGATAGTGACTGGGTACCTAGAAATGTTTGTTGAAAGAGAATTATGTATGCGTTGGACGTGACGGTTGGAAATTAATTTTTAGAAATAGACGTTGCATATAAAAAAGGAAGGAACCTTAGGTAGCTTAGCTACTGGTTACCACGTTCCTGCCTAAAGTATTGTTAGGGTTATTTACGGTTGTTTGAATATCTACTAATGTAATACCTACTTTAGGTACTTACCCAGGTAGATAGAATATGATAATCAAAATATTATCTTTTAAAATCTAGTAATCCTATGCGGGTATGATTATTGTCAGGATCTAGGTTTACCATAGCTTCCCCTTTGTCGCATAGGATGCCTCTTATTTCACCTTGTATTTATGTTTAATCGTGGGCCACATACAAAAACTCGTATATTGTCAGGATCCTAGATAAGACATCTAGAACAAAGGACATGCTAAGTATGTATAGCCACAGGCTCCTGTAGTTGGGTTAGAGTTCCTTGCGGAACAACAAAGTTGTTGCAACTGTTACGAGGTGGGCCTAGAAGGCGTGGAAACAACAAAGTTCTTCCTCAAGGAACTATAAACCAAGGCTGAAGTACTGAGGCTGGTGACTTAATATACCGAGAGCATCCTTTATTTTGGGTGCATCATCTAGAATCCTAATACTAGCCGCATAAGCTTGAATCACGTTTTAATATTGACAATATTGACATGGCCACCATAGACTGCCTAATATACACGTAGATACACCAAACCTTACATTCCCAAATTCACCAGACTTGGAGCGTAATCACATCTCAATATATATATATATTAGATATGATACACTGTAAGCAAATCATTATGGAGACCTAGCTCTGGGGCTTTCTGAAGACTGGTTCAATCAGAATCCTCCTTGTAATCATCAGGCAACTCTTCAAATCGGCCCTCCTGGACAGCTGTTCGCACTGGGTTCTCGGCAGAAATAACACCATTCGCTCTTAACCTGCCAAAAAGTTAGTTGATGTCTACATATATCGGAATGAAACTCTCACCTTTCAAACAAGACGAACAACCGCTCTGCCTCCCTTTCCTTCTCGGCTTCAGTCATCTCGGGCTCCTCGGGCTGTCTTTCGGCATCTAGAAACTGGCCCGTGATGGGGTTGACAGGCCTATCAGGTCCACCCGTGGCAGTGCTGAACGCTTCTGAGGCGTTATCTGGAACCGGCAAGTTCCTGTTGAATAGGAAACCAGAGGCGAAGCCATAGCCCACGTTTTCGACAAACGTTGATGCATCTCTATCGGACATATCAAAGAATAAATTGGATATTATCTCTCGCAGCTGAGGTGTTAAAGGGTTCGTCGAATTCTTCAAGAGCCAGGAAGACAGGGTGCTAGTCCGGCCGAGTACTTCAGTTCTGTCATCTTCGGTTGGCAAAAGCCTAGTGCGTATAGACTTCTTTACATCCGCAGGTGCGTGTTCATGAATCCCACGGATCACGCTAACCAAGGGCGTAACTGACGACTCTAGGTCCTCATTTGTATACACAGTGGTCGAAGCGGATAGTAGATTAACCAGATGGTTGGCCAGAGCGCTAGGATCGCTTTCGGGGAAGAGAAATGCCTGAACCTCTTTGGCGGAAATATCCAAGTTAAGGAGGGCATGGACTAGTTGGCCGGTAGGGGGATCCAGCGGTTTCTGGACTTGAAATGAACCTTTGCATAATAAGGTAACGATGTGGGGTATAGTTGAGGTAAACGAGGAAACTCGGTCTTTGCAATGGTGGGTAATATTAAAGAGGAGCTTGAGCGTCTCCGTGAGCGCCATGTCTTCCATGGGATCCGTCACCGGGCTTCCGGTGGTGCGACGCTTTGCATGCCGCTCAAGATTCTTATTAATAGCATCTGCAAGATGATGCTTATCAATAAGCTCAGTAAAGTCTGTGTCTGTGCCATAAGTCGTTAGAAAGAGTATCCTGGAAACCAGAAATTCGTCATCGCGACTATCACTCTGCAACTTGTCACACAATTTGCCCCCGTAACCAAGGTCAACAAAAACTTGACGAGTCTCTGGCTTTAGGAGTAGCGCATTGCAGAGAACTCGCAAAGCATTTCTGGATGTGGTGCTAGATGGACTATTCAATGCATGTCGGGCGAGCGTCTCTATGCCCTAAGGGTTGTGAGCTTATGGGGTTTTATACTGATGGCTTCTTAACTTACCTCTTTTGTAAATATGGGATCCGCATTCTGAGGATCTCTTCCGTATATTTTAAGCTCTTCCAAGGCAGAGTCGCGTTCTTAAAGCAGTAAAAAGGTTAATGTAGGATAACTAGGTAAGTAGTTTATAATGGCACCTTACGTTGAGGGAGTAGGCTGGCGGAAACCAGATCTTGTGACAGTTTTTCCATCAAACTTGTGACTGCGGCTAGCTTTGCTGCATATCCGATTAATATTATGCTATTGCTAGAGGATATTAACTACTAACCAGGCCCTCTAAGGGCAGCGGCCGCAAGTACCTGCTGGCTAGGTTGAGACATTTGAGGATGGACCGGGGAGTCCTCTGAATCGCCTAACCGGTTACGAGATGATGAAAATACCCGCCAGAACGACTTGGATTGGGGTCGACGAGACTGCTGAGCCATGGTAAGCAAAATGTATATAAAAGTTTAGATGTTTGCGGATAAAACGACGGTAAAAGACATAATGTGTAAGGATGGTATAATATAGAAGGTACTTTAGGTAGGTAGGTATAATAATAATATACCAGCAAATCAAACTTATGATGTTGTAGTTATGAGATGTCAAGAACACAAGAATACAAATGGAGCGGGGCTAATGACGAAGATCGAGTAGGAAGCAAACTGTTCGAGAGAAATAGATTATAGGAGAATGAGGTAGTACTGATAAAAGGAAAGTAAATTATGTGTCGCCAACAACCATCTGATAGTGAACCTGTTGGTTTGTGTAAGGAAACGTTTAGGACTAACGTTAAGTTGGGATGCTGTATGAAGCGATCTCAAGCACGAAAACTCGTATGTTATTTTCTTTCTTTACCTTCGGTACCTGAGTAGAGTGTAGAGCGTAAAGAGTAAAGGAATGGAAGGGTTTCGAGGGAGTTATGGCACAAGGCTGTTTCCCTATGCGAAAGCCAATATTAAGATACACAATCGTGAAATAAAACAATAGTCAATTATGTATTAATAGAGTCAAGTATGACGCAGCAGGGGTATCACATGTTCGCATGTTCGCATGTTCGAACAAACTTTGAGTAGCTGGCAATAATAGTAGGTACCTGGGTACATGCTAGTCAATTTTGGCGTTTCGCACCGGTTAGCCTTTAGGTATTACGGTACGTACCTTATGGACATGTACGGATCCGTACCTCAGTACATTACGTAAAACGTTCAATTTGCACGCGAGGGGTTCTAGGTAGGTTAAAGTGGAGGTCCGAGCTTCTCGCGTCGATTTGACAGAAACTACGCGAAAAGCTTACCGCGACGCGTTTCTTCCTTTTTCCCTAATATCTAATGGTCAAGGGGGTCCGCCTTAACCATCCAGACATATCAGACAATAATCGTAATTTGCTGTATCCGACCAAAAGCACCCTCGAGATTATCTCGTTCGTTCATTATACGTCCTATACCACTCGTTAAAATTCATTGAAGTCTATAGCATTGAATTGGAATTGGAATTTATTGATGTCGTTCGGTTCGTATAGCGCATGATATCTTTGTTTCTGGGAGATCTGGGAGGTCCTTTTCCCAGTGGGAGCTGTTGGCTGGAGCAGTCATGGTACCACAAGTAGCATCAGTTCCAAGAAGTTTGGATTCCTTGCCTACAAGACCACCGACGCCACCTCGAGACAAGAAGCAAGACACGGACTCGTCCTCGAAGCTCGCTCTCTCTAATCAGCCCGTTGATACCAGATTAAATCTACATACGCCTCCAAGCTACTCTTCCGATCCTACCAACCATATCAACACGAGCTCTCGGAGATCGGCAAAGAAGGTCGGATTCTTGGTCCAAGCCGAGTATCAAGAAGCTCCAACCTACGCTGACAAGGAAAATGCTCGAAAGCAAACAACGCCGGCCTCTGTCCCTTCGTCGGTAACCTCAGTTAAACCGATTAAGTCTATCTTGAAGCAGACTTCGAGCCCCAGTCCTATCCACTCTCTAGATCCATCAACCGCCGGCGATCAGGTCAACATCGCAACTATGTTAGACTCAACTATCAAGCAGCTCGCCGGGGCGGATAGGGACTCTAAAATAGATGCGTACATGATGCTAGCACGGGCATTGAAAACATCCAATAACTTGCCTGACCGTATCGCCCTTCAGGATAAGATGAGCTTGTTCATGCAGTTTATACAACGAGATGTTACGACAAAAGCTATAAACCAAAATATCGACTCGTCTATGGTAAACCACGCCCTTACTCTACTATGTACCTTCTTCCACTTCCCGGCTATCGCCTCTACGTTGTCATCCGACTTTGGCGTCTTAATTATCGACCACTGTATCAGGTCGTTCGAGGACGCTTCCGTACCCAAGGACGTCGTGAGGCATCTGATGCAGGTCGTAGCCTCTCAGGAGTTCTCGGCAAGGGTCATGACGACTGACCGCGTTGGCCGGTTGGTAGCTTCGCTCCACAATATAGAAGAACATATCAAGGGGAAAAGCATCATCATGTCTCGCATATTGATATATCGAAGATTAGTCAAGCAGTCAAGATCCCATATGATCACTCACTCGGACTGGCTCCTGGATCTGTTTACCGATATGCTTAGTAGCATGAAGGAGATCCGTGCTGCGGCCATCGCGCTAGGACTTGAGGCTGGCTTCACAATCGGCAAAGAGAAGCAGCTGTCTAGAAGAGTTATGGAGATACTACAATTACAGATTGACGACACTAAGTATATCGAATACTATGTAGAGAGGTTGACAAGCATGTCAAAGGATAAGACCCAATCCGCATCCGTCCCTCAAGTTTGGAGTATCGTCATCCTCCTTCTCAGATGTCGGGTTGACAGGTGGGAGTTCTTCGGACGGTGGCTGGAGATTATCCAGTGGTGTTTCAACTGCGGGGATTACCACACTAGACTCGAAGCCAACTACGCTTGGAACAGGCTCGTCTATGTCCTACATCCCAACGAGACGTTGTTTTCAAAAGCTATCGTTACAGTGTGCCAACCCTTCATCAGCCAGCTAAAGAGAAGGAACAACACCAAGCAGTTAGAGGAACTGCGGAAGGTTGTCATAGCTGGCATCCGCAACCTTTACTACTACGCCTTCAAGCCGAACTTGAGTACGGCGCAAGTCGACAGCTACTGGGATGCGTGCGTAAGGCCTCTGATTCAAGGACTGGCTTTTCCCGAAGTGGACACCAAACAAACCGAGAAACCTACAACTATGATCTCTGACAACCTGACCCAAGCAGTTCTAATATTGACCGGACTATTCGACTCGTCGACGCCTCGACTATGGAAGGAAGATCGCGTCGCCGAGAATGCGTTGGTAAAACCGGACGAGCTACCTGCGCTGGACCCGAAATGGGTTAGACGAAACGCGACGAGGGTATTTTCCGTAGTAGAACCTATCTTACAGAAGACTTTTTTGGACCTTGCAAGTCCGGAATCCGTCTCATGCAAACTCTGGCGCACCCTCGTGAGCGCCGTGGCGGCTGCCGCGTCCAAGGAGGTCAAGGTATCCACCGACACGGCGACTTTTATGGCACATGCTTTCAGCGTACTAGCGAAGATATGGTCTCAGGGACTTGACGGCTCAGACGCCCAACCCGAGTCGCAGCAGAGATTCCTAGATGCGACACAGGCATACCTTTGGACGATTATAGAGTCTTTGGGTCTACTGCCCTTCACCGAGAAGCTCCTCTCCCTAAATAAGCAAAATTCATTCATTCCAGTAGCGACTCCTTCTCATCGTTCAGGAAGGGGTCAGGGCTTAACGCGAACTCCTCTTCATCACCTATTTTCTATCCTCTCTGCACTGCCTCCTGGCATCCCCGACGACGACGGCTTATTAAATCTTATCAGGGTTGTCTTAGATCCCTTCATAATTTCCCGATCCTCCTCTCATGGGAAGACTGAGCTAGCTCGCGAATTAATACAGACGTTGCCCATGGACGTCCTCTCGCCGTATGGGCCGTGGGTTTTCATATCCGATATCCTCTCCCTATCTCTAGACAGTAGCCAATCTAGCCATCTCACCGCCAGCTCCGGAAGCGAATCGATGACGATTGGCCACGAGTACCGCGAGATTATAAAGCACCTAGAAAGGGGTTTCAAGTCTACACCTAATATTCCTTGGGAGCATTGGGATTCGCTCTTCCAATTGTTGTCAACTCGAGTCTACTCCGAGACTGGCAGTGCAGGACTGGCCATCGTGGTGATAGAGCCATTAGCTAAGCATTTCTTAGAGTTCTGCTCTTTGCCTTGCGATGATGCGATATCGCCTATTCGTTTCAAGGCTGGCATTAATCTAATCTCTGATGCAGTGCACCCCAAAGATCGTCAGGCGCTGGACGCTGCTCGACGGCGGATTTGGGGTACTTCCATTGCCGGCTCAAGATCTGCTTCTTTCGACCCCTTCGACAATTTTTACCGCCTCGCAAACCACCTACTAGAAGCGTCTTATTTGCACATGGAGCATTACGACCCCGACGAGATCATCGTAAAATTGTTTACCGAGATTGGTTGCTTCCTAATGCGATGCAGCCGCTCGCTGGGTTTCAAATCAATAGCTCACCTACAACATGGCATTGGTCTCTGGATTCAAGATGCGAACGCACAGTACAGCATAGTAGAATCTACGACGATTGCCCAAGCTGTAAGTAACGCATTTTTTTCTTTTCTTTGCACCCGGCACTAACAGTCGCAAGGTTGTAACTCTATGGGATCAGATCTGTAGGTTGTTTCTGCATACAGATACTCGAGAAAACCTACAACTCGACGCTATCGAGGAACTGCTGTGCTCGGCGTTCCAGAGCAAGCATAGGGATATTGTTAATTATACTGCGGTCATGTGGAACCGCGCTTTCGAGAATACCGAGGAGATTCAATATCCAGAAAAGCTTAAAAATGTGCTCATTTCTATTCATTCTTACGTTGATGTAGTGCTTCCTGGCGTAGACCTCTCCAGTTACGCGTCTAGTGAGCAGGAGCCGTCATTCATAGAATCACAGGGTAATTCAGAGATCGTGAATCCGTCTCTTGACAAACAGGACCATCGCAAAACACCTCTAGCAAAGCGGCCATCTTCAAGGCGGTCTACAACGCCTAGATCAGTCCAGCTTTCGTTGCCTTCTAAACAGGGACTTACTATTACACCCAATAAATCTCGGCCAAAGTCAGCTAGGCGTAGCGCGACTCCCAAACTGCGACACGACTCCTCCCAAATCCAATTCGCACCCATCGAATCATCCCCCAGCCGCGATTCAATGGAATCTCAGTTCTTGACAGATCGTCAGAAGGAAGTCCGCGAACGACAGCGAGAGAACGCCGTCATTTTTGCGCATATTCGAGCCAGCACAGAAAACCCGATCTCGAACGAAGCGGAAGATTCGAAACAAGAACGAGATGCGACGCCGCAACGTAACCAAGACCTCGAGGATTATGTAACATCCACGCCAACACCCAGGCGTGGCCAAGCTCCCATGATAGATTTCGATCACGAGATGACGGACGATATTCCTTCTTCGCCACCAGAACCCCGTCGGAACTTGCTCGCAGAAATGAAGCCACGGACCAGAAGCAGTAGCGTGTTCCAAGACTTCCCTATCCTATCCTCACCTATTTCTGGATCTCCCGCTACAAAGCGACAAACGGCACCCGCGGACGAAAGCCATTTAGAACAAGGAGATGCAGGAAACGGCGAGGACGTATCGGAAGCCGTAAAAGAGGAGAGACCGGATCAAGCTGCAGGATCCCAGCCAGAGCGTATATCTACAAGCGTGGAAAATAAGTCTGTCCAGGTCAATACCCGCAGAAGACCAACTACTCCACGGAAAACTCGCTCGGGTAAAATTCTCGACTCCTCGCCGAAGTCCGACCCCGAGGTGTTCGTGGATGCTCTCACCAGCCCGGCGTCTCGATCGCCTCGAGCCCTCCGTAGCAACACGTCCAAGGGTGTACAGACCGTGCAAAACCTTCCATCTTCTTCTCCATCCAAGGACCGTTCTTTTGAGCTTAGTGACGACGAAGAGCGGAGCCTAGCACGTCTAGTTATCGAGCTAGATTCTAGGAAATGCGAGCCAGCACTCAAGTACGATTCAGAATCGCCAGAGAAGCCCCGAGAGTTGGGGGACCAGTCTTCGGAGTGCATCACGGTGAGCACGGGATCGAAGAAGTCGTGTGACAAGTCTAAGTCCAAGGAAGACGAGAGTAACCAGTCGCCGCCTATTATTCCCTCGTCTACAGAGGCGGGAAGCTCTCATTCACCGACTAAGAGGTCAAAGAGAAAGAGGAAGCGGTACTCAGACAGGAGCCAAGAGCCCGGCAGCAGTCAAAAGAAGAAGAGGCAGCACAAGGACACGGATGACGAATCAGTACCCAACAGCCAGGTTTCCCAGAATATCGAAGGGGATACAACTGAAATTAATACCGAAGTCGACACTTCAATGGAGTTAGACACCAATATTGCTTTCAGCTCGCAAGATTTGGCGAGACAGGAGCCCGCAGCTGTAGAAGCCGTTCAACGAAGCTCTTCGCCTGTGGATTTCAATGACAGCCTCGTCGAGCGCGAGTCTGATACGGAAGCAGTAACTTTACAGATAATTACGGAAGCGTCTCAACAGTCAGAAGTCGAGCCTATTCCTACGGAAGTACTAGAGGATGATATACCTTTAGTAGATGATGACACGAAGATGGTGGATCAAGAGGAGGAAGGAGATGCAGAGAAGGCGGCCGAGTTTCAGGTTGAGCAGCCTCGTCCGGTCGAAGAAGCAGCAGTTGAGAAATCGGCAGCGGACAGAATCATGGATGCGCTGAAGGGGGGCCTCGAGGGTCTCCGCACGGCGACGCTAACTCGAGACGAGGTGAGCAGGATTGAGGACATGTTCTTCGATATCAAAAAGGAACTATACCAGGCGGAGAGTCGGGGCCGATGCTAGGTTTCACGGGGGTTTGCAAAGGTGAATGGCGGATGACGAGGAACATATTTAGGTACTACTGTACCATACGGTTATGAGAATACCTAAGGCATTGATTGGTAAGGCGTTTAGGAGGTAGATGATACCTAGTTATGATACCTAGTTACGATACCTAGTTATGATACCTTAGGTAATCTATACGAATGGAATATTTCTAATTATTTGTAGGTTAGTTGTTTTATGTGATGGATGAAGGATTGGCATTTTTGATATGGAGTTAGTGACGAAGGATTGCACTGCAGGTCAACGTTAAGCCGAGGGTGTAGATGTTCGGGAGATGTTCCCTTGGTTGGGACGATTCCGGCTGATTGTTCGCGTCTCATAGGCACGTCTAAGAAAGATGGGCGTTTCAGGTTATGCGGTGCCACCAAGTAGGATACGGGAATACTTGCATAAAATGTATGTACTTACATGTCATGTCATGTACGTATTATATACATTATGTACGTACTGTTATGTACATTTTTGATCTTCGGAAGGGTCGTCTCAGTTGAAGGTCTCAGTTGAAGCTACAATCCACCTTACCTTTTTTTCTGCGGATCCCATCCGTTTTTTTTTGTTTTTTGTTTTTTACTTTTACTATTACTATTTAAAAGGGGGAGCTCCTACAGCTTAATTTATACTCGTTCTCAACCTACTACCGATATAAAAAACATTCGATAATTAGGCGTTGCTTGCTATACTTGGACACATATATATAGTATTACCCCACCAACAAAGACCCCTTAGGTTAGGTACCTTACCTTACCTTACTTTACCTCTTCGATTATCGATTATCGATTATAACCCCGCCATACAACATCACATCTACCATCTACCATCTACCATCTATCATCTACCTCTTAACATCTCCATTTCCTACCTAACCTATCGTCTACCAACCTAATCTTGCCTAACTCGACCTACTGAAGCTAACTGACTTAGACAATCGACTAGCGATCATGGTTGACCGACCAAAGAAGCCTTTGGCGCTAGCCACAACCCCGGGTCTGCCACCTCAACCCCAGGTCAACTTCTCCAAAGACAATTCGCGAGTCACAGCTGTCCTGCCCACCGGTGAGAGTGTCGAGGTCCTCCTCTATGGCGCTACCGTTATTAGCTGGAAGAACCGCTTCGGAATAGAGAGGCTCTGGTTGTCTGATGCCGCTAAGCTCGACGGATCCAAGGCCGTACGAGGTGGCATTCCTCTCGTCTTTCCCGTAAGCTACAGATTATTACCTCTTTGTTTCGAGATAATATCTTCGTGAATGGCGCTAGTTAATACTTATGGCGGATCGCTAGGTATTCGGCACGGCTCCTAATCACCCTGCGACCTCGAAACTGCCCCAGCACGGCTTTGCGCGCAACTCACGATGGGAATTCCTTGGCAAGTCAAGCTCCGAGTCGACGGGGCCGTCTGACACCTCCATCAAGCTCGACTTCGGTCTCTCATCTGCCACCCTAGAAGAGAAGACGAAGAGCTTATGGCCCTACACCTTCTCCATCATCTACAGCGTCACCTTGACCCCAGAGAACCTGAACACGAGCATCGTCGTTACCAACGATGGTGAACAGCCCATCGAGTTCCAGGTCCTGTTGCATACATATCTGCGAATTGACGTAAGTAATTCCTATTGCGCATAAAAGGCGCATAAAAGGCGCATAAAAGGCGCATAAAAGGCGCATAGTACAGCAAGAGCTAACCGAAACCTCCACGCCGAACAGGACATCTCAAAGATCCAGGTGACGGGTCTCGAAGAGTCAGAATACATCGACAAGGTGGACGCGGCTAAGACAAAGACACAGTCAGGCGCTATAACCATCACGGGCGAAACAGACAGGGTGTACACGCCGGCCAAGGGTCCCTCGAACCCGGTGGTGGTCGCAGAGGACGGCGAGGCGGTTTTCAGCATCGTACGGGACAACCTTAAGGACGTTGTGGTCTGGAATCCCTGGGCAGAAAAGGCGGCAGGCATGAGCGACTTCGAGCCCAAGGACGGTTTCAAGAAGATGATCTGCGTCGAAGCAGGCTCTGTCAGTGGATGGACTACACTAGACCCGAACGACGCATTCGAGGGCGCCCAGACGATTTCCGACTGACTTGGCAGCGGTGGGATTCATGCAGCGCCACGGAGTATGGGCAGACTGTGAATAAATGCCGATTGGTCGAGGAGCTACTAGGAACAAGGACCAGTGATGAAGTAGACGGAGAGACGGAGATATCTTTGAAGATATTGACAATCTTTGGGCGGAGAGAATCCTGGTAGATCTCCTTAGTTACTCTTTTTTCTTTCCTGATAGGAAGAAAAACAACGGCTCTTACTTGATTTGATACAGCTGGCCAATCATAAATAGTTGCACGTCTACTTGTTTCTTATTGCTCCTGAACTCGGCCAAGCATTTGTGTTATCATTGTATCCAATGATTCGTAGCCCCGACTTGAAATTTGACCTCAAGTAAATTGCATGCATAGGTACTGAAAGAGAACTGGTTATAATTATAAAATAAACAGGAAAATCAAAGTACTGATTAGGGGATTGGTTTACAACAAGCCTCCAAGCCCAAGCATAAAATCAACGGAAGAATCTAAGTAGTTAACTAAAGAAACCGGATTCTTTATAGCCATCGAAGTCCCAACCTAACGCAGACAAATTTCATGGCATATTGATACAACCGCCCGCCTCGCAAACATAACCTATACTCCTATAAAACATATCAAACCCATTCGTAAAAAGCAAATAGAAATCACCGCAAGCTCCCCCTCCCCCTAATCTCCCTACTTCTAACCACCGCCACCATCTATCTATCTATCTCTACCCTCTCATCCGCCGTCTTATCCCTCATACCCCCTCCACCTCCACAGCTCCGGCGCAAACACAACCTCAAACGCCACCTTATCAAACGCCCCCACGGCAGCGCACAAATCATGATACCCCTCGAGCCCCGTAACCGGCAGATCCTGCTCCCGGTCCGTCTCCTCGTGCAGATCCCACCGGCCCCTTTCCGCACCGTCCCGCGTCAGAAACACCTCGACCCGGACCCCGCCGCCGTTCCGCGGGCAGAACTCCATGCCTAACCCCACCGTCTCCCCGCGCCGGAACGCCGACGTAAACGCCTTGCCGCCCCACCGGTCGTTCACGTACCGGTGTCCGTCGTCGCCGTGCACGCCCAGGCTGCCGCGGTGCCACCCGGGCAGCCGGAAGGCGGGGTACGGCGGGGCGACGAAGCCTAGCGAGAGGGAGATCTCGTCGCTTCGGCTGCCGCGCTCGAGGATCCGGACCTCGTAGTACGCTGTCTTTTTCAGGGACCCGGTGACTAGGGGGCTGTGCGCCGCGGCGTGGTAGAGCGGCGGGTACGTCGCTAGACAGGTATCGCGGCTGTTGCGCGGAGAGGACGCGGTCCATACCCCGGGACGGACGTGCGTTAGGGTCCCGGTGAATGAGGGGGGCGCGTACATGGCTATGTTGCCGGTGCGCGCGGCGGATTCGGCGGGGCTGAGGGACATGGGGCCGTAGAGCGGGTATTGCTTGCACCAGGACTCGCCGGCTTCGCATTCTTCCTCGGTGGCGTTGTTCGCGGGCGAGCGGTCGAAGCCGCTGAAGAAGTTGGGCGGAGGGGGTAGTAGTGCGGTGTCTGGGACGGCGGTCTGCCAGTTATGCTGCTGCTTTTCCTTTTTGGAATCTCCGTGGCCGCCGTGAGATGGTGGCGGACCGGGCGGAGGCGCGTATTCCGTGCCGGAGCTGGAGTTGGAGTTGGAGTTGGGGTTGGAGTTGAAGAACGGGTTGTTCTTTGTGTCTGGGGGAGGCGGGCCCGGGGGAGGCGCGTACTCCTCCTGATGATGAGATGGAGGTGGGCCGGCCGGGGGAGCGTAGTAAGGAGATGACTGGGACTGACCCTGCCCGTGAGACGGCGGGGGTCCGGGAGGCGGCGCGTAGTGTTGCGGCATGCTGGCTTTGGGATTGGCGGCGACGGTGGTGGATGATGATTGAGGGACCGGGGCCGGCTTGGGAGCTGGGTCGGTGGTTTTGTCTTTACTTCCGAAACACATCTGGTTGTGTTCTTGAGAGTATGATGGTTGATGGTGGGTGGTAGATGGTAGATGGTAGATGGTATAAGCGTGTAAGTGGGCGAATGGGAGTATACGTGATAATTCCGGGAAGTGCGTAATGGATATAATGGATGTAAGTAATTGGGGAAAGAATTAAGAGAAGCGTATGTATTGGTTCAAATAGTCAAATAATTGACGGTTAGGACTCTTTAATTGCTTGGCATCTGACGTTTTAACATTGACTCTGTGCACGAGATAAAAGTCACTATTATACATACATACATGTAGGTACCAATTCAGGTTGCTTATTGTTAGGAATAGGTACATAAATAAATTCATACGTCATACCACAATTATCCTTATCCACATGCAGCATAGCCCCCGTCTAGAACAGCCTCTTGAACAAGTTCGTGGCTGAGTTTAAGTTGCCAAGTCTCAATCCGGTGGTAGGTATTTCTAATGATTCCGTATAAGCGCAACTTCACCATGTTTGTCATTGCTTTACCACAAATTCATTCCGTAATATTTCTACTTAGATACATGTATCGATACATGTATCCGGGGAATAAATCACTTTTTCATACGTAAGGTGATAGACAGTAACTTAACCTAGAGACTTCGTATTTAAAGACGTTTATGATCTACCAAATATTATACGATTTCAAATCTTTGAATTCATAGTTATTTACCGTCAACTTATTATACCCTCCATTCGTTGGTATAAATAAGTGTAGGAGATATCCCAAGTAATCCTCTCAAATCCCTCGTAAACTAATACGGAACTTCACATCGTTTCAAGAGAATCAAATCCGTTTATCTGCAAAAATGAGAGTATGTCCAATTCATCCGCTAAGCAGCTCATACAACCACAAGTCTACAAGTCTGCATCGCTAAACTAACTACTTAAGCTATCTGCGTGTTTCCACACCGTCATCGCTATCTGCATCAGAGCGGCCAAGTTGGCTGGCTCACCTTTGTCTGAAAGGAAAAATATCTCATAAAAAATCAAGGCAATTTAATCAAATCGCAAGGGGCCAAACTCCGAAAAGTAGATAGCATCCCTTTAAAGAAGTAAAACATTTCATTTCATCTCTGTACTCTCTCCTCCTTGACCGTGTAGCGTCAAATCGTCAAATAAGTCTTCATAAACCCGCTTCGTGCAAGTTCAATATCAAAGCAATAATAAACTGAATGTCGTATCCCATGCTCGAGTTAAACATTGCGTCGTTTTGTCAAATAAGAGGTTTAAATATGCACTTTAGAGGCTAAATGCCCCTTTAAGCGCCTAGGGTACCGGCGGCGTCACCCTCGGGGTAGAAGAACGCCACGACCGCGATGATTACGTACGTAGCGCAAAGCAGCGCACCCTCGAGATAGTTACTTCGGCCGTCCAGGATCAAGAAGTTGATGATGAAGGCCGATACGAACAGGCAAACAGTCTCGAATAGGGTAAAGTAAAGCGTCATGGGTTGACCGATAATCCAGCCGATGATAACCACCAGAGGCGTCAAGAACAGGGAAATCTGAATCGAGGAGCCAATAGCTACGCCGATAGCCAGATCCATCTTGTTCTTCATAGCCACCGAGACGGCCGTCACGTGTTCCGCTGCGTTACCGACAATAGGCAGGATGATTAAACCGATGAAAGTCTCCTTTAGAGCACTATTCGCGACCACATCATCAATGGCATCAACCATGAATTCGGCACACACGGCTACGAGAGCCGTCGATAGCAGCAACATGATAATAGCCGCGCCACGTGAAAGGTCGTCTCCATGCTCCTTGCCTTCTTCGCCAGCACCGCCAGTTAGGATAGAAATAGGAATCTGAGAAGGCATCATGGCTCCGGGTGGTCGGTATTGATACTGGTTAAGTCTTTCGGGGAGAGAGTTGGTCCTGCGAATGCCGTATCTCACGCGCGGCACGGGTCCAATCGATGCCGCAGGTACAGCTCCAACGTCCGAAGTAAAAACAGGCGGTGCCAGGCTCTTAGCCACGGGTCGGAATGAGAGAACACGCAAGTTATTGAAGGGACGTCTAGGTCCTGTAGGAGTAACCTCGAGTTCACCTTCGACATTGGCGACTGTGTCAGCAAAGTCTACACGGCGGGGCTCTCCGTTACTCGCGACACCATCCTGCACGGCATCCGGTCCAACACCAGCAATGTTCTGAGGTTGAGTAATTCCTTCGACACCTGTTGACGCCTTCCTATCTCGCTTGCGGTGCTTACGTTTGGAGCGCTTATGTTTACGGCGGGACTTGTTCTCATCTTCCTCCTCAATAGCCTCTTCAGTACCAGTGGAGTTTATTCGAGGGAAGAGAGGACCATGCAAAGAATCTCCAGACTTGGAACCTCCCTCATGGATAGGACTAGCGCTATTAGTTCCGAGGGACGAGGTGCGAGTTCGAACTCCATCGTCAGTGTCTACCGACGCCGTACTAGACTTCCTACGGCGATGTCCACGGATGGCTCGTTTAACACGTTTAGACATGGTTTCCCTCGAATGGCTCGAGTGATCCGAGTCTGAGTCCGACGAAGAACTCGAATCGGAATCAGAGGACTCGAGCCATGCGGCAGCCGGGCCTGGTGTTGCTTCCTCATCGATGATGTGCTGAGGAGTCGATTCATACATGTATGCATGAGACTTCAGCTGGAACAGAAGGTACACGACATATACCAGAAGAAGAATCTTGAGACAGTGTTAGCAGGGGTTGAGGAAATATGGGATGTCGATAAGTACATACCACACTAACACCATGGCTGATCTTCAGAGACTCGTTATCAGCCTCTGTTTTGTCTCGGAAAGAAGCATGAAATGCGGTCTAGTAATAATGTTTAGCGAAATTCCAACTAAGATTGGGGGTAGACTCACCGGCAACATGAGACTGATCACACTCAAACTTAGCAAACAGGCACTCATCTGAGTCACTGTGCTGTTGTAGATCTGGAAGATGTTAGTGGATGTAAAGTGAGCAAGTTCGTACTCTACTGACCTGTTCACGGTATCGGAGACCACCAAGGAAGAAGGCCATGCCCAGAATCAAGAGCAAGTTCGCAAGGATCGATCCAAGCAAAGAGGCCTGAACGATGCGAATCTCACCCTGTATGGAATTAGCAACGTGGATTACGAGAGCAGTCAGATTCAATATTTACATACCTTAACTAGAGCAATACTACAAATTAGAATATGAGGTTAGCAGAGGTCAATACGCGACATTCATATGCCGACTGATGGATGCAAGACCACTCGACAATGAATCGTGGAGCATGATCAACTTACATGCTATTGACTCGTTAGCTAAGAGCGCAATCAAAATGACCAGATAAGACTTACAAGATAATGAGTTCTACGGCGTTACCAAACGTTACGTTAAGCAACGCACCGATGGTGTCGCCCATCTTGCGGGCGACAGACTCGGTAGCATGGCTAAGGAGTGCCGCAAGAGGAATAATGGCGACAGCGTTAATACCGAAAGTAGCTCCGGCGTTCCTGTTCGGAATGTTTGCGATAGCAATCCCGACGGGCACGAAGACCAAGAATAGGTTGATCCAGCTGTGGAAGACCACCTTCTTTAATTCGTAATAGGTTTCGACGACGACATTTTGTTTCTCCTTCTTGGTACCGTTTTCGTCTACGACAGACCCCGTCCCCTCCACTTGAGATGTTGACGGAGCCGACCTATCGGCATTCTGGGTATCCGTTCCGAAGTTGGGGGCGTCCTGAGATTTCGCGGAGCCATTAGAAAGGCCCTGATGGCCGTCGGAACCGGCACCGCTAACATGGCGGATCTTCTCCGGATCTTGGTTCGTGTGTGTATTATTTATGGGAAGGATAGGGTTAGAGTTGGACGCGGTGGAACGTGTAGAGCCTCCATACGCGTGACCTCGTGCCCAAGAGCGTATGCGATCTATGTTAGAGGCCTTGTCAGTTGAGCTTTCCTTCATCGATGTATGCGGCTTTGGCAGATTCGACGCCAAGGTCGTAATTGTTCTGGAAAGAGAACGGGAAGAGGGGGAACGTGTATAGGACGTAATCCGACAGCGAGAGAGACCTAGACTAAATAGGCGTAGAAGGAAGCAAGTAGAAAAATTGGGGAAAGACGGTGGCGTGGGGAGAGCTTTAATTGGAAGAAGTCAAGGCGTAATCTAGAAGCCCAGGGGTAAAGCCGAGAAGGGTGCTGCTTGCGGATTGGTTCCCGGGTTAGAAGACTTTCCAAGCCAGTCCCAGTCCCAGTCCCAGTCCCAGTCACCAGAATTAAGCGGTGTCGTCTACACAGTAGATTGTAGACCGTAGTTAGACTGTAGTTGATGACTTGTAGAATACCTAACGTGTAGACTTAAACTGTGTGGGTTTCCGCCTTGCTTTTAGGGATGTAGGGATGGCGATACGACGTAGGTAGATGTAGATCCTACCTGAGGCTAGCTAACACGTTGGTCTGTGCCGCAAGCCTTATTAAAATCCCCTGATAAAGACATATCGTCTCTCCGCAACTTCTTTGTTTTGTCGTCGATGGCTGAGGGCCAAATTCTGTTAAAACTTTTGAGCTTTACAGCTTTAACAGCTTTACAAAGCTCCCGTAAGCTCAAGGTATAGGAGTAAATCTCGATCTCTTTCGCCCCTCTATGACACCATACCAACAGATACCAACAGATTCGAAGCCGGCAGATCATCCCCACTTGGAGGCTTGCCGGAATTAATGTAGTGTCGCGTCGGGTTGAATGGACACCCGCATCAGCATGCGAAGAAGGGTACATGGTGTGATAACGGATAACGAGTACCGAGCTTTTGACCTCGCTTGGAGCGACTACGATATACGTGTCCAGAAAAAGCAGTAAAGGGGTAAGGTAAATAAATAAAAATAACAACATGAAGGTAACGAAGATATAGTTACTTGAAGAAATAGTAAAAACTTACGCATGCTGTCTACCACGATCAACCCTAAGGAGAGAGTATCGCCTAGTAAGACGAGTACTCTCTCTGGTGGGTGTGTTCTGTGTACCCGACTCCTCGACAAACCGGTAAGTATTCCTTGGCACTCGATTCTCTTCTTCTTCTTCTTCTTCTTCTCGTCAGCGGTCGTGTAACAGGCTCCGATGGTTTGTCGATAGCGTCAACAAGGATTAGACGGGGCGGCAGAACGGCAGAACGGCACCACCGCCTCACTTCTTAAGATACAACGTATAAGCAACTTACGATCCGCACTGTGCTTCGCGTCACCTGAACAAAAGCGACGAAGCGTGCGTAGGGCTGATGAGCTAGCTCCGACGGTGCCCCGGTAGACTAGGTGTAAAAAGGAGGC